AAGTCATTTCGTTTTTTCCCGTCAGAGGACTTAATTACGTTTTTTCGAAACCAACTTCACACTTAAGCCGCATAACCATTATATGTCTTGAGAGCTGATATTGCAAGGTTTGTGTGTGAAAAAGTTCTATTAATTCTACGCAGTAGTTTTTGGTTGGTGCCCTTTTAAATATGGAGAGCAATAAGCAGCATTTTCGTCATATTTTACTTTTTTACTTCAGAAAAGGTAAAAATGCTGTCCAAGCGAGAAAAAAATTGACGGATGTGTATGGAGAAGGCGTGTTAACAGTACGCCAGTGCCAGAACTGGTTTGCAAAATTTCGATTCGGCAATTTTGATGTCGAAGATGCACCACGGTCTGGAAGGCCGGTCGAAGCTGACAAAGATGCGATAAAGGCATTAGTTGATGCAAATCGGCGAATAACCACACGAGAGATCGGTGAGAGATTAAATTTGTCGAATTCGACTGTTTATGGCCATTTGAAAGGCATGGGCTTAACCTCGAAGCTCGATGTGTGGGTGCCCCATGTCCTTACGGAGCGAAATTTGTGTCGTCGCGTTGACGTGTGTGATTCGCTCCTCAAACGTCAAGAAAATGATCCATTTTTGAAGCGGATTATTACTGGGGACGAAAAATGGGTTGTATACAACAATGTTAAACGCAAGAGGTCATGGAGCAGAAAAGATGAACCGGCTCAAAGCGTGTCAAAAGCCAACATTCACCAAAAAAAGGTGATGCTCTCCGTTTGGTGGGATGTCAAAGGAATCGTTTTTTTTTTAGCTTTTGCAGGCACAATACAACGATTAATTCAGAAGTCTATTGTCATCAACTGGACAAATTGAATGATTCACTTAAAGAGAAGAGGCCCGAATTAATCAACAGGAAGGGTGTAGTGTTCCACCAGGATAATGCGAGACCTCACACAAGTTTGGTCACTCGCCAAAAACTTTTACAGCTTGAATGGGACGTACTGCAACATCCACCATATTCTCCAGATCTGGCGCCTTCCGACTACTATTTGTTCCGGTCCCTGCAAAATTTTTTGGATGGCAAAACCTTTACCTCAAATGAAGATGTCAAAAACCAGTTTTTTGCCAGCAAGGACCAAAACTTTTATGAGAGGGGAATTATGTTACTGCCAGAAAGATGGCAAAAGGTGTTGGACCAGAATGGCCAATATATAATTTAATAAAATATTTATTCATTATACGAAAACTGTCTTTCATGTTCCCCAAAAAAAAACGAAATGACTTTGCGAACAACCAATACAATATTGCAAAGCCTGAACGAATCTCCCTAAAATCTCTAAAATCCAATCCAGACATCGTAATCCCAAAAGCAGATAAAGGAAATGCTACGGTAGTCATGGACACAAATGAATATCAGGAAAAAATTCAAGATATTCTTACGGACGGATCATATCGTCATCTATGGATCGCAACCTTAAATCTGTTATTAAGGCTTCTTCTCTATCAGACTCCATAAAAAAATCTGTTACCTCTCATGACTCTAAAATTCCACGTCTCTACGGACTCCCAAAGATTCACAAACCCCTTCGACCTATTGTCAGCACCATTGGTTCTCCAACATATTCTCTAGCAAAATATCTAGCTTCCTTATTAAAACCCCTTACAATGAAAACTGACAGTTTCGTACTTAATTCCTTTCACTTTATTGAACAATTAAAAAGCATTATATTGGATACACAAGATATTATTTATTTATTTATTTAGCACTTGGCTATTTACATAAGCAAGTAAAATTTGCATAAACAAAACTATAAACTTCGCAACGTAAGTCTCTTCTTGAACACTTTTGGGCAAGGCGCGCCCTTAATATTATCCGGCATTTCATTAAAATTACAAACACCATCGTAGAATAGAGTTTTCTGTAAATTTGTTGTTTTTACCATAGAAACATTGAAGTAATGATTGGAACGTATATTATATTGATAAAAGTTTCACCTTTTTGCCAACCATAATTTAAGATAGCCTGGTTGGTGATCCAATATTAAATTTGTTGTTCTAATGAACTGCCCGACATTTTTAGCCAATTTAGCTGGTCTAACATACTCTTTATAGGAATATATCTATCACAGTTCAGGATCATTCTCATAACCCTATTTTGTTGTAACTGTAACTTATTTAAATCTTCCTTTGTACAAGATATAAGCAATGAACAAACATATGAAAAATGAGACAAAATTATACACTAACATCCTAGTCCACTGCGACAAAAACCGCGATACACGGTTAAAAACCCTATTTTCTTACCATTTTTTTTGCATAGATATTCAACATGATTACTAAAGCATAATTGTGGATCCAAGATCACCCCTAAATATTTAATTTCGGAAACAAACTCAATTTTATTACCCTGTATATCCACAGAATACCCCGACTTATTAAATTTTTGACAGTTAACCTTAGAACCGATAACCATGCACTTGGTTTTGGAGCTATTTAATTTCGGTTTATTTTGACACAGTCATTCGTAGAAATACTGCATTTCGGTGTTCAGTTTGGTAGCTATTTCTTTGCAATCGTTTCCAGAGACTGAAATAAGCGCGTACGCTTCCCTGCGGTATCCCCCATCTGCTATCCCTATGACCAGAAAGATTATTATTAATTTTAGTCTGGTGAGATCTATCGGATAAAAAGTTCTTTATCCAGTTAGTTTCGACGTAGAATCCCTCTTTACCAAAGTTCCTATTCCTGCAACTCTCGACATCATTTCAGATATATTAAAATCCGAGAATCTGGAACCAAACCTTCTCACCTTAATTGAAAAATGCTAGTCGGGAACATATTTTTCTTATAACGGTCAAATTTTTGAACAAACGTCGGGAACAGCTATGGGTTCTCCACTATCACCAGTCATCGCGAATATATTTATGGAAGCCTTTGAGAAGAAAGCTCTCGACACCTTTCAACAAAAACCAAAATTATGGAAACGCTACCTCGATGATCACTGAAAACAGAATTAAAACACTTCTCTCTAATAATATCCACATTAAAGATATTAAGCATTCTATCAAAAAATACACTTCACGACAACTTTCCAATAGCAACGAGGCCGAAACCAATTCTACACTGGCCACTGTGGCCCTTCCTTACATTCAAAACACCACTGACCACATATCAAAAGTTCTAAAGAAGTATAACGTTAAAACCAGATTTACCACTTGTCCAAAAATCTCTCATCTTCGGCCCGTCAAAGACAAAATTCCAGGTGAGATGCCAGGAGTTCACAGCATTCCATGCATATGCAGCAAAGAATACATTGGATAGACCTGACGAAAAATATCAAGTAGGCTCAAAGAACACGAAAGAGCCTTACGACTAAGACAAATAAACTTATCAGCTGTTGCCGAACACACACATGAAATGTAATCAGTTCTTCTACCAACGAAAAATCCGAGAATCTATAGAAATCTATAAACAGCCTAACAATATTAACAGCGACTCAGGTATCTACCTGTCACCAATTCGGGAATCAATGATCCGAGACGGTGTTTATGCCCCTCATTTAGCTCCGCCCCCCTCAAACAATATATAAGCAGGTACAAAGTAAAATACGAGTCAGTTTCTGTCAAGCTCTGAAGAAACCAACAGGATGATTGGCGAAACGTCAGCAAGTTCGACTCAACAAAAACAGACGCAGGAGGAATCTATAAGTTTTGTAAAAAGTATTAGAGTAGCCCGTGGAAGTTTCTTTGAAAAAAATAATGGAAACATGATTCCAACGTTACTGGATAGCGAAAAGTGTACGACTATGGCATGCATTCAATATGAGCACCGTACGTTACACGATAAATGTCAAAACGGTGGATCATTTGTGGCCACGCGCGAATCAGCTGGCCTTTAATCATCGAATTCACTGCTTCATTAATTCGATGTCGTAGATCTTCAATAGTGTCGAGCATAGAAGGGATTAAAACATGCCCTTCTACGCAACCCCGGAGATAATGGTAGGCCACCATCGATAAAGTTGATCTTCTGCTACTCCTCTTCCTATCTAACGTTCCAGAAGGGTCGTATTCAAGTAACCTCGAACGTCTACAGAAAAATAAGAAGGTGAATCATCTTCAATTTAGGGAAATAACCAGTTTTAAAGCAACGATAATTTGGGAATCAGTCATCCTCATTTAGCTCCGCCCCGATTTGTAATTAGCGTTGTATATTGTTTAATTCCAGATAATCAATAATAATTTTTATTTTCGTAAATGTAAAATGTATTTATGTTACTTAAATTAAACACGTTATCGCTTTGATTTATTCCATTTTTTCACTTTTTTAATTTGTAGCATACTGTTTTGAAAAAACAGAAATTGATATCGCGATATCCAGTCTCATCTTTCTGTAAATTCCAAGTACGGTGTATTCGGACCTAGAATAAAATAGTCGATATGTAGCTAAACGATAACACATATCGACTTAAAACAAGAGTAACAATTTTTGACGATTTGTTTAAGGAAATCTGTTCTATTTTGCAATATCCGTCTAAATAAATAAAATACATGGAAAACAAAAAAAATGTTCTAGGCAAAGTGCCCTCTAGTGACAGATTTCTGAAACTCTTTTACGATGACTTTTACTAAATCGGTGCTTTGTGTAAAATACCAGCTTATTTTGTTGAGAATAAAGCCCACTGCATTAAAAATAAAATATAAAAAAATGATGTTTGACAGACTCAGAAAATATCACGATTTCGAATCCAAGTTTGCGAACACCCTGTATAGAACCAGCAGATTAAAAAAAAATTTTTTTGCTGAAAAAATTTTATTTCATGCACTTTATAATGGCCATTACAATAATGAAATGTTTTAATTATCTTACAACATTCTAATCCGCGTTTTACATACCTATAAAAATAAATATTTTCCCACGATGAATGTTGCCTTATAGAGAGTTTTTTACTAGTCGCAGATTTTTTTTTGGGAGCGGATCTTATGACGAAACTTCAACACTAATATTGTATTTTTTCGTGATTATTTCCAGGTGCCTTCATTCAACGGTTCGAGTCATCTCCGCTATCGGGGCCTGGCCGAATCGGCTTTAACCTGGTTAGATTTAGAGATAACGTTCAAACCGACAACTCCGGACGGTCTGGTGATCTACAACGGCCACAGGATGGACGGTACCGGCGACTTTATGGGTCTCTATTTGAACGACGGCTTCGTGGAGTTCGCCTACGACTTGGGCACGGGCGCCGCAGTCATTCGAAGCAACGATAGAGTGGAGCTCAGCGAATGGCACGAGGTAAGCATCCACGACATACCAAAGCCGTTTTTCTTTTACTTGACGTTTCTTACTCGCGCCGTATTGAAAAAGAAACAGTTTGTTAATTTTATTATTTTTAATCACAACCATTGCTGGAGTTCCGCGCGAATAAAACGGAGTTTTCCCTGAAACTAACATTCTATTAGTATTAGTAAGTCAGGTTCCCAGAATAATGGCATTTTGTGGCACCCGAACGATGCCTTTTGGGCAGCCTAAACTGAGTTTCTCCAGTTCTCAGTTTTCGTTTGTTTTTCGTCCAGCCCGTTTGCCGATATTACAAAAGGATGGACTGTTACAATTTCAAACTGGTATGGTGCTGCCAATAAAGTTCGAATAACGATGATTATCGCCAACATCCGATAAGGCATGAGAAGAAAATAATGTCTTTTAGTTCGTGGGCTACGTCGATGTATTTTGAGATTTTGTTATTTCTAATGTCCTTTAAATTGTTATCTTCCGGCACAGTGATGTCTTATGATCATTATTATTACCATTACATAAAATCCACATGATATTCTGTTTAGTTCAGACGTAGAAACCCACTTTACTAAAGTCCCTATTCCTGACACTCTCAACATTATTTCAGATATATTAAAATCCGAGATTCTAGACCAAACCTCTTATCTCTTATCATCGAAAAATGCTTGTCAGGAACATATTTTTCAAATGTATGAACACATGTTGGGAACAGCCATCGGTTCCCCATTATCACCAGTCATCGCCGATATGTTTATGGCAGCCTTTGAAAAGAAAGTCCTCGACATCCTCCATCTAAAACCAAAATTATGGAAACATACGTTGTAACATTGAATTAGAAACTAATAATAATTTCCCATTCTTAGATATTCTTATCAATACAAAATCAAACCTAACATTGGGTCATTTTGTTTTCAGAAAACCTACACATACAGACCGATATCTCAATGCATTGTCACATCACCATCCGACACAACACTGAACCCAGAATTAAAACATCTTACATCTGCTCTTAATAATTCCCAGATTTGAAATATTAAGTGTTCCATCACAATATACACGTCACCACATGCTTCCTACATGCTTCTACACCTGCTACTGTTATCCTTCCTTACATTCAAACCGTCACTGACCACATATCAAAAGTTCGAGAATGTATTGAAATCCATAAGCAACCAAATAATCTTAACCGCGACTCAGGTCACCAATATTCGAATCAGTCATCCAACACAATATACGAGGTGTGTTCAAAAAATAAAGTGAATTTTAGGTTTTATCAAAAAGTATTTATTTATTTATCAAAATTAACGTTGTCCCTTTCAAGGTAATCCCACCACATATAATGCACTCGTGTCACGTTTTTTCCAATCCTCGCAGCACTTCTCGTAAGCACTTTCTGGTATATCTTTGAGTTCTTCCAGCGATTTTTTCTTTATCTCTTCAATCGTTCCAAACCTCCTTTCTTTCATGGGTTTCTAGAGTTTTGGGAACAGGAAAAAGTCGCAGGGGACCGTATCCCGCGAATATGGTGGCTGAGGTATGATGTGGTTTGTTTTTGGCCCAAAAGTTAGACACAAGCAACGATGAGCTAGTAGGTGCGTTATCGTGATGCAATTCAACACGTTTTCTTCGTATTGGTCGATCACCCACTATGTTCAAAATTAAGCAGTTTCATGCCGACATCTTCAGCCACTTCTCTAATAGTGATTCGACGATTTTTCAACAACACCATTTGTTTTACTTCTTCAACACTTTCATCAGTCATTGATATGCTGGGGCGTCCAGAGCGAGGTTCTTGATCGGCGATTTCTCGGCCATCTTGCACCACTTATCAAAGTAGATTCACCATATGCCGTCTATATTCCATTTTTTACAAGAAATTTTATGCAATTTTTTTGTTCCATTTGTTGATCCAGTTTCAGTTTAGCTCGGAAGAAGCCAACCGGAATATTGGCGAGCACGTTTGATTTATACACAACCGACCTCGGAGGAATCTAGAAAAATTGTAAATGGTAAATACAAAGTGGTTCAATCGAAACTCTTTGCACTTAAACGCACCTTAAGCAAATTATATCCAGTTCCATAACCTCCGACGAAGAAACGATATAAAAGTTACCGGAGAAGGACTTCTCAGGGCGGATAGCACAAAGTTCCATGGATTGCAGTGGACCAAAATCTGAATTGGAAAAGCCACTATGATACTCCTCGTGTTTTCTTATACGAAATTCAAGGCAAATATTATCAACACGGCAACTTATGAATACATATCATCTTTGCTTTCTTGCTTCTGGGGGTGTTCCACAGCAACAGAAAATGCGTTCAAAACGCAGAAAAGGGTACTCACTGTATTTGTTGACTTTGATCGGCATTCTTATTCCAGAACTTCATATCCATAATTTTAAAAACAAAATGGTGAAACTAGGTCCTAGGGTACCGGTAGGCACCGCCATTGGTACATTAATGATCAGCGTCGAAAAAAAAACTTTCTTTTCTGTTCTCCGTTATCCGTTCTCCGTTTCTCTGTAGCCCTGGCATTAATTCACTATATCTTTTGCAACATGGCCATCAATCCTTTTAAGCCGTGCACGAGCTACACAAACCAGTAAAAAATGAGTCTGATCAAACCAGGGCGTCCATTTTTTTTTTAGATTTTCGACTGTTTTTTGGACATTGCTATGAAACACGATAAGTGTCCGAAATTTGAAGCCATCCACTTGAAATTTTGACAGATATATAGGGCGTAGCTCCGTAACGAAGGCTATTGAAACTGGGGAAGCGGGGCTTGTGAAGTATTTTTAAAAATTTAAAAACGACGCTCAAGATCCGGACCAAAAACCTTTATTTTTGATGATTTTTTTTTAAATGTACAGGGTGCGTCGGTAATTTGCAAAAAACTGAAAATTGTAATGATAATTGACCATAACAAGAAGGCTGTGATTTTGTTGCCAGTTTTTTTTTACATAGCTATGTAGCCCGTACGGACAGCTAAAACTTTTGTGTTTAAACTTTTCACATAATATACAATTCAAAAATATATATGAAACTGAAAATTGACCTTTTCCAAAGTAAATTATTAGCCTTAAATCAAAATTCGTAAAAAATTTGGCTAACTGGTCGAAACAGTTTTTCGTCTATCACGTACGGCCCTCGAGATATTTGAAAATATTCAAGTGAAAATCGCAATTTCCCGAACTCAATCTAGACGCGATGACGTCATTTACTCTGACAGCGTCTAGCCCGTACGGACAGCTAAAACTTTTGTATTTAAAGTTTTCAGATATTGTATAGGGTGTTCGGGATATTCTGTGCTACATTAAAACATCTTTCCGAAAAGAATTATATTCTCGAAAACAATTTACTCTATTGGAAAAATTTATGTACCGTAAAATGTGGAAGATCCAGGACCATACTTTACCTCTGGCAGGTTGTCAATTATATAAGATCCTGAAAATGGCCGATTTCGTGGCTAAATTATTAACGATAAAAGAAAAACAATAAAACATTTGATAATTTGATCTAAACAGTATTGTAAATTGTGTCGAAAGATCGTTACAGATTTCGTCTATAATACAGGGTGTGCGAGGTATTTGAAAAAATATCACTGGAAATCGCCATTAGTTTCTCAAATGTTGGTATTTACCAAAGTGTGCCGTGACTTTGAAATTCGACGGGATGTGAAAGACACTTTGTATAGGGTGCATGCAAAATTAAATTACATCGATTTTACGAAAGCTGCTTCGCACTCCGCCCTACGAACTTGTGCCGCCCAGTGACGATTTTTCGAAAGTAATCTTGTTACTTTCGAAAATCGATGAAATCGAATTTTTCGAGAGTATCTGCGCTCGTATAAAAATTTTATATCTCGGTAACGGTAGGTCGGTCCTATGGGATCGCCTAAATGATCACCGTCGAAAAAAAAATGTTTGTCTGCCCGTTCTCCTTTCTCCGTTCTCCGTTCTCGTCTTTTGGTTTTTCCTGAATAACTTTCGAACCATTAGAGCTACAAAATTAAAATTTGACTCCTTTTTAACCCTCCACGAGGCACATAAGCTTATAAGAAATGGCACTGCTGATCCGACGCCGGTATCCACCTTTTTTTCACGATTTTCGACTTTTTGGACCTTGCTATGAAACACGATAAGTGCCCTAAATTTTAAGCAATCGACTTCATATTTGGCACATATATGCCCCGTGACCGAACCTACTGAAAATAGGGGGGCTGGGGGGTGGGGTAGTATTTTAGAAAAATAAAAAATCGCGACTGCAAGGCTCTACAAAAAACATCATTTTTCAAAAACTGTTTAAGAGACCAAAAAAAGTCTTGAAGCAGAAGAAGCAGAGGATACGGCTTTATAAATTTTTATTCTTGACACTTTTTCAAAAATATACAGGATGTGCCGAAAATTCAAAAAAAATGAAAAATGGGTCTCCCTATTATGGAAAATTGGTTATAACTGATAGACTATGATATAGATCTCACTTTTTTTTATATTGCGATATAGCCCGCATAAACAGCATTTAAAGTTTTCACCTATTGTACAGGGTGTTCCCGATATTCCGTGCTAAATGAGAAATATACTGTGTCCTCAAATTTGCAGATATCAACTTCAAATTTAGCAGAGAAGTAAAAGTCCGTGTCCACATTTAAACGGTAGAAAATGGGCGCAATCAAATTTTACCAACTATTTTTTTTTTGGTAATGCTAGCTGAGTTAGCAATCAACCGTCACTTCCAATGGAATCAAAAAATCCGAGGTATTTCAGGGAATTAAGGACGATCGATCTTTAAATAATTGAAGAATCCTTTTGTAATGGTAATCGAGAAAATACGAAATAAGGAGCTTCGGAGCTAAAAGATTTATAGTTAAAAGAACGAGCCTCGTTCCCGCGGGACTCTGGCAATTTATTGCCGCTTTTCAACGCGGTCGTCCATAAGTTTCAATGAAAGTTCCTAAATAATAGTGGAATAAGAGAAGTTTAAGGCCATTTTATTAAGGAACGCAAAGGGTTTAACAATTTCGAGTCGTTTCAGGGTTTATTGTTTCCATTCGCGGTTTGCCGATAAGTTTTTAATTTTGTTTTTGTTTTATTAGTTTTGTTCGAAAGCAATTCTTTTGTGTTAAACACAAAAACAGAAGATTTAGGGTAAGTATTCCACCTATGAGGACATTTAAGGAAATCTCAACTTCTTTCCCTAAGTAACCGATTAGTTGCAAAAAAAAAAAAATTGGGACAGCCACGTTTATCCAATTTAAAGGATTTCAAAAAGTGTTTGACTTATTTATCAGGAAGACAGAGGCCCCAAATTTAAAAAAATGTTTTTTTTCCACTTTACGCTCAAAAGTCATTCTTCATAAAAAGTTCTATTTTATAAAACAAAGCAAAATAGGCGTTTTTAATGAGGCAAGATATGGGTAACAATGGGTCTTATCGATAAGTTATCGATAATTTATCCCTATTTAGAAAAAATAATATCAGATTCCGATTCTTGATCCTCCTTATGCGAAATTTTACTTTATGAGAAATTACCTTCAAATCCCATTTTGAGCCGAAAAATCGGCTCAAAATTCAATGGTCAATTTCTCATGTTTTATATCTCAGTTATTTATAATTTATGTACTTTGGTCATTCCTCTATTGAAAATTCCTTATTATAGCTGCCAATTTAAAAAAATAATAATTACGACTAAAAACGGATAGATATCTTCAATAAAAATTTCAAGCTAAAAACGTAAAGTAAAAACGTAAATTTTTTAGATAATTCGCCAAAAGTTTCGATCGAGGACGAAATTCCTCGATCCGATTAAAATTTGACATGACGGTAGGGGGTCAAGGGGGTACTCCCTAAAAATGCTCGGTTGTTTAATTGGAAATTGCTTAGCCCTCCGGTGGGCAAAATATAAACAGGTATTATAGATAAATTGTCGATAATTTATAGCTTTTGGTTGGTACCGTGACATAGCTTTTTTAAGATTTATATGTTGTGACAATTTATACGTTTTGACAATTTAAACTTAAAAAAAGGCTACATCTTTCAATGGAAACAATGTGTTTGGGAGTAAAGAGCGGTTGTCTGGTGGACAAGAACGCCCGCTGCAGCGCTGGAAGTTCTACTGAATATTCCATCCCCCATCAGTGGAATATATAGGGCTTCATAGAGAGATAAAGACAAATGAAGACATTAGGCAACTTTTCTTCATTTGTAAAAGTGTTAATGGTACCATGTCAAGTGTAAAGTGAATTGCAAAATATGCAAAATAAATAAGAACTAAAAGTTCAGATTTTCACGAAATTATATATATTCCCCCGACAATTGTTTCGACAACACCGTGTCTTTATCAAATGTAATATTGAGAAACTACCTGCTAGTATATAAACCGAAAAATGACAATAAAACCTTAATTAATATTGTTGTGACAATTTAAGTTTAATAATGGAGAGGTATTTAAATCTAATTGATCGTTAAACAACACAATTGAATGTCTCATTTTGTTAATTTCCCTGGCTTCAAATAAATTTAATTTTCTACTTTTTGTGGCTGTATGTAAAACATCAAAATTGTCGTCAAAAATGTGTTTTTCTGTGTTTAAGTGTGTAGCATAATTAGAATCTAGGCTATTGTTTTTAAACGCTCTTTAATGTTCGTTAATGCGTTTTTTGAAAGATCTACCTGTTTGTCCAATATAAATTTTTATATAAGATCCGCATTTCAACCTGTAGACGCCTGATTTTTGAGATTTTGGACATTTCATTTTATTGTTTTTTAAAAAAAAATCTATTGTGTTGTTAGTTCTGAAAGCTATTTTTAAACCACATTTTGACAAATGACAAACTTTTTCAATGGGTTCCCCTATGTATTTAATTGTTTTAAATTGTCCGTGTTCTGTATTAGGTTTCGGATAAATAGCGGTTACTGTTGTCTGGATTTGTTCTTTTTTTTGCGTTTTCGTAATAGTTAAGTCTAAAAAATTAACAGGGTTATCAGATTCAATCTCGATAGTGAATTTTATACGATTATGTAATGAGTAAATGTAATTTAAAAAAAATTCAATTGTCTGTCCGTTCCAACAAAGCAAGCAAAGACATCATCCACGTATTTATACCAGCATAGAAAACTTTTACTTAAAGGATGTTTTTGCATGATATTTTCCAAATTATCCATAAAAATCTGGGCTAACAAAGAACTAAAATAACATAATATTTTCACGTGCAGATATAGGGAGGACCACAGAAAAACACGTTTTTGACGACAATTTTGATATTTTACGTACAGCCAGAGGAAAGCAGAAAATTAAATTTATTGGACGCCATGGAGATTGTATTGCTTAACGATCAATTAGATTTAAATACCTTCCCATTATTACACTTAAATTCTTACAACATTAATTAAGGTTTTATTGTCATTTTTCCGTATAAATAGTAGCAGGTAGTTTGTAAATATTACATTTGATAAAGACACAGTGTTGTCTAAACAATTTTCATGTGAATATATATATAATTTCTTAAAAATCTGAACTTTCAGTTATTATTTATTTTGTTAAATGGATTTTCATTAAGTAAAAGCCACCTCAGTTCAATTTTTGCAAAATATGCCACTATATAACCAGCATATCATGTTTATCGTTCCACCACCCAACAATTGTAAAAGAGTCTGCTCCTGAAAACATATCCCCAATCATAACAATAACACACATATACAGTATTATTGGTTAACTTTGTACTATAACCGTGTACTCATTATGGCGGATATAGTATAGTCATTTTTTATTCGATCTGAACCGAACAAAATATCTAATCGGAATGACGGTGGGGTCTAGATTCACCAATTAGATTTTACGATGTCATTTCAATAACACCCTGTATAACTACTATATCACATACTTTCAAAATCGTTTCTGTCTTTCCGTAAAAAAGAAAATTGTTGAGAAAATTCACGACTCATGAAAATTTTCGATTCGACTAAAATATGGTATAACGGTAGGGATCGGGAGGGTACTCTCAAAAAATAGTCGATTATTTAATTGTAAATGTCTTAACCCTTCAGGGGTCCAAATATACGTAAAAACGATTAGCGATAAATTGTCGACAATTTATAGCTTTTGGTTCGTATCGTGCATTTGTAAGATTTATATCATTGTATATAGTTGTAACAATTTTTTTTTAATTTAAACTTCAAAAGAACGAGAGTTGTTCCATTCCAACACATGATTCCTTACAGGCTACATTTTTCTAAGGAAGCAAAGTGTTTGTCGCATTTGACCAAAAGCTTACTTCTAAGAGCAACAATTGTACCAAAAAGGTGGTTTAAATCCTAAAATTACACTTTGACTTTGCTTAACAGCAGTAAGACAGATAATTTGGAGTAAGGAGCGGTGGTGAACAAGAACGTAAACTGCAGCACTAGAGGTCTTACTGAACATTGCACCAATATAGATCTATGTGCCGGACGAAACAAAATTCGTCGAATATAGGTCAATCACCTAGTGGACAACTAGTGAAATCTATAGAGCTATATAGGGAGAAAAAGACAGACGAAGACACTAGGCTACTTTTGCTGCCATTAAATAAACCATCACTGTTCATTTGTTGAAGTGTTGGTGGTGCCACATGAAGTGTAAAGTGAGTTGCAAAATGTGCCACTATGGAACCAGCATATCTTGTGTATCGTTTCACCTACTAACCATAATATATTTTTGGTCCTGTTGTGCCGGATATAGAAATTTTTTATCTGACCTGGACTGAAAAAAATATTGATTCGGGATAAGGGCGAGGTCTAGATTCGCCAGTTAAATTATACGATATCATTTCAACAAAACTCTGTATAACTATTAAATCAGAGACTCACAAAAGCGTTTTTCCTGTTCCCAGGTGAGATTGTCACGCACAGGTCGTCTAGCTATTCTGACGGTCGACAACCAACTGCCGGTGGAAGTGGTAGCCCCGGGGGCCTTCACTCAGCTGTCCCTCCCGCAAAACCTCTATTTGGGCGGTGTGCCCAATTTTGGAGTGGTGTCACCCCAAGTGAGGGTACGATCGGCGTTCGTAGGATGCATCCAAAAGGTATACAAAAAGTTATCGGTTATTTCGGAAATTTCTTAGGCCAGTCGATAATTTGTCAATATTTTCAAAAAATAATATAGAATTCGGATTCTCAGCTTTCGAAAATCTCCATATGGAAAATTTTATTCGATTTTGGTTGGTTTGGTCAACTTTCGATGTTCTATTTTATATGACCGGAACCATTTTTGTGAAGGTTAAAAATTTAAAAATAAATACGACTACATGGGAAGGGGTGGGCTGAACTTTTAAGTATTTGCAGTTAGATGCTAGTGACCTCTATTGTCAATAAAAATTCCAACTTTTCCCGAGCAAGGTGGATATTAAAAAATATATAAAAATGTAAATTTTTGAGAAAATTCGCCACCACATTCATGAAAATTTTCTATCGAGGTCGATATTTTTCGATCTGACTGAAGTTTGCCATGAAAAGAGATAAACCATAGCGAGTATTATCAATAAGTTTTACCCGATTTTGACGAATTAACTCGAAATCCAATTTCGGGCCGTTAAACCTGCTTAGAATTAGAGAACCAATTTATTCATAGTCTTGAAAGGTTGAAATTTATATCTTATATACTTTGGTCCTTCCTCTATTGAACGGTTTTTTGCGAAAATTTGCGACCAAAACCCATGAACATTTTCCATCGAGGTCGATCCATCCGACTGAAATTCGGTATGAAGATAGGGGGGTCACGGGGATACTCTTAAAAAATGGTCGTTTATTTAATTGGAAATTTCTTAGCCCCTCCAGGGACCAACATATAAGTAAAAAACGATTGTCAATAATTTGATATATAAAAGTTTTTTAAATTTAAATCGAAAAAAAACAGGTGTTCCATTTACTAACAGGCCAGGCCTTACAGGCTACATTTTTCCAAGCAAGCTAAGTATTTTGGAATCGCATTTGGCCGAAAGCTTCACAAGAGTGCACCATCATCCCTATACCAGATTTTATCATAAGAAAAAAAATTAAAAAGTGCGGTTAAATTTTCTAGGTTCAAATTAACGGGAGAACCGTGGCAATACTAGCCGAGGCACTGGGTGGAGCGAATGTCGATAACTGTCCTCACCCATGCGTAGCTCGACCATGTGGAGAAGACGGAGAATGCGTACCAGAAATGGATTATTTCACTTGCAGGTAAGTTTACATATACAATGAATAAAAATAAGTACGTGCAACGAATTTAGAATCAATAACACATGTTACGAATACAAAGAACAATATAAATACACATTTGCAAATACCAACGGTCAAAGGTAAACAATCCTTTATCAATCGCAAATATTAGAGATCAAAACGCTAAATTCAGCCGATATTAGCAGCGACCACAGATTATTTAAAGCACAAAATAATACGGAGGCGGCTGTCGAAACACGTAAAATTATTGTAGAATCGCTATCGAATGCATCGATATTTTGGTCTTGAATCGGAATTTTGAAATTTGCAATTTTCGCTTGCAAACCTGTAATGTATTTTTAACATTTGTTTAAGCTGTACAAAAAACCACTTCGCACTGTTGCAAATTTGATATTTTTGTTTTTTTTTCTTACCCTGTATAAAAAAACAATGGTCAATATTTGCTTTTTAGTCTATTTACTTGTATACTCCATCCGTGGACGTAAATCCAAAAGGATTTAAGTTGTGGTGTCCATTCTGGCGGGTGCTCTTATTAAGAATTTAAGAATCTCAATGTTTACAATTGGTAACCAATTACTCATGGTGATTCTATTTACAAATATTCTGGATTCCTCCTGCGTCAAATTTGCTGACTTTTCTCTGATCTTTCTGTTGGCGGTCAGAATCTGCTTTTTCCCCTCTTATTGCACCGAAATCCACCTTAGATATGTACCTAAAATCCCTCCCTCTTTCTGGGACGAATAATTGGTTTTCGCGCTTGATTTACAGCAACTAAAACCCATTCTTTTATGCCAGAAAAGGGGGTTTTAGGTAAATATTTGCTTTTCTAAGGTAGATTTCGGTACAACATGACTCAGAATAAGAGTTTTACGTCGATATCTAATGGTTTATAAAGGTTTGCGTTACTCTAGTGCCCGAAGACCCCAATTTTGGCTAGTATTTGAAAGATATTGACATGAATATGTAACTTTTTGGATCAAAAAATGATAGTTTAAGCTGATATTTGCAGTTGTGATCCGGTTTTAGGTACGATATGTGTCGGAGAAGCCGATTTTGACTGGAATCTGTTTAAAATGAGAAAGAAAAACCTACTATCAATCCAAGAAAGTGAATTTTTAAGTAGTTATGAAAATGTGGCGAAAACCAATTATTTGTCCAAAAGGAGGGGTTTTCAGCACAAATCTGCATTTCTAAGGTAGATTTAGGTACAATAAAAGGCGAAAAAGCAGATTCTGACTAAGATCTTGTCGAAATCGGCAACTATTTGACTCAGATTTGACTAGTATTTGAAACATATTGACAACAAAAGGTAACTGTTTGGATCAAAAAATTGCAGTTTTGATGCGGTTTTAGGTTCGGTATGTGGCGGAGGAGCCGATTATGACTGGAATCTGAAAAATGGAAGAAAAACCTACTATCAATCTACTATGACCACCATAGATTTCTTTTATCTGCTTTTAGAATTACGAAGTCACAATTAGATTTTAGAGAGAGCAATGCTTTTATGGTGTGGAACATTAGATTTAGAAGGTTTTGATTTTTTAAGGATTTTTGGGGCTTCAAATCGAATATCGTTAGGTGTTTGAGATAGCAATTTGTTTTGGGTAGATTCGATATTTGAAATGATTGCCTCTTTGGGATAATACGTGGGACAACGACGAAGTTAATCAAGAACTGATTTTTCCATGTCAGAAAGTTGGTGTTATGGTACTTTTACCACAGTGTTTGGTAGTTGAGAAGAATTTGATTCTTTCACCAGTGTTGGCCACCATAGATTTCCTTTATCTGCTTTTAGAATTACGAGGTCAGAATTCGATTTTACAGATTTTAGAGCAATACGTTTATGCTTTGGAACATTATATTTAGAAGATTTTGATTGTTCAAATCGAATTTCAGAAAGTTGGTGCGATGATACATCTACCACAGTGTTAGGTAGTTGAGAATAATTTGAGAGTTTCACTAGTGTTGACGCTAGTTTTTCAAGTTTTTTGAATGGGGTTCTGGGTAGAACATAAACGAGGATTTTCAGCAAAGTTATGGGAACGTTACGTCGATGATACTTTCGTTACTTAGCCTCATGGTCGAGAATCGTTACGTTTTACTATTGAGGAGGAATCCCGTAGTTTTGTAAATAGTATTACAGTAGTCTGTGGAAGTTTCTTTGAAAAAAAAATGCACAAAATCGTTTATGGAACGAATGTTCAAATGCGATATTTTTGGTCGAAACGATTAAGAATACCAACCCTCCAGAACGAGTAAAATATATTTCCCAGATGTAAACCGGGTTACCGTGACCATCTTTGTTCGCGAGGGCCTCCGTCCTTTCACGGCGTCGACAGTTATTACCACTTGGGCGATTCGACGACCGTGGAAGCCATCTCGTCGGACCCGCTGGACGTGAACGTCCGTTTCAAAGTGTCCTACTCGTCCGGCCTGTTGTTGTGGGCCTCGACGGGTTCCGGATTCGTGTCGTTGGGACTGGAAGACGGGGCGCTCGCTCTGAAATTTAGCTCCAGGGATAACGAGGAACAGATCTGCGTCGTCCATAATTCGACCACAGTCCACGACGGTTTGTGGCATCGTATTAAAGCCGTCAGGTAATTAATTGTCCAAACGAGATGTTTATTAAAAAATTGTTTATACAAAAAATTGTAATATCGAATGGTAAGGTTAGTTCTGTGTTTTTTGTATTCGGGGATACATCAGAAGTTGGATAAATTCCTAATGGTCTAGTGACAATGATGATGCGAACCATTAGTGCATCGAGATGAGACATTCTGGTGGTCAAACTAGAATAGTTAAGCTTTGAAACAAGAAGTGGCTCCCGATTTGACGACAGAACAATTGTCAAAGCTTCTGGTTGACGATTTAGACGATAACCATGGTCGGACAAATTATGTAAAATGAAAATTGTACGCTAAAAGCACAAAAAAGACGTAAATTTTCACAATACATAATTTGAGTTCGAATCATCCTTACAAAATCAAAATTTGTAACATTTTGTTCTCTTATGCACATACTGCTTAACATGCCACTTCCTACCAAAAGTTTCCGGTAGCTTTTAAGATTGGTTGATAAATAAGATTATAATCAAAATAACTCTGAACTCTATTTGCCCCATATTAAACACCGATCTCAAAGTTTTTAAAACAATAAAACACATAGCAGAACCTAACAATAACAATAACAATAGAACAATAAAATTTAAAAATCCGGAGTCGAAAGGTTTAAATGTGAATCATGTCCTAAAATTCGTATGAAACAAACAGGTAAATGCATTAAAATTCAAAAATTCATTTTTTTTTTTGTTTTACATATCGCAACAAAAATCCGTATACCAAACTTAATGACCATTTGGATTTCAATGGATCCCCATTGCTGAACCTACAATCAAAAGCCCTAAAACAACTCTAAGTAAAAATTCGTTACCACGCGTTGATATTTATAAACGAAGCATCGTAATATTCCGGATTTTTCAATTTCAAAAAAAGCTAAACATCATTTGTTCTATGTCAACTTGTTCAACTTTATTCTTTATTTGACATTGTAATGGCTGTGTACCTTATGCTGTGACCTAGTTGTCAAATTATTGATTTGTGCTCAATTTAACGTTGTAATTGTTGTGTACTCTTACAAAAATCATTGACGTAGAAAGAAGATTTGTAAATAGCAAAGCAATAGCAATAGCATAGCTTGTTTGACAACAATTTAGGCCAACCTAATAGTTTTAATCTTGTTTTTACTTCTTTTGGAGCTGTTGGTGGTATTGATCCGGAGTTTGTGTCTGCAAATTATATTAATAAACAATTTAGTCCTGATTCATTCAGGTTTGCTAAAGTTTACGCTGAGGAAGTTAATAATACTTTGATTAGTAGTAAAACTAACACTCATGGCTCAGACAATATTGATATAAAAATTATTCTTTTGACTACTTCGTATTTAGTCCACCGTGTCACTTTCCTTGTTAGGAAGTTTCTGCTGACCGGGGTCTTTCCCGAAAGCAAGCTGAAGGTATACCAATTTCAAAGAAAGAGTGTCCAAGTGTCATTAACGATTTTAGACCAATCAGTTTGTTGAAAAAATTGCGGCTTAACAACTTCGTCAGTTCCTATGCGATAACAAAATCCTCCCACACACTCGATCTGGTTTTCGACTTCTTCACAGCACTACGTCTGCCTTGCTCCATATTACTGATAATTTATTGAGAGCAGCGGATTCTAAATTAAACTCTCATACTCTTGGATACACCTTGGATCATTTCCTTCTCCTACCTAACCTGACATTCTTCGGGATAAAAGGTACTGGCTCTTTCATTTTTTAAACATTTTCTTGGTCAGATGCCATTGCTTTGGAGAGGGGTGTTCCCAGGGAAGTATTATGGGAGCTATTTTGTTCTCAGTTTATACAGCTCACTTCTCTACTTTTGTAAATCTCACCAATACGCCGATGATACTCAGCGATATTTATCTTTTGTTGCTAGTGAAGCTTTAAATGCTGCCACTAAAATAAATTTAGATCTAAAAATTATTTCGGCGGTGTCCGAGGCTCATAACCTCTTATTGAATACTAACAAAACGCAGATGTTATTATTTGGAAATAAAAGAGAAAATATCGTAAGAAACGGCGGGTGTATAAATTTAGGATAATGATTTCTAACCATTTTGGCTCGGTGTTACAAAAATCCTTCTATGAGTTGAGCATTGTATGTATTGTATATAAAGAAGTCAAACTTAAACTCTGTGATATGTTCGTTTTATTCCATGTCGCTTATTGCAGTATCATCCATCTATTGGCCAGCTATACCTAATCGAGATAAATAGAGACTCCAATGACTTCAGAGTACTTGTATTCGTTTTAGTTACAATCTCAGAAAGTACACTTTTGTTTTTCTACTAAACTCCAATACGACCCCATCGTACTTGTTTGATAAACTTTGCAGAGAAAATGATATTCATAATCGAGATACCCGTCGTTGTTTGAGATATTGCGTTAGTAGACACACTTCGGTAACTTTCCAGAGATCTTTTAGCTTTTAGCTTTTAGCTTACGCAGTACAAATTTTTAATGAAATACCTTTCGCTATAACGTCCCTCCTCACAACAAATTCCTTCAAAAAAGCGTTAATATTGTTCATTAGGCCCCCCAGTATCTAGCAAAATCGTATGAGTTTATGATGTTTCTTGTATTTACGATGTATATACCGGTGTGAATTTTGTTGACAATTATGGTGCTATTGTTCTGGTGGTTACATGGAAGAGCGCAATTTGCGAATATCGACACTCTTATATTATTACTTATTATTATAATTATTATTATTGAACGTGTGCGTTATGTCCTTCCCGTTATAACCTATTTTAATAACTGCGTACTATATCTAGTTAATTCAGTGATTTTTAGGAAGTTTTAATTGGTGAAAGCTATGTGAACAGCCTTCAGTAGTTGAAAGGTATTCAATATTGTGTTTGTGAGTCACGGGAGTCAACTTTTTTCCTGTTTTGAGTCGCGCTCTCTGCACGTGCACTGCCCCAAGCTGGGCCACAGAGAGACTACACGGTGCGTTGCCGAGTGAGTTTACTGTTTACCGTTTATTATTTGAAACATCTATCGAAATGCAGATTGCACAAAATAATAATCCATGCAAGAGGTGCGACAATGTAGCTGGATCTGGTTTAGTCCGTGTGAAATGTCATACAGTGTCGCACAAATCTTGCGTCAAAAAACTGAAACATGTTAGAAATCTCGGTGGTGACAAAACTGACTGTTGCTCCGATATTAAAATAAACGAAAATATCCGTACAAATACAAACGAGGATAAAGACACCTCGGCCGACTTTGGTCCGGTCGATCTGGATCTTGAGATTTCATACTTGAAGGAGCTGCTAAAGCAGAAAGATCTAATCAACTGCTACCACTGCTTTGAAGGATCAGATTGCTCTCCTCAAGCGAAGTGATAGACATACAGTCGACAAAAACAGGCCTTCAAATCCTACATTTGCAGAAGCAGCTGGCGTAAACAACAGCCTATCTGCGAACGACAATCAGTCAGTTAGGCCGAAAAATAAAGGTCCCGAATTTGTCACCAAAAGCGATGTCGCGATAGCTGTCCATAGCGCTTTAACTGAAACAATTGAGTAGAACTACATCGTCTAAAAAAAGACCTCTGGTAGGAAGTCTGAATGATACGAGCAAATGCAAACTACAGGCTGGCGAGAGGCCTGTTAGCTTTCATTTCACGAAACTACACCCGGAGACAACGACAGAAGATATCCAAGTCTACCTCACTCCAATAGTTAACAACGCTCGTGTGGACAAAGTAAATTCAAAATATCCGGAATATTATGCATCCTTCAAGGTGACTGTATCTGATTATTACCCCGCAAAAATTTTGGATCCATCCATCTGGCCGTCGGGGATCCTGATTAATAATTTTTTCTCCCGTCTCGCGTGGGTACACCCCAACAAGTAGCCGGGACTATGATCGTGGGGCTCTCCGAATATTTACCCAGAACGTGCAGCGGTGAGGCAAAATCGATATGTTGTCTCTGTTCCTTATGGATAATCACTTCGATGTGGTATGTATGTCTGAGCATCATGTAAATAGTGAAGACGTTCTAAAAAGTATAAATCTTGAAAATTTCATCCTGCAGAGTTACTACTGTAGGAAAAGCACCACCAAAGGTGGATGTGCAATATATGTAAAAAATAATATTAAGTGTGAAGCATTAGATCTTGATAAATATTGTGTAGATTTGCATGCCGAATTCTACGGTATTGTGTTCCTTACGATCGATACAGTGGTTATAAGTGTTTATCGTTCTGGTTCACAGAGTGTTTTTAATACCTTATACAACATACACCCTTTCGGGCAAACACGAATTTTAGATCAACATATGTTTTATTATCTACCTATATATATTTAAGTTTTCTGTTAAATTTTAGATTCCATCGATTTTACACTTTATAATTTATGTATTGTACTTTTATAGTGTAGGTCTATTGTATATTTTGTCATTTTGCTTTCACGCATGGTATTTATACGATATATTTATCCACAACCACAAGTTGTCAGCGTAAATTTGTCTTTTTTCTTTTGTACTACTGACACGCCATTTGTTATAAAGACTTTTTATGTAAAAAATGGCTAAAAATAAATCTATCTATCTATCTATTATTATTATTATTATTATTATTATTATTATTATTATTATTATTATTATTATTATTATTATTATTATTACTACTATTATTATTATTATTATAACATAATTTAAATTTATGGAATTTTATTTGGAATTAAAATTAATATATAGGGTTTGTTTTTAGAGCTGATAAATCAGTAGTTTTATCCATCTGTTTAAACGTTTTTCCAGGGACGGCTCCACGGGCTTGTTAATCGTTGACAATGGGCCGGCGATTACGAGACAGTCGATCAAAATTCGGTCGAGTCGGCGGCCGTTCCCGCAGCCGGAGGCGGACGGACTCTACTTGGGAGGTATGCCACGGAAATTACTTAACGTCGCCACGGATTACAAAAGCGGCATAAAGGGGTGCGTGGCGGATTTGGTGATCAACGCGGATTACCACCTGCAAGTCATCAACCAAAAGGGCGTACGTCACAACGTAGGCGAGTGCGAACTTTGAGGGGCTCGAAGACAAGTGAGGTTAGGTCGCGGAGCTTTCGCTCTCGAAACACCAATTCCGCCATAGTTGATGACGTAAAACTAGAAAGTCAATATTAGCGCAAATTTTTCATGGTGAATCGAAAAATCTGGTTCCGTGGTTCGACGGCGCATCGAAAATACAAAATGGCGCGCGGCGCGGTCACTTTCGCGGCACGATCGAACATATTTGAGAATTTTCTAAAAAGTGAAAAAAAACTTATCAAATTATCAATAGCAGGCTATACACGTAATGTTTTGTCCGATGAGGCTAAATCGCACGCACATCGTGATTTCTTTATTGCTTGTAATTCCTTGTAATTCTTCTGGAATTCTTTGGAATTCTTCCTCTGCGGTTTACCCCTAAAGCGGCCGTTTAAATTAAATGTCAATTTTTTCCTCTAGATAAGTTTTTCTTCTATCTTCTTGTAGTGCCATATTCATCGTTGGCTATCATGACGATCATATCATTTATCGATTTTTACACTTCGAATATCGAAGAAAGAAACTAATCGAATCATCAAACTATCAATAACAAGTTATAAGCTTATTGGTTTTGACGGATGAACCGGAAGTTCGTAAATTTAATTATTAGTTTTTTCTCTGAATATGATCTTCTCGCAGTATAATGACCGTTATCAATCGTTGGCTCTTTTCTTCACAATGGTATCTGCTACCATTATTAAATATATTGCCATAGTTCGAATATCGAATTTGAGATTTTTTGAAAAAATTTAACATAATACGATGTGATCTCGAATTTTCAAAAAACTTATCGAATCATCAAAGTATCAAGAAGTTAGGGGAGTTAACTGTCAGTTTTTATCTGGATATGATATTCTTCGTCTTGCAGTACCATGACCATTATCGATTGTTGCCTCTCATATTCACCATGATATTTCCTATCATTATTTTATCGATTGCTGTGGTCGAATTCACGAATTTTCAAAGAAAGAACTTGTAGAATCATCCAATTACTAAAAGTCACATGTAAAGTTTTATCTATGAGTTTTGACGGATAAACTAGATGGGAGTAGACTTAACTGTCAGATTTTTCCCTGGATGTAATCTTTTTCTATCTTCTTGCAGTACTCATACTATAGGTGGAGAAACCGGAAAACGGAATTTCAGAATTTTGGAAAAAGTCCGATGTAATCCGATGTGCTCTCGTGTTTTCAAAAAAAAAATTGTTGCGTAAGGCTTTATCTATGGCTTTTGACGGATAAACTAGAAGGGAATAGATTTAACTGGCAGCTTTTTCTCTAGATATGGTCTTTTTCTATATTCTTACAGACATTTACAATCATTATTTTATCGATTGCTACACTTCGAATATCGATTTTGAGAATTTGATAACTTATCGAATCATCCAACTATCGATAGCAGGATATACACATGGGTTTTAACGGATAAACCAGAAGTTAGTGGACTTGACTATCAGTTTTTTATCTGGATATGATCTTCTATCTTCTTGCAACATCATGACCATTGTCCATCGTGGGCTCTCGTGTTCGCAATGATATATCATATATATCATTATTTTATCGATTGTTACACTTCGAATATCTAATTTGAGAATTTTTCGAAATGTCCAACGTAATCCTACATGATCTAGAATGTTCATAAAGGAACTCATCGATTCATCATATTATCAATAGCAGATTTTAGTGGGTTTTGACAGATAAACCGAAGCTTTTAACTGCCAGTTTGTTCTCTGCATATAATCTTCTTCTATCTTCTTGCGGTATCATGACCATCATATCAAAACTAATCAAATGATCAATAGATGCCTGTACATGTAAAGTTTTTATCTATGTGTTTTGAGGGATGAACCGGAAGTTAGTGGACTTAACAGTTTTTTTCTCTGAATTGCTTTTCTTTCTTTATGTAGTGCCGATGACCGTTATTGATCGTTGACTCTTATGTCAGCAATGATATTTACTAACATTGTTTTATCGATTACTGCACTTGGAATATTGAATTTCAAAATATTATTTATTGGTTAATGACATTGGAGCCCGCGTTAGGCTTTTGACATAGATCGAATTGGGCGAGCTTTTTTTAAGATCCGCCATTTGATCATAAACCCAAACACCCAGACGTTCATATCGCGTACAGCAGCCGTTGCTAATGGATTTAGTCATCTGAATTTTTTTTGCATTTCATTTCAGGGCATATAACCTGTTTTACTTGTGCCCTAGTATTAGTCCTAGCCTAACCTTGCTTTCTCTTGTAAATTACTTAGTTTAGCATAAGTATCTTGTAGTTACCCTTTTTTATTTAGTGTGTATAACAATGAATACTTTCGCGATTTTGCCTAGGCAAGGACATACCCAAGAATTTATCCAGTCCGATCCGACGGGTTTAACGTTACTTGTAAGTCCTGCTAACAGAAGAGAAGTTTTCTCCGATATATCTCGCGCGCCTTTACCAGGTGACCATTTCGTATAATTCTAGTCGATTTTTCGTATTACTGTATTGTGTAGGAATAACGTTGATGTGTTGATTTTAGTCTTACACTCTGTACGTGCCTTATTTTTTATTTCCTTTTCGTTTATTTACGAACTCATTGAAAATATTTCTAGCAACAATACGTTAAGTATGATAGAGTGCCGTCAACGATCGGCTTAGATGCTACCCATAAGCCTTACGTGTGCTGTTATTAAAACACCGAGGTTGGCTATAAATATTACCGGAACCCGTATTAATGACGAATATATGTTTAGTCGAAAGTGTCCGACCGTTCCCCACTCTTTTGTCGTATTGGACCCATAAATTCGATACTTTTTACAGGCTTTGTGTTGTTCTCGTTCGTAGAGTGTCGGCTCATTTTTTTTTTCAATTTCAAAGGCTAAACATAGATATACATCTAAACTCTCGGTTCAGCAAATTTTTGGATTTTCGAATTGCGACGCAAGTCATTTACATTTACGGAATTCCTCCGAAATGCCTCCCATTTTGGATAATTTTGGTTACACTAAAGATGCCGTAAGCAACATTTTCATAACCGTCTTGGGAATTTGTTTGTTACTTTTTTGGACCCCGCTTCGTATCTGCGTTGTCCTTAAATTTCAAGAATGATATTATAAGGATTTTTTTTGTCCAATGCAGTGGTGTAGATAACTTTGATACATATTTACTACACTTATGCAGTTTTAATTATTACAATAATAAACAATTGAAAGTTGCGCATTATTAATGAAGAATTGGAGACCATGCGATGAAAAATGAGTAAGCAAGATTGTAATAACAACCAAAATTATTTTAAAAAACACAAAATTTTTTGAAGGGATGTTCAAAATGGCGACCATTTCCTGTAATGCATAATTGGTATAACTTTGTATATCGTTATATTAAAAAGAACCATTAATCACACTCGCAGATTTCGAAAGGCCTCTTGAAGTTTCTTGTCAATTCGAATTCCATTGGCCTCAACCCATTTTTTATCTCGTTTTGCATTGTTTTAGATTTTATTTTTTATTTGAAAAAAAAAGGAGTCTAAAGTTTCCAACCAAATTATATCATTGCATGACGAAAGAGCTCTTTCCCAGTCTTCATCGGCCCGGTGTTCTACAGCAAAACTTGAGCTTGCTTTACGATTCTCAGGGGTTCAACTTGGTCTTTGCACTGGGTTCCCTGGTGTCAGATCAGATTCAGCTGGGCATCGACCAACAGTATCAGTAGAAGCTCTGAGTCCATCTGATTTCTGTGGCTGATCGCACGGGAAACGGATCAATTCCATACACCCAATCTCTAGCCAATTCTTCGAAAGCTCTATATCCCTTCCAGTAAAATAACTGCCTGGGTACATTCTTCGGTGGTCAAATTTCTAGATTAGCATTCCATAATAAACACTTTACTACACCTAACCTCACAAATGTAAATTTTCAGTGCAAATTATAAATTTTAGCAATAAAACGTACAAAAATCGAGGTATATAATTTATCTGAATTACCATTAAATTATGCACTTAAAACAGTAAAAAGATACAAATTTCATATTCTATAAATACAAGGAATATGTTCCACAACAAAAATTATCTGCAAGCTAAGCATGCATAAGGACAATGCAAATACAAGGAGGAATCCAAAAAGCTAAAATTAAACAAAACTAAATAAAAATTGCGAAAAAGTACTCAAGATGGGACACTCTAAATTATGGGTAGCGAACTCCCCCCCCCCCTCCAGCATAAAGGCGTTTTGTATTTTCTTTGCCACGTCGCTATCGAGAATCAAAAAGTGGCGCCTTAAAATTGAAGCTTTCCGGCTTCTAAACGGGGTTCTAGATTTTTTAATGGAAAATGACAGATTTTCACCTAATTAGACGTTTGTGTACTAATTGTGTGATCACGATGAGATTAACATAAGGCTGACTTAAATATTCCCTGATTTGTTCTAAATATACGGTGTACAGTCCAGACTAAGGGTTCAAAGTGTGCTCTTTTGCCTCCGTAGCACAAAAATTTAGACAAAAAGCGATCAATTACATTATAAAAGTTTTCTAAAGCTGAATTTATATCACATACCCTGAGTTATTATTGGTTGGACAAAGATAAAGTATTGCTAGTTACGCATATTGTGTCGACAAGTTTAATAATTATTCCAGCCCTTGAGCCGCCACCATATTGACTTTTTTTGAATTCCATTCGATTACAAGTGGCAGTATTTTTTGAAAATTTGCCGTATTCACTCGCTGTCTTTTTTGTTTTCGTTAAAACAATTAAGAACGTAACAAAAAAAGACATCCAAAAGTAGCAAAAATAATATAACTACTCCAGATCCAGGGCACACGTTGAATTGATATTTTCGTTACACCGTATGTTTGGAAGCGCCTTTTTTCTCTGCCGTTCTCGCAAACTTAAACGCCCGAAAGGTATTTTTCATTTATAGCGGAGTTAAGTTTACGGGACCGGGAAAACTTCCTTAGTTCCTTAGATGAATATATTTAATAACTGTCTACTCGGAGACTTATGAAAATGAAACTTTGAGCAGGTTATATGGATTTGTGTTAGGAATTGTAGATAGCGAACGCAACAGGGGCGCTTTTTGTGTTATTTTTTCGATTACCTTCGTAGGTTTGCGGGGAAAATCTACAGGTTATGAGAGACATGTTTCGCTAATCAAACGGAAGGATGTAAGCAATAAGCGATACCGGTGTTTAAAATAGGCACTTAAAGCCAACGTATTAGGATAGGGTAGGAATTATAAAAAGATCCGCTTTAATTTTCTCTGATTTATGTGAACTTGTCGTCGACATCCATATTCAGGGGGGAGATTCGCCCTCAACATTTAACCAACTAACTAACTAACTTCTCGTATAGTACAGAAAAACATTTTCTTCACTACTAAAAACTAATTAACCGTTAGGTTATTTTTTTAGGTAATTCAGACAGGTAGATAACCTTCCAGAATAGTGTTGAAGTGTAGAATGTTTTTCTTTGTCTTTGTCATTTTTAAATTAAGAGAGGCAGGTTAAGTGGCACCTCTTTTTAGAAATTTTGGATTTCGTCGATTAAATTTTGAGATATCGTTTCCTAAATAAAAAACGATTTTTCCCACAAATTTTGAACCGTCTTAAAATTTTTGTACTACGACAAAGAGAGTTATCAAAACAAATTATATTTTATATTTTACAGAAGCAATTAAGCAATTATCAAACAATTTAAATTAAACCCTCTTCTACCTGATAGAGAAGACTTTGCTCAAAGGTTCTCTCTTTTTAAAAGCGCAGTTTTCCGGTTGTTGCCAAATCGTTGCAAAATAAAACAAAATTCAATTTAACTGAACACTCTTCTATTCTCTACTATTCATTCAGCCGGCTCTCGCAGAGATCTCGGTTTAGTTAGTTGGAATATATCATTTTAAAAAATAAAGTTTGGGTACCTACTAGTGATATCCATTCACATCTACTACTCACAACACCAAACTTAAAAATGGCAAAGATACAGAAAAACAATTGTTAAAGACAATTACAAATAAAAACTTTACTTTAAGCAGGGTTTGATTAATATAATAATGATTTTTAATAGTTACAGCGATTTTTGAGGTTATATTCTTTTTCTTGTTTCTATGGCATTGTTACATTTTGCATCATAGTGGAAAAAAAGAAGAAAATATCCTCTTGCGTTGACGTCATGCTTTAAGTGCCTATTGTCGCACGCAGCGGCAAAAACTTACCCTTAATAAAACGTTTAACGTGTCAAAATAAATCTAGACAAGCAATGGTAAACAGCATATCTTTCGAGGCATGTCTGAAAGTTTTTTTGCACGCCATCATATCCCATATCATGTTGTAGTTGTAGGTATACACTTTATAAGCAATCACGAACCTCATTTGCCTTGATAGTTCTGTAGATGTTCCCCATCCGCTTATCTCCGTATGCCCCAACGTGTAAACGACTTGTCCGTTATTTCATTTTCAAGGTCATATTTTCAAAAGCTAACCAAATTAATTTAAATTTCTTTGGACTAATATAAATGTATATGAGGGGACCATAATCTTAGTTTCAACGCGCGGTATGTGGAGGTAAGTGAGAAAACTTTCGCGTGAAATTGACTTGTCTCTCCTAAATTCTTTCCGTAACAGCGGTGATAAAAGAATTCCAATCAGTCCACTGTAAAATTCACAACTGTTATATACAAATTACGTAATAATGTATATGAACCCATAATTTGTACAGGTAGTCTAACTTGTGTGTTAATAAATCGCTTTTGACTTAATATCGTGTTTTATTTCGGACCTCAAAGCTTACGTTTTTTTTTTCAATGTAACCACTTTTTAAATTTAGTCAAATTGGTAATTCTCACCACAATTCAATTCAAAGATCCCTGCTAACTTATTGATGTGATGTCACCTAGCAACCAAATAACATTTTGATTGGCAGTTCTATTAGAAACGCCAAGAGAAATCGGTGCCAAATTATATCAAAGTTGATTTTAAGAAATGCAAAAAACGCAGAATGATCGTGCAAAGACGCAAACGAAGCTCCAAAAATCGCCTGGTTTGGGAGCGACTCATTTACATTTCCAAGACAAACATCTTTTAAAAATTGTAAAACAACCGAAACGCTGTAGGTTAGCTATTGAGCAAAGAACATTAATTTTTAGCCAAAGTTCTCCAACACGTCGGCCGCTTTGGTTCTCTACCTGTACAACAATCGCATAAAAACGATCGATCATCTGGGAGGGTTCTCGAGATTAACGAGCCTGTACCTTCAGAATAATCAAATAGACAAAGTCGAGAATTTAAAAAATCTAAAATCCTTGAAAAAACTGTATCTCGGAAAAAACAGAATCGGCGTTTTGGAAGGGCTCGAATCCAATGAAACGTTGGAGGCACTCCACGTCGAGAGACAAAGGGTACCTTTGGGTTCTCCCTTGTGCTTTGACCCTCGGACGATTTTCACTTTGTCGGTAAGCTTAAATGACCGAACTGCAAACATTTTATTTAACCTCTACGTTCTTCTTCTTTCGCACGATCATCACAGATCCCTTACACTTACTCCTCTTCTTTTTGAATGTTTGGCTTTCCACCAAATGGAATAATTCAAACTCGTACTGCAGAACGATTTGCGATTCCATGTGTTGCGCGTTTTAGGATACTTTGCAAATTCTCAACGTATCTCACAATCGGCTATCGTCGATCTCGGTTTTGGCACCGTTAAAACGTTTACACTATATCGATGCTTCCTTCAATGATCTGGATAACGTCGAAGATATTACAAACACGATTCGAGATTGGTTGTGTTTAAAAGAAGCGAAATTTGCTGGCAATCCCGTAAGCAAGAGGTATAGATACAGAGAAGACATAATCGCAAACACGCATTGTCTAGGTAAGTCTAAAACGCAAACCTCAGAACACAAAGCAAAGTGGTGACAACATGGTCAAAGTTTACAGAATTAAAATATAAGTTGCCGCACTCTCTGTCGGACCTTTGATTTATCTTTGTTGTGTTGAGATTTAAGCGGACCGCGGCCGCTTCCCCTCTACGTACGGTAGTTCGTTATTCTTCGGGATTACTAGGGATCTCTGATTATATGTTTGTTCCACGTCTAGAGGGTTTCAAAAAGTATGATATATTTATAAATAAATAATATGACGCACTTAATAAAGTTATTTTAATTTTTACATAGTTAAAAATGAAAATTTTTAAACAAATATACGCTTCTTGGACAAAACTATTGAATATTTAAAAATATTTTCGTGACTTAACGTAATCATGCTCTATCGCAAAGTTTAATAACAATATAAAAAAGAAGGTATCACTCTGAACGAAAGATTGAATCATTAAAAAAGAACAAGCCTAGAAAGGTTCAAAATGTGCATGTTTCAAATATATACTTCATTAAATTCGTATTTTTTTTATATTTAGTATAGGAACACAGAATTTTAAAAGACCCTCTGGAGTTTAGTGTTAAGAATAGATTAGAAAATTTATATTGTCAAACCTTTCACGCCTTGTTCTATTTTAATAGTTTAATTTTTTGCTTGGCTTGATGACTTTTTGTCAAAGGAGCTTTGTAGTAGAGCATGAATAAAAATAAATTTACTTATTCGATACTTTTTATTGCAATAATTATTTAAATAGTGGTTTGTATAATTATTGTTTCTATAATTATATTTGTTTTATGTTATTTTTATATAAATTTAATGACAAATTTCCGTCATATCAAATAAGTACGTGTCCCTAAAAGAAAGCCCATTTCAATGCGTATGTACGTTATGAAATTTTCAGCCAACCTTTAACCTATAATTTTGGCATTGTTAATATTAATCTTGCAAGCGAATGAACTGAGCTATAAACAAATGAAAAAATGTTATAGCTTTCTAACTGTAAATATCTATTTCTTAACATAAAATTTATTTTTGTTTCCTTTTAAAACATACATATATCCATTACATAAATGTACCAGTCGATAAGTAAATTCGGCCATTTGTTAATTTCCCAGAGGAATTTTACCATCGGAATTGTAAGTTTATGAGGGCGATTCCGCGCTTCATTTGCAAAGTTCCGATCACTTACTCGACTGTGACTTTGTTCTAACGTTATATTAGCGTATCTATGAGTGCGCAAACATGGATGAGATTGACTATGTAAGCAATAAAATCAATTGAGAAAGTGGGCTACTGGGCTTTCTCTGGAAAGAAAGAGAGAAAAGCTTTTGAAATAAGTTCACCTGGCCTCATCTAATGGACATCGAATGAAAAGACAGTCTTTATAAAAGTAGAACTGAGAAAAGAAGTAGATGGTAGATGAAAAATAATATTTTTATATATTTTCCACGCATAAAGCTATAAAACTGACAGTTAGTATATTCTTTTTGGTTGCCAATTCTGACGTGAACTTTTAAATTTTCGCAACTACTGGCAACACCGCTGTCAGCTGCCGTAGCCGCTTTCGTTTTGTGTTCTGTACGGCGATTTGAAATTTGAGCGGTATTTATGAAAATGCCTTCCAATAGAGTCTTTTTCTTGTGTGATTGTAAATTCTATCCCAAAAATTCTCATATTATCATGAGGACATAGCATTTCTTTCAAACGCATCGATGTTCTGTCTCTATTCGTGAGGGAATCGGCTTGTGTATTCTTAGTACCGACCATTAATTATGAAATCTGTTTGTCACGTTTTTCTTCATTTTGTCCAGAGTCGCTAGACGACAAAAGCATATCGGATTTCACCAGATCTTTTATCAAGGGTTTCGAAGAGGGTAAACTGAATCACGCCCTGAAACGGAATGTGAATCTTGCGGACCTAATTCCCGGTGACAATTGCGATTATTTAGACAAGTTATTTTTTCTATCGAGTATAATTGTTAGGATTACCACGGAATTATCCTCTCGGCTTGCAAAGAGCAGCTTCGGCGTCTATGGTGAGAGATTCCGGATGCCAATTGACGAACGATTTATCTACATTCAACGATGGCCACCTTTACACGCCATGGAACCTGCGTAAGCGCGTTTTCTAGATGCTTTGGGTGTAAACAGGGTGGTCCGATTTATAATGTAGAAACTGTAATAACGTATTCAACGGATAAAAATCGTTATTTGGTATTTATTATTATTATTTAGATATTTATTATTATTATTTGATATGCAAAGAAAAAAAACCGGAGAGATCATTTTTGTTTAGAATTGACCAAAGAATCAACATTTCAGTACCCTTCATCTTGAATTTTAGGATATAAGTTCATATGAACTTTTTTAATTCATTTTATCTGCCGAATACGCCATTAAAGTTTCTCGATTATAATTCGGACCGCCCTGTATATTTTATAAAATCAATTTCAGTGCCCAGGAGAAGACCAATGAGTAGACCAGTTCACTCTCGCACCATTGGCACACTCAAAATGAATAGCAACGCAAACATCCTGGTTAATAAAATTAAATAAGACAAAAATACATATAAATTATTTTTTTTATTATTATTCTTGTATCTCCACTTAATATAAACAATGAAAAGTTCATCTGCGTTTTCTTTCTTCGTCCTTCTTTTTTCGATCCTTTTTCTCCCTGTCCTTTTCCCTATCTCGTCTATCCCTTTCCTTCTCCCGATCCCTATCTTTATCCCGATCCCTGTCTTTCTCTCTATCCCTGCCTTTCTCTTTATGCTTATCTTTACTACGACTTCTTCGTCTTTCTCTAGAACGACTCCTCTCTCTTTTACGTTCTTTCTTCTCTTTTTCCTTGGGAGGTTCTTCTAATTGGTATTTACTTTCCTCCTCGAACTCTACATCTTCATCTAAGTCATCTTCGAGTGCAGATATTTTTGCTTCCAGCTCGTTATTTTCTTCGAGGACGTGTCTCTTTTGGATTCTCGGCAAGATCACATCGCAGACCTAAAAAATACTTAAATCATGCCAAGCTATTAACAAAATTTATCAATTACTCTCTCGTCCCTAAGTAGTTCGTCAATAAATTCGTCCATGTGTATAAGCTCAAACTGGGCCTGCCTATTTTGCCTCCTCAGTTTTCTGTTATCGTTATATAAAGGTTCCAAATATTTATAGCAGTCCAGAGACGACCCGGTTAGTCGCATGTAAAACGCACCCAGAGCTCTGACATACTTGAATTCTTCATTTTTGATGAATTCAACGACGATATCCTTCTCGGGCTGAATTTGGAGCATTTTAAGAGTTAGGCACAGAAAGGGAGTTGGTTTAATATTGCCACCGAAAATCCCGCCGATAAATCTCAACTCCATTGCCTTGTCGACGAGAAGTTCAGCGGTAAGTGCGAAACATTCCTCCTTCCAGTACTTGGAATCGTATATCCTAGAACGGATAATTTTCTCAACGAGGTATTGCGGATTAGTACCGTGAACCGAGCGTGCATCTTTTACGGTTCGATTTGCCATTACACCTCACAAAATATTTGTAAATATGTTTAGGTTCCGCCAAGCTGAAAACAAACAATTCTTTTTTACTTCTTCTTTTTTACTTTAGCCATTATTTCCAGGATCATTCGGCTATTTCCAGTGTTGCTGGATTTTTCCATTTTTTTTTGCGTTAGTTTAAATGTAGATGTGCCAACAATGCGACGACTTCTATTAAGCCTAGAAAAAAGGTTTCTATGTTACACTTGTGGGTACACTTTATGAATAAACAAAAATTTGTTGGTTATGTTTGTGCTTTCGTCTACATTTAAAGAATATTTTGCAATCTTATAAGAGATCTTCTAATACGGATGGATAAACAACATTTTTAATTAACCCAGCACATTTTGCACATGTTTTTACATTTCATCCACTAATATATACGTTGCACCATTTTCTACATTAAAAATACCGAATCCAAGCTATTGACGGTCCGTTGGCGGCCATGTTGGTTGTTGAACGTCGCTAGGTCATTTTGGGTTCAAATGTGATTTTAAATCACGTGCACGCGCATATTGAATTAACCTTCTCATTTTTTTTTCCTAATTGTTTCACAAGCTGGATTATGGGCATAGGCGTTGCATATTTTACAAAAGGCTTTTCCATGGTTAGCTGGACCCGGCACATTTACCAAAATTTAAAACGCCACACTTCAATTCTGAATGTGCCCCACCTGGCTACAGGGCTCGTAGCCTACAAGCATGTTTTCTTATTTCCTTATGTCAGCGCCACCTGAAAAAGGTCAGTTTCACCACAGAACACATTTTTCTTCATATTTATATGGGCCAAGTATCCTAAATTATCCTCACATTATCATATTTAGCCTGAACAAAACATTGTTACTGTAATAACGAAACAAGGTATGTGTGATTTGTTAATTATTGGAATCGACTTATGCAGTGATCAGGGTTTTTATCTTGGGTGGATTATCGTTATAACCTTGACCGTCAAATCAAACAGAGGTGACAGCGTACGAAGTTGAGGTTAAGAAGCGAAAAAATATATAAATCAAAATCAGAAATGTTCGGTAAATAGAGATCGATGGGCAGTTAATCGTTGATAAATCACAATGTCAAATTTCGAAGTTGAACCGGGAGCTTCAACTGAAACCGTCCTCGAAACTGATGGTTTAGAAAATTTCGATAAGTTGAATTCGAGTTTAGAGGAAATTATAAGCGGTAACCAGGCATCGATTAGCGAAGAATCGCAAATAGTTAACGAAAACTATAATGAAAACAGCTTAAACACGGACATAGCTAGCGATTCGGAAGAGGAAGAAGATACGCAAAATTGGGTTTCCAAAAAGAAGCATATATTTGTTTTGAGTGCTGCGGGAAAGCCGATCTATTCGAGGCAGTTATTGATACTTTCTGTCAATCTATTTCTTACAGCAAAATTTGTAGATATGGAAATGAAGATAAGCTCGCATGGCTATTTGGAGTTATGCAAACCCTGGTCAGCTTCATACAGTCGAATGGTGATAACATAAAAAGCATACACGCCGGTGATACAAATTTTATTTTCCTAACAAGGAAACCTTTGATCTTGGTAGCTGTTTCCAAAACCGGGGAAACTACGACCCAGTTAACAACCCAACTAAAGTAATTATGTAATGATTTTGTTTATGTTTCGTTAGCGCCGTAACTTTTTCAAACTAACAAAATTAAGTCTGGCTAATTTATAACTGGTTAAACAGATAACATAATTAATATTAGGTGCCATTTTGTAAATGTTATTATTAAATTCAAAATAGTTTTGCTTTAATGCAGTAGATAAAATTTTTTTTTAATCCAATAATAAAATGGTATCCTTTATTGGTATACTGGAAAATAAATTTGATACATCGAAACAAATTAGTCGGATGTTATCTGATAGTTTCAAAAATTTAATGTTATTTACTAATTCTGTAGAATTCGTGATTGCAAATTTGGCTACGAAATGTGTGATTTCAGTGATGATATTATTACGAGTCTTATTTGATATTCTATTTTGTGAAGTTTGATGAAAGAGTCTATGTATTATGGGTTATGGGTTCGTATTTCTAAGATAGTGAATTTCTTTAAGAGGGATTATCCTGTGGGAGTTTTGAAGAAAGTTTGGTAGTTTTTTGGAAAGGCAAATTCTGCTGTTTTACTGAGAAATTCTAGTTTTTCAATGGTATAATATTACATTTTTCAGTTGTTGTAAGAATGTATCCACGTTCCTCACTATACTCGATTCAGTATCTAAAAAAGATACTGATTTTTTCCATTCTCTGTTCTCTGTAAAGAACCTTTGGGATAACAACATTCGGCCGGTTAGAAATATGGTCTTCAAATTTTTTTCCACACTAATACTGAGCGATGCACAGCGGCCCATAAATTATTAACCTGATCAGAATCGGCTGTTATTGGTAAAGTCGTTATGAAAAAAGTAAGTTTCCGAAATTTCGACTTATCAAATTAAAATTCGGCAGGAATTTAGAGTTCCGTCCTCAAATAGAACCTATTGAAACAGGGGATCGGGAAGTCCCGATGTATTTTTTTTTTTTTTATTTTATTTATTTTTTTTTCGGGGGGCGGAAAAACTCGATTTTCTCGAAAGCCGTATGCCTGATTAAAAAAACTCTTGAACTTGAAGCGCGAGATTTGGCGCAATAACCCAAAAGTATAGTTTAGTCAAAAATGTACAGGGCGTCTCGGTTGTGTAAGTGGAGTCTACAAGAAACTAAAAACTGTTTTCCACTCAGGAAAATCGTTTATTTCTATTTTGAATATGTCTAAAATATTCTCATGTTTATTCGTATATTATAGTATGGTACGAAATATATTATACGGGGCGCACCCAAACGAACAAATTTAAAATAAAATGACCACTATCGCTTTTCGTTTACTATACTGGGTGGTAGTAAAAAAATTTATTCGTTTGCGATGCGGCAGAATGATAGAGAAACAGAATATTGAAAAACATGTGATAGGAAGAACTATAAACTTGACTGGATTCTTTGAAAAATCTTTTCATTATTAAATTAGATACTTCATCCAGTTACAGTGTCAACGAACAATTATGGCTTCAAACTTTCACCAAGCATGGGGTGCAAAACATTTAATTATGTTAAAGTTTTTTTTCTCTAATTTCAGCTATGTATTTAATCAAATAACCAGCATGTTAACATTGACGAGGCTCACCAAAATATACGAGCAAAGGCAAAATTACGACCTCAGACGACTGTTGACAGGAGTCGAAAGGTTGATACACCATATACTCAATTTTTCCGAGATCGAGCCCGAATTTACGTTGGGCGCGGTTCAGTGCCTCCCTTTGGCCAGCTCGGTCAGGGACTCCATTAGTTCCGCCATAATTAACGCCTGCAATAAGATAAAGAATTTGGTATTTGCGATACTCCTAGCCAATAACAGATTAATAACAATGGTCCGCTTAAAAAAATATTGCCTTCACCCGGCCGACCTCCACTTGGTGTTTAACCTGGTGCAGGCGTCGGAGAGCCTCAAACATTCGGAGAATTGGGCCCCTTTATGTCTGCCCCGGTTCGACGCCAGTGGGTTTCTGTACGCACACGTGTCGTACTTGGCAGAAGATTGCCAAGCCTGTCTTCTCCTTTTAACGGTAGAAAAGGACGTGTTTTTTACCCTCAGGGAAGCAAAGCAAAAGATAGTGGAAAAACTGAGGAGGGGCAATTGTTTGGAAGCCATCAACGAATCGCTGGCCAGTGCGGAGGAGACCCCAGCTTCCGCTGGGTTTCCGGAATTGAGGCATTATTTGTATAAGTGTAAATCGACGGCTCAGTTTTATCAGCCTTCGATAGGGCCGCCCTACTCGAAAGACCCGGTCAAGTTGATGGAACTTTACAAGAGGGCCCATTGCAAAATCCACCATCCCACGAGGCCTCTGAAACTCGTCTTCGACAGATCGTCGTCGGAGGCCGTTTTGTCTTGGGATACGAAAGGTTTCGAGTTGTACATGGTTTTCGAACCGTTGATCCAAACTGACTGCGCCATCAACTTGGTCGGTAGGTTGTTAAACTGGATCAAAAAACGGGAAGATAGATTGTTCCATCTGAACGCTCCCACTTTTTGATAAGGAAAATATATTTCAAATCCGTTAAGTTTCCAAAAACCCATTTTATTTAGCTGAAACCGAATATATAAAAAAATATTATTTTTGCCTTTCAGATTTTAGAATAACCTTAATCAGTTACATTAACAATAAAACTAACCAAGAATTGAGAGAAAACATTGTTTTCTACAAAAGCGCTGAAATGGCACATAAATAAAATATAGGTTTTATTTAATTAGGCAATTTTTTTAGGAATAAGTAGAATTTCTGAAAAATCAGGCAGAATTTCAGACATAAGTCATAATATTTGAAAAACAAGTCATAATTCTGACATAAACTAGAATTTTTGATAAATAAGTCAAAATTTCTGAAAAAAAGTAAGAATTTTTGCAGATTAGCTAGCAGCTTGTCGTTTCACAGCGGCCCTGTCTTCAGAGTTCCAGCTAACCTTGTAATTGGCTCATCTTTTGCCTTCCGAGTAGACTTTGATCTTGGCTTGAGTCAGAATTTGTTATATATATCAGAATTTCTGAAACCCAAGTCAGAATTTCTAGCTTAAGTCAGAATTTCTGAAAAACAAGTCATAATTTCTTAAGTGAGAATTTGAAAAAATAAGTCAGAAAACTGAAAGAATTTTCAATTTTTCAAGGAATGTCGCCGAACTGTCGGTTTTTGACTTATATGCAATTAAAAAGTTCAATATATTTGTCCTTTTTTTTTAAATAAATAAGTTAACAGATGAAATGGCACGGTGAGAAATAAAAACCCAATATTTAGCCATTACGATTTTGATAATATTAATGAAAAACTTCAAATCAAATATTCGAATTTCATAATATTCTAGTCTAGTTCTTCTTTATGAACAACCCAATACTTGTTTTTCAGAATTTCTGAAAATATGACTTATTTTTCAGAAATTCTGACTTAAATTATTCAGAAAATGATTTGTTTTTCAGAATGGCTTATTTTTCAGAAATTCTGAGTTGTTTTTCAGGCATTCTAACTCATTATTCAGAAATTCTGACTTGTCCTAAAAAATTTGCCTATTTAAACTGAAACCTATACCGTATTATTAAATGAAGCTTGAGTTGCCAGTTTTCCGAAAGGTGACCGATTTTCTAAGTTGAGACCATCTCCTCTCATATTTTCCTTTTTTTTAATTTGCTTTGACATTTTATCGTTAAATACACAAAAAACTATGGCCAACTAGGAAATTTAACCATTTGTCTATGCATACTTTGATCGAACAAATGTCCACGCTATTACATAATGTAATACACCTATGTTATTTATGTAACGCACCAAATTATTTTTTTTAATCAGTCGATCGGTGAAGAAAAACGATATCCCAAATTAAAAAAAAAAAGGTAAAAGTGACACCCTTAAAAATTGCATTTGATTATACTTTACCTTAAGATAATATCAAATCCGCGTTTCAAAAATTTGTATTGATATAAGTTTTAAATCTGTGATACAAATTGAGCGGCAATATAGCTGCGAAAATATCCTAATTAAAATCGTTTGTTGTTGTGCCTTTTTGTTTTATTTTTCCCGTCTGCAATTTTCCTTTCCTAATAACATTTGACAGTTCGTCAATACGACAGATTTCAGTTTATATTTGGCATTTTTATGACAGCATTTTCTTGAATGTGTCCAGATCTCGTTAAATGTTCTGGGAAAACTAGTTATACGACTCCTTAATTCGAAAGTTTATTGTTATCACTAAAACCATGTCCTATTGGCTAGGCTTATTCTGGGCTTATTGTTTTGAACCACATACCTTTTAGATAACAGTGGCCTTACTACGGTAAAAAATTATGCGCCACAGGCAACATCGATATTTTCCGCTTTGCGCCTTTTTCTTTCTAAACAGCGATTTCCACTCACTTAATTGAATTTCCCAGAACAATTATCGAGATCTACGCATATTTTGACAAAATACTAGCGCAAAAATCCCCATCCAAAGTTATTGACGATCTGTCAGCGTCCATGTTGGTTGTTGAATACCGCAAGATCATGCGCATGTTGAAACGGACATGCTCAATTTTTTTACAGTTGCTTCATAAGTTTCTGTAATCGGCCTCAATATCTTTAGTATCTATATAGTTTGAACACAGTTTCATCAAAAAGTAAACACCACCGAAAATGAGGTTAAGCTAAACTCAAGGATTATCAAATAACAATTGTCAAGAACTAAGGGAGGAAATTATTAAAGGTTTCTTCATTCCAATAATATTTAAATGATTCGATCGCATTCTAATAATTGGACTCACGTAGTGTGTGACATATCGACTTTGCGCATTAGATACCCTATTTCGAAAATCTTAATTAAGAATAAACAAATAAGAAAATATCGGTATTTATGAAATACATTTAACAAATATTCCCTTACAAATAAATTATTACGTAACTACACATTTTTTGAACGCTTAACTTATTTCTTGGAAGTTCACAATATCTTCTAAGTAGTGTCTGGTTTCTTCGCGGAAGATTCTGACGATTCACTACACACACTGTAAAAGTCTTCATCTCCCACTGACGAACGGACACTGTAAAACGACTGGGAACTGATCACACTACTCGTGGAAGAACTTCTACCGACACGTCCGGTTCCAACAACTTCGGTATTTGAAGTAGGATTTATGACATCGCCCCCCGGTTGATGGACGGAGGTAGAGACCGGCTTTTTCGACGACTTTTTCGATTTTTTCGATATCACCTCCAACGGAAACGAACATTGCGGCCCTGTAAAAATTCTAAACGATTAACTTTCGGGTAATCCTACAGCTTACGCATATAATATGTGGAGAAATTTTAACTATGGTCGTCGAATGACACTCGAGCGTGCAGTGTTGTCAAACTTAGTGACCGGAAAATAATATAAAAACTAAAAACCGTGCATGCATTATATAAGCAATAATAATTTAAATAAAAAACAAACTGAACTACGCAAATACATTGTAAGTATCTTTTTTGGAATATTTTTAGGCAAGGCGGATTTTCGATATTATTATGATGAACCCCATTGTAGAATTTTTTGTAAGGTTACCGTAGAAACATTGAAATTCTGTTTGGAAATAGAAAACTTAAATCAACAAGGAAATAAAATTTAAATGAAATGGGCAATAAAGTATGTAAATTTTCAATATAAAAAAATTATATGCAATGCAAATAAACTAAAACTCAACAAATTGAAACGGTTAACGTAGTCCTGGAATAAGTGTTTCATTATACCAGTTATAAATGTTGACACAAAAATTGTAGTTTGAAGGGTTTAATGTGCAGATGTATAAGTATTGTAATATCCGAGTTACATCTTTAAAAATAGAAGCCCTGTATGTTATTTCTTAAAAGACCTTTACAACATGTTTTAGTTATTTTTTATATTAAGCCAAAAATAAAATCTTCACCTAGTTGCTATGCATGATCATGACGTCACGCCAACGCCATATCTTTCATTGTGTCATATTATTATTGTTTTAAAATGCATAAAAGAAAAAAAAAAGCCAAATAATTCCAACGAATATATTACGTAAAAAATGATATATAAAAACTAATTTATTGTTTAAGAATATTGCCGTAAATGGTGAAAATGCCCGCCATTTTCCTGAATACACAGTTGATGCCTTTTTTTTAACTTGTGTAAAGCTTTGATTATCTAGTCAAGATGCCAAATTATTAATATTATTTATTTCGTTATATTGTTTTGTTTTTAAAATATCTTAATCCAACCCATGGATATGTATGAGTTAAATATACTTTTATCTTGTTGCCATATAATATCTTGGTTGAACTGTATAACTATGCTTAACCTTAGTGTTATGTACGATATTTCAAGTGCGTCGCTATTTGAAACATAGGTAATAAAGTATCACCATCCAGACGGATGAATACTGGGGTTTTCAAGATAAATTGCATTGCAAATCTAAAATAAAATTATTTCTGAAAAATAATTTAGTTGGGTGCTGCGAAAAAGTTGTATTTTGTAGCAACATTTATCAATTATCTTCTAAACAATTACATTTAAGAAATAATTTATTGATAAACATTTCCAAAACTAAACCATTCACGCTCGGCGCCCGCACATAAAATGAATTAAATCTCTTATTATTAAACAAATGATTAGATAATAATTTTTCGATTAAATTAGTCGTATTTTGTATTCAAAGTAACTGGGCAATGTCATATAAAATGCCTAAAGAAGTGACAGACAAGTTTCTAAATAAAACAAAAAAAAAATTTTTTGCCATTAAATTTAGATTAAAAAATAAAATTAAAAATATGCAGAAAGTGTGTTTTTAATAATAATTATATTGTATTACATATAATTTTGTGGCTCAATATTTCCCTACCCTTTATTTTAAACAAGGAGAAAAGTTGACTGACTCATAATTTTCGAAGAACTGGTGACGCCAGCCATAAAACCCAAATCCATGCCAGACATTCTGGAAAAGGGGATTATAAACCGATTTGCCACTGTTTTTCCAAAAGTCAATCGATATCAAAATGAACAATTATTTACGATCAATCACATTTTCGAATGTATGTTTTGTTTAACCACAAAAGGAACTTTATAAAGCGATTAGATTATAATAGATCTGAAGTGCTAATACAAAACGTATGTGTTTTTGAGAATGGTCTTTGATCATCTTACTCCTTGCCCCGTTGTATCATCAAGTATCATTAGGAGGTAGGTAAAGCATCAGCAAAAAAAGAAACCTAGAAGTAATCTCAAATAAATTTCTAAATACGGGCCATTGCAGTTATACACCTGATGGCATTATAAGACACGTGCACAATATACATCGTATTTACATCCTAGAACCACAAGTTTACATTATTGAAAAAAAAATGTTCTCACTTTATTTCCAATCTATGTTTATTCTTGGAGTAGGAATATTGATTTGCATCTGCCCGTATATACATAGCTTAATTTATCAAAATAACTTACCTTTATTTGATTCGCCTTCATTTCTGCTTCTCGCACGACAGCAAGTCCAAAACATTATTTTATTTCCAACGGAAATACCTTTACATCGTATTTAGCAAAACCCACTGAAATATCTAAGCGTCGGTTGACACTTTTATCAACTTTTTGCGATAAACGTGCTTATTGCTTTAGAAAAAAACGATAGCCAAGTTATTTTAATAACTATTTCGATGTTGAGGTGGTAATTATGATCGTTATATTCACAAAACAATTACTTATTAGCAATTCTAGTTTGTTCTCTTGTTAAAATATTGCTAGCTTATTGTTCGTATTATTTGCCAAAATTTAATTTATTATTTTGAATTATATAGGGTGGTGCATCACATTCGCCTCGGTTTTTGTACGTGAAATGAAAAGTGCTGGAGGTAAATTTATGCCAACCCAAAAAAACCTGACCGTTTCTGAGAAATTTTCTGAGATTATTGAATTTAATTATTGATGAAATTTTTTTTAGAACATGTGTTTTTTTTCCGATCAGTCAACTTTTCATAGCATCCTTTTCATGCATCTTGAATAATGGAGCGTTGGTTAAAATAATAATTCTTCTATCATTTAAGTTCATTAATTTTCCACTTAAATTTGTTGAAAATCATTTTTAGGCTTCTAATCCCTGCAAAGGGAATTAGAAGAGAAAGCGAATTATAGGCAACCAGGCGTGCTGCCACTATTTAGATTCAAATTAATTAAGTTAAAATCCCCCACGTTTTGACCTTTGTTTTTTTAACAATATCCATTATCTAATACAGGAATGTGACGTTTTTGGATTGAAGAGTTATGGCATACCACTTTGAATTCTGTGATGACCAAAGTTATCTACGATAATAACGTAGGACGATCAAAACATGACGTTTTCAATTCCGATAGGAGCTAAACAAGTGAGGTTATATCGCGAGATACTGTTCGGTCCTGTTTTCGAGAAAAATTATCTATGAAAAAGTTGCCGTTATTAGTAATAGATACCTCGATCCGTAGAATAACCGTTTTTATTTGAATTTCTCGATAGGTAATTGGGATTGTAAAGTAGTAAAGAATGTCTGATTTTGGCGACTGGTACAGAAGCGTCCCTCGATTCACTAGGGCCTGGTTTACTGGAACAGTAGCTCTTACTTTGCTAGGCCGATTCGGTTTAATATCACCGTTAAACCTTATTCTACTGTTTGAACCCGTTAAAAGGTTCCAGATATGGAGGCTGCTTACCTGCGTTTTATACTACCCACTTTCTCCTCAAACCGGATTTCATTATTTAATTAATTTATATTTTTTGTACAATTACTCTAGAAGATTGGAAGAAGGTTTGTATTCGTCCGCACTTGAAGTGTGTCGAGGACTTGTAGAGAAATTTAAATGTATTTTCAGGGCACTATGGAGGACGGCCAGCAGACTATGTGTTTATGTTAATATTTAACTGGATTTGTTGTGTTATCATTGGTCTGGTCGCGGATATGCCGGTGAGAGGTTATAGTTGTAGTATATAATTCTTTTAAATTCAATTTTTTTCAGCTGCTTATGGACCCGATGGTCCTATCGGTACTCTACATTTGGTGTCAGCTAAACAAAGACGTCATAGTCACGTTTTGGTTCGGTACCCGTTTTAAGGCAGTTTTCTTGCCGTGGGTTCTTCTGGGATTTAATTTAGTGATGAGCGGAGGCGGTGTCATGGAACTCGTGGGTATCCTGGTTGGTCATCTTTATTTCTTCCTCGCTTTCAAATATCCTCAAGAATTGGGCGGTCCATCTTTATTACAAACGCCCGCCTTTTTGAAGCAGTGGTTCCCGGATGAAATTGGTGGAGTGCACGGCTTCGGGGTCCCTCCGGAACGGCCTCCGGGTGTCCCAAGGGGAGCCGGCATTTTTAGGGGGGGACACAACTGGGGCCAAGGACATGTGCTAGGTGGAAATTGAAGTTTTCCACCCTATATTTTTCTTACTTATAATGTATTTTGTTTCTAATAGGTTTATTTAAAAAAAACTCGTTTTTCTATAAAAAAAGAAATGCGGTTTTTCCAGCATTGAAAACGTTTTTTTGTCTGCATTTACATTTGCAACAGATACAAAGAGAAAAGCGAACGCACGTTTTCTCTGGTTTACAAATTGACGATTAACCGAACACAACCAGGGAAAAGTTATGAAAAAAAAAAGAATAAATTTGATCACTTTTCTGTCTAATATCTACAGAGTATGTCGCAATTCGTAATGGGCGAGTGTTCTCAGCAGATATGCTAACATTCCAGTGAATGATTCTGTGGTGGAGCATTGTACGCGGCGGTTTAACCTCCCTTCGTTCCCTACAGAATCCTTTGTAATCGTCCAAAAAAATTTTGAAATCAGTCTCCACTAGGCGGATTTAGTGTTTTCAGTGTTTAGTGAACGTTTTAAAGTGATAATCGTCGCCGATTCCATCGCTTTTGTCCGTTCACGCCTGTATGGAGGCCGGATGGGCCGCGGTGGAAGCGGGGGAGTGTCGGTTTTTTTGGTATCGGTCAAAATTGTTTTTTGCTAGTTGAGCTAGTTATATGTCTTCTTTGTACGTGTTGGTCCATGTCCAAAAGCGAAGATCTTCGCCGGAAGTCGGCAATGGGCGAATGATCCTAGCACTCTTGCCCAACATTTTTTGTGAAACGCATAATTTAATTGAATTGAATTCCATTGAATCCAAGAATATGTGACATAAATTTATGGAATGCGGAGTAAAACAAATGATGACGTAAAAAATTGTACGTGTCTAAGTAGGTTATGTTATTATTTATTAGAAAAAATAATTAAGGAAATTATTTATGCAGTTTTATTTAATTATTTAACGATGGGCGTAGCAGTGAGTAGAAATTTAGATCTATCGGCAAACGAGTACTGTCTAAAATTTGTTGGACGAGAGCCGATAACACAAAACGATCCGTTTTGGAATCGGTTTTTGTCATTTAATATATTTTCACCCACTTCCAGGTACGATACCGGTTAAAGTAAAGTAATATTTTAGCAAAATTTATGTCTCTTCCTTTTTAGAGACGACCAGTTGTTCTTAGAAGCAAAAATTGAACCTCTATGTCAAGAACTATTGAAAAACAATTCGAGTTCTGGCAACCTAGGAACGTTATTACAATTATTCAGTGACAGATCTTCCGAATTATTAAGCGTCGACGATTCTGAACCGTAAGAGTTTATATTTACATTGCAAAATTTTTCGTATTTTGATTTGAATGCTTTTAGAAATGTTTTCAATTGGCAACTGTACAACACTTTGTTCACTATAAGATGTACGCTTAAGTTTTTAACTGAAACTGTGACCGAAGACGAGCTTCTTAATATTATTGAGTGCAACGGGAATGGGCTAACTTTGGAAACATTCATAGGATCATTATTTGGTATTATCGTCGACGTTCCGGTTCAGGATTCCACATTTGGTGTGCATCTTGAAGCAATCACTTGCCTGTTGGTCCTTTTATCAGTCCAGTTTCATTCTGGTCAAAGGTCAGACCACAGCAGGATCTACTTTATTGTTATGAAAGGCAGGCACATTATCCATACTCCTCTTTTCGTCAAATGTTTATTAACAAATTTTGTTAGTCAGCTGAAACCTCCAGCGGGATTTAATGGCAATCCGGGACATAGTCTCGTTTTAGGTAAGGGTTTGTTCAGGGGCGCAGTTTTAATACTATACATATTTTTTATCTGTAAAGATAGAAAATTTTGTAATTTTGTAAGATAACTTGCCACATTTTTTTAAGGTTTAGCTTCAGAACTCTGGTCACTGTTGACATTCAATAGAAAATTGGACAATCAGCCTGTTAGCGAGCAAAGTGAATATCAAAATTGTCCGTTGGCGGTGCATAGCCTCCTTTTACTATTGGTGCTCGTACATAATTGGACAACGTTAAACAATCCATATAGACTGAGTTTGTTTTCTTGTGTAAATCAAGGTAGTACCTCAATATTGTTTTGTAACTTTATATATATTACAATTTCCTTACAGATAACAACGCCGTATTACCGACCAAAGAGGCGACTTTGTTCAAAGTCGATTTTAATAGTTTGTATTTGACCCTTTGCAAAAAAATAACCGGAGATGGACCCACGTTGCTTTTGTACTTATTGCTGCATCGAAATGCCGCATTTAAAACGTATTTGTTAGATAGGTTAGACCTACAGGAACTGGTAAGTTGATTTCACAAAACTATCGATCGCCCACCTTATAGTTCTTCTTATCCGCGTCGTTCTATTCATATATTTTTTTAAAATAGTTCTCTTACGAAATCGGTCTTTATCGCCTTAAATCAAAATTAAAAAAGTTCTCGAAAACCCAATTTCCGTCGCCCTATATACTGGTGCCTTTGGAAATAGAAATAAACATTTTTTCCAAAATTGAAAACGTTTGTTGTCCTTTTGTAAGCCTGTTTATTGTTGACTTGGGGGTTTCAGTCTAATATATCGCGTGCAAAAAATCGTAGTATGTATCTCCCGCATCTTGTACATTTGGCGAAAACGGTAAATGCAAAAATTGTAGCCCTCAACGCCGCCTTAATAGACCTTAAAACCAAACTGCGCTTTTTGTCTTGTAAATAACCGAGGCATCCTGTAGACTTTTGACTAAACTATACTGTTGGAGTATCCCTTCAAATCTCGCTCATTTTCCGGTTTCAAGTTTTTCCGACCGGGGTTTTCAAGAAAATCCTGTTTTTCCGGTATTGAAAAAAAAATTTTTTTTCTTTTTTTTTTAAATATTTTAGTGCTGGGGGGTGGAACTCTAAATTCTAGGCGATTTTCAGCCCAACAGCTCGAAATTTCGGACACTTGCTGTGTTTCGTGGCGACTTTCCAAGCAAAACTTAAAGTAATAGCCTACAAAATGGCAGTCTCAATATTTAGTGGGCCCAAGCGCAATGCGTAGTATACCAGTTCGAATATTATCGGCTTCAAAAACAAAACAAAACAATAAGTACCCACAGAACTGAAGAATATAAAAAGCAGCGTAAAAAGCAGACATCTGGACTACCAGTAACTGATGAAGTCTTAATTTGAAACCAAGAGAATTAACATAACGCCCGGTTATAATAAAAATTACAACTATCTGAAAAAAAAAATGAAGAGAGGCGAAATACAAGTAAAAAGACTGTTTCTTTATTCTGTTCCTAAATGTCAAATGTGATTGCGAAAAGTCGTGTATATTGAACTTATTTAGAATAAAAGCTATATTATAAGAAAACAATTTTATAATACTCCATTTACGATGTTGAGGAACAGTCAAATGCTTCTTGTGACGTAAGTTTCAACCATGTCTATCAATTCTACAACAAACTTTGTTGTACAGGCGATGTTTTATACTTAATAACTTTGTAGAAAAAGGTTGCGATATGGAGCCTATATCTGTTAACCAAAACTAAGCCAATCAGATTTGTTTACGTAAGGTGTTATGTGGTCTCTGCGACTCACTGCATATACTGGTCTGCGATATGAATTCTGCACGTTCTGAGTGCGATGTTTTTCACCCGTATTTAGGCAGGGCATGTATTCACTTATAAAATGATTCATTTGTGATAACACAAGAGTATCACATTAAACTACTATAACAAGTGCTGAGTTTGAGTGTAGGATTAAGCCCAAACTCTACGAATTTTAAGGTTAGGTTATTAATTTTCATTTTAATATTCATTCGTGTATATAATTAATCTGCTGGTCATTACCAAAGAGTATAAATGATGAGTTATTTGGATTTAATTTTAAAAGATGATCCGTAGTTATACCAAAAAACTTTTTCAAGTCATAATTAATCCTCTGCTATCTGCGTTAAAAGAATGATAGAGATGGGCGTCGTCAGCGTAGACGTAATATTTACAATAATTTAAACCTTACAAAACTGAGAAGTAAAGATCGTGAACAGCAAAGGGCCCAAAATAATTCCCCGTGGGACTACGATTTGAACATTTAGGGAATTAGATATCCGGCCATTATAAACCACCTGATGAGTTCTTTCACACAAAAAGGAGCAAATGAGCTGACGGGATTCATCACTGACCCCCATATATAGTGTAAAATAACGAACAGAATTTCATGATTACTCTCAACTGCTTTTCTAAAACTGTTTCTAAGACTTTAGAGGAGAGTGGGCTAATAAACGTTTGTTCGTAGATAGTACCGATTTTGAGAACTCTGTACCATGCTCCCAATAGTCACTCCCACCATATTTACATGTCGCTCATCATTCTCCTGATTTTGAGCGAGGATGAAACATTTAACAAAACAATTCACGAAATAGTAAGTAGAAATGTTATCAGGCTTACAAGTAAGCTTTTTGTCAAGCAGAGTCAAATCAATTAACAAATCTTCTGGATTCCTACTGCGCCGGTTCTTGATAAATCGAACTTGATCTTTTAATTCTTTAAACAGGATCCGGAAGATTTGTAAAAAATATTACAGCAGCCTTTAGGAAGTTCTTTAAAAAATTAAAGTCCACGGAACACTGTGTTTTAGAAGCTGAAAAACATTACGTGGTATACGGAGAGATCTTTGACGGAAATCTCTCTCGGAGGTCTGCTGATTTTAGTCATAATCAGGACGATTCAATACAACATGCTCAAGATGAGAGACAAATACCTTCATACGAATTGCCTGGCGGCCTTGGCGAACATGTCTTCCCAGTTTAGGGACCTTCATCCCTACGTGAGCCAAAGATTCGTGTCGTTGTTCGAAACGTTGGCGAAAAAATACCAAAAATTATCCGGAAGACTGAAAGACAATAAACATCTGAACGATAGTGACACGAGCACTTGTGTAACCCAAGACGAAAACGAGTTGGAACAGGACATCAACGTGCTGGAAGAAATCTTAAGAATGATTTTGGAAATTTTAAATTCCTGCCTATCGACCCAGCTGGTCAACAATCCCAACTTGATCTACAACTTGCTTTATAATAAGCACGTGTTCGAGTCTCTCAAAGACAACATGGTGTTCAAAGATATCATACACAATATCGCCGTTATAATAAGGCACTTCTCGGAACTACTGTGCGACAAGAAGCAGCAAAACGAAGTCGACGCACACCAAGTGCTGCAAGTGATACGACAGGGAAGCAAATATTGGCCCAAGGATAAAATCACGGTGAGTACGAAACAAAAACGGAAGCCAAAAATCAAAAAATAGGAAATAAATCGTTTTAAACAAAAATAAATACTGCACAATTTCATTCGCTCTTGTCTTCCCAAACAAAATTGACGTACCCTCAGCGGCCATTTTGAGTGGTGATCGCCGCCTATCGGCCGCGAACGAAATTTGAAATGTCATATCTAATGCGTCATTAGTGTGAAGTAATATTTTTTGGTTAGGCTTGGTGATTTCGGCTCTATGTTTTTGTCTAAGCATTTTAGAAGTGTTTTTAAACTGATTAAAGTGTCATAAAATAAGTAAAAAATAAGTTATATGGAAATAATTATTGTTTGGTATAACTATATACTACATATAATAATGTAAGACGGCCTCTTTTTTTCTGGATATTACCTTCTCTGCGTCAGAAAACAGTTGGTCCATTTTCTTGTTGGTCATCCACAAAATGACAGCCGCACAAGAGCGAAACGAATGAAAGTCATTTTAAAAACACTCGAAATAAATATTTATATCCCTTGGAAATTGATAAAACACACACACTAACTTTAAGTGTGACTAACAGCTGAAGATAAATTTTAAGGATAAAAAATGGTTATAACAATACTATTTTTGAATTTATAAAATGGTTACCAAAATTATATACACTTATATTCTTCTAATGGGTGAGGTTGTCCAATGTGCATCTTAATCAGGAATGTAACATACATACAAATTAATTAAGTACAAATATAAAACAACTGACTGAATATTTTAAATTGAAGTTTCTCCATTTTACAGATCAGGAAATCACCCTTAGTGTGATAAAACTTTTAATTTATTTTTATTTTATAAAACCATCCTACTCGTTTTTGCATTAAAGTTAGTAGACTTGAGACTCTGGAGGGCACTATTTAAATCGGAGACTATTAAGGCTTTCCTTAATTTATCAGTACATAATCAAAAGTCAAACAAATTTTAATTAGAAATTATTTACCTAAAAAAAACTTCATAATAAAACATCAAAAAATTATGCAATTAATCACAAACATACCGCAATACCATTTATAAATAATTTTAAAAATTCTATTTTTATACCAATAAAAAGTAAGATTTCAGTTAAAAAAATGAAATTTTGTATATTCAATACCTTGTTTAAGTGATTCATTTTTAAAAAGAAATAAATGCCTTAATTGATCGAAGATTATTAGTAATTTAAGTCAGTTATTTCTTCTAACAATAATGTTTAAAATAATCCAACAATTAAATAAAGCAACAAATAATAAAAATCAAAAACAAAGTTATTTACTTGTACTTTCCTAATTCATTGAAAATGTCACTAATGTATGTTAAATATTTTTATATAAAATATTTCTTTTATATAATATTTGTACCAATTTTAGATTCTTGATAAAGATCCACATCGTGGTCGAAACGTTGAATAAAAGTTAAAGTATTTAAATAATTTTTGCTATTATTGACCAACTTCAACCCAATAACAATCAAACAGTATAACTCTTTCAACATTGAAGAATAAAAAGATATTTATATTCGTCTATTTTGCCTTAAACTGAATATGTTTTAATTATTGGTGCTTAATTAATCAGCGCTAAAAGAAAACATCAAACTGTATCTAAATTAACCGTGATGTCAGCGCTAATTACGGGTATATAGAAATACACCTAATTTTTTTCCATATTTAATCAAATCTGGGCAAATTTTGACAAGATGCTGCCCAAAAAATGCCACATACGAAATAAAAAAAAAATGCGGACACCTCCCTCTCTTAGGTAAACCGTAACATCTAATATGTTTTTGCCCCTTATGCAGAAATTTCCGGATTTAAAGTTCAAATACGTTGAAGAAGATCAACCGGAAGAGTTTTTTATACCGTATGTCTGGGAGTTGGTGAACCGACTCTCGATATTGACCTGGTCGACTTTATCCACAAGCACCGTCATCTGTTAGCGGCGACTTATAGTTTAATATTTTTGTATTCCAATGTACATAACCTAATAATAATTAAATATTGGTAATATTTATGTTCTTAAAGTTGTTAACATCTAGGTTTTATAAATAAAATTATAACGGTTGTTAATGTTCCAAGTTTTTTTTCAAAGTAAAATGTTTGTCTTCTTCGCGTTAAAAAGAAGACTCGAGTTAGGCTCGCAGACTTTAGACTTTTGGTACTCCATCGCAGTCTTACTAGTTTATACCAACAAAAAACAACTTAAAAAAGTTTATCAAACATGTTGCATACTATAATTTTTCCACGACTGTTAGTTTTTTGGTTACATTATTGCAAAATAACACGAATACTTTCACTGACATAAGCGTTAGAATAGACAAACGTCAAAATTCAATCCCTGCGGTAAAATCTACGATGGCTCCCAACCCCGTGCGGTAATATCCCGGAAATGTCCGAAGTGACTCGGATCCGTGGTAAAGTAACGCTTACCGCACGCTAGATCTCCCCTCAACATATTTGCATCATCTTAAAATGTAAAATGTTTACCTTGATTATATATCTATGATTCTAGTGATTACATAATATAATGGCTCTATGCGTCACCTATTAACTGAGTTGACACATTCTCGTAATTTTTCTGGATCATTGATTTATTTTTATAAAAACATAGTATCAGTCTGTGTAATTCGGACTCCGGGCATTATTGGCAACGCCGGGCCAAGTTATTGCTATTGTGTCTTTGTTTTGGGTGTTTCGTTATTATCTTCCCACTTTTTCGTGTTTTCGCACACGGGTAAGTGCAGCCTTATACGCACAAGTTAGTTTGCAAATACGAGTGCTGTAATTTCGCACTTGTCGGTACTTTTTTAAACAACTCAACTTCCATCCAGTTATATTTTGGGAAAATGGACAAAAAAAAATTTCATAGTTGCTTCCTAACCTCTATCATGTCCCGGGGAAGTTGGTTCTCATGAAATCATTAAATCAGTAATTCAATTCGAGGTTTTTAGAAAGTCCACTTCTACTGACAATGTGGAAGCAATTGGGCAGCTTTCCGGAACGGTTTGAGTTCTTAGAAATAAGAAGAAAAATTTTACCTACTGGGGACGGCGCAACTTGAAAAGTTGATTCTTATGCGCTGCCCACAGAATCCATTTTTTTTAACGTATATTGTTATAAAATGACAGCAAAATGGTCGATGACCAATAGGAAAATTTTAACTGATAACACTATTTACTTAAAAGTTTAAAGCTGGTTGTAAACTAGCTTTACGTTGAGTTGGCCAAAAATTAATTAAAATTAAATTAAAAAATTAAAACTATATTTCGTTGTTATATCTTAGAAAAAATTTTTGGAATAGGTTTTTGTGATTTAATATATTTTCACCCACTTTTGGGTAAGAGACGGGTTAAACTCATTTGAGCCTTTTTTGGTAATTAACTAACTAACTAAATTGTTTTACCATTTATTTTTTACGTACAAAAAATGTTGTTCATTTATGTAACTTTCGCTCTTGGCTAATCTGCGCCTTGCTTTTTTTTCTAAACACCTCTTTCTTCTTTTCTTTAAGTTTTTTGTCTTTGCTGGCTTCCTGCTGAGCCACCTCTCGCCTATGTTTCTCTAACCTTTCCTTGGTTTCCTGCTTGATTTTTTCTTGTCTATGCTGATACGATGTTTTGATCATTTTCATCATTGCCGATATCTAAAACAAATATTTATAGTTGCAATTATATTTTGGTATTTATCTCAGTGCCTACCTTTTGCTCTTTCGGTTCGCGAATTACAGCGACACGCTTAATACTCTTCTTGTCGGAATTCTTCACGTGCTTCGGTTTGTCTCTATACGGCAACGCTTTCTGCAGTTTCGCCGGTATAACCAGCGGTTTGAACGGTTTTTCCTCTCTCTCGATTGGCTAAAAGCAACTTCCGATTATGGAACTGAAAAAGGAGTGCAAAAAAAAAACCAACCAAATACAAGCTGTCTTTATTGACGGGATTTTGAATGGCCTTGTCTCTCTTTATTTGACCGGTAGTCCTCGCGCCTTTCCATTGATTTTTCTTTTCCGGAGGAAGCAACAAAGTGGTCACCGGATTATAAAAGCGCGGAACGTCAACCTTGTACCATGTTCGACAAAATATGATATCTATACAAGGCGAAATTGTTAAATTAAACAACCAATAGGACGGTGCCGCGTTCGACAATCAAGATGGACGCTGACAGTTCATTAGTTCCACAGATTTTCGTTTCCGTAATCGTTACTGACGATCAAAAATACTGATTACAGGTATTTTTTACTGGATAAAGTGATAATAATAAATGAAAGCATTTAAAAGGTGTTAACTTTTTTACGTTATACTGAAAACAAATATTGTTCGATTATTTTAAAACATATAGTTTTATTTGAAGAAGTATTGCTATTACAACTATTTTGAAATGATAGCAAAATTTTTTTGAATTGGAGATGTTGGCATTTATGCTGGAAAAAGTTTTATGTAACCACATTTGCTATAATTTTCTGTTTAAATTGAACCACGCGACAACAGTAAAAATTTCCACTTCTCTCAGCTGATTCTCGCTATTTCTTTTGTGTCGCCCTCTATCTCTCCACACTTTATTCATTAGTTACTCCCGGCAACAACAATTTTTTTTTTGGTTTCTGTACTCATGCGTAAATTCTGATTTTAGACATTGAAATATCCATCTTTAAGTTAATAAAGTTTGGTTTCGTCTGATTTACGCCGTAAGTATACTTTAATTTATTTTATATGCCAAAGATGGCAGCACTTTGATTGACCTGAAAATAAACTGTGTTATTATTTGTAAGTAGCATCAAAGTTAGTTTTGGTTAGTAACTGGTCTATGTCAGCTGTAATAACTGTATTTTTGTATTACTCAGTTAGAAAATGGCATCAAGACAGTTTAAATATGATGTTGATTCATTTTGTTTTATTTGTGGTGAATTCATTAAAGTTGAAAGTAAAAAATTTGGTTTGTCATCTAACTATTTTAACCTAAAAATCAGTAAGCAGGATCAAAATTGGGTACCATACTTTGCCTGCATTAAATGTAAAAATACTTTAGAAGGTAATAAATTGAAATTTAACATTTTTTAAAATGTCGATTAAATTTAAATCACAATAGTTGTCGTTATGTTATTTCTAGCTTGGTATAGAGAAAACCGACGTATGACTGTTACTTTTGTATGGTTAATCCAAGTATGCGTCAATCTGGTGAAAATGCTGAAAAAAAAAATGTTATTGATCTGCCTCAGCTCTGATACCACATGATGAGAAATTTCCTGTGCCATCATGTTCAGATAGCTCAAGTTCAAGCGTCACAAAGAATTTGATAGGTTACAATTTAAAATAATTGATTAAAAACATGATTCAAAGCTTTAAAACTGTAGGCTGCAAAATGTCTCATAAACTTCATATGCTACATTCTCATTTTGACAAATTTTCAGATAATATGGGTGAGTACTCCGAAGAACCAGGAGAAAGTTTAATCCAAGAGAGTCCGTAAGTACATAAACGAAATATGAAAATTTTTAGACACTTGCTTCTTGTTATTTTACAATTATCTGCTATTGTTTATTACAAATTTTGAATAAAACGGACACTGATATTAAAAAAAAAAGTTTTGCAGAAAAAAATGAAAAATTGCTGTAGTTTTTAGAGCAAGAGAAACTGAAATTTAATATGTAGGACTAGGTTCAAGTTTGCGGCGGTATTTCGCGATTTTTAGGCAAAAAACAGGTTATGTGTCGACCGTTTATAAAGGGGTTCGTGATATTTTGAGCTGCGAACCTTACCGCTAAGTTGTATTTTATCTTCGAACGTGGCCCGGAAACAGCCTTCCGGTTTGGCGGCCGCTTTTTTTATTTGTCCCCGAATGCCGGAAACCGTTTTAATTCTCGCGCCTTCGAATCTGGCCACCTCGAGCGCGCTGTTAAACATGCCTAGAATTATAAACGGCTTCATCTAAAATGCCGCGCACCTCAAAAACCGAATCACCTTTCACGAACGCGGTTTTCTTATAAATTTTCATCGGATATCCCACGAGTTTTAATTTTTTCATTATCCGCGTCGATTTGTCCAACTCTTGCACGGATCCAGTCGCGGCAATCCTGAACCCTTGCCGTTTCAGTAACTGAAATGTTATTTTAGGATCGCCGAATATTGACAGGGCAGCTCACTATTTATATCTCCAAGAGTTTACTTTCTATCGAAAAAAACTTCAATGAAAATTACCAGAAATAAATATTTTTAACCTTTTTTGTAATTAAGTAAGGATATATAATATTTAATATTTAATTGTAATTCAGAATTTTTTTAAATATTGCAGCGTCCCACATAAATCGTTCCCGACGACAAACGGTACAACTTTGATAAGAATTTTTGGTACTGTCGGATAGAGAAAGGACCAAAGTATATAACGTATAACGTTAAAATTCACAAATTTAAAAATAAGAGAGATATAAAACTTAGAGATTAAAATTAACCACCGCTTTTCGGACCAATTTTTCTTAGTAGGCTGCGAAAAAAAATGTTTAAGTCATGCGTCAAATAGTTTTTTATTAACAGCATTTTAAACAAGACGTGTCCGAAAAAATGTCGCAAATTGAGTATAGAGTAGTCATAAAGTTTTTGACAAAAGAAGGGTTAGCGCTTAAAATTATTAAAGAAAGATTGGATAGGTGTACGGCCAAAGTTCTCCTTCGTATTCGTAGTGAAAGAATGGGCAAAACGTTTTCGAACGGAGCAGGAGTCCCTTGAAGATGATTCAAGAACTGATCGACCAGTGGAGGTCATAACGGAAGATATTTTAGCGATTGTGGAAGAGATGGTATTGAGTAATCGACGTTTAAAGGTCAAGGAAATTTCAGTAATTACTAAGCTTTCTGATACAAGTGTTCGTCGAATCCTGCATGATCATTCAAGATGGATTTCTAAAAACATTTCAGCTATTCAAAAACAACGCCGTATCGAGTGTGCGCGGTTTTTTTTGGAACTCTGTAGATCGGAACCGAAGCCTGTGATAGAAACTATTGTGACGGGAGATGAAACTATGCTTCTCTATTATGACATTATATCGAAAAAAGAATCAATGGTAAGGGTGAAACACCTCCAAGAAAATTCAGTCTGCCAGTCAACAAAAAAGGTGATGGCCACGATCTTTTGGGATTGTGAAGGAATTCTTTTGATAGATTTAAAAAAAACTAATGCCACTGTCAATGGTAAATATTACGCAATATTATTACATAAATTGCGAGACTGCATATGTGTAAAACGTCGAGAAAAACTGACCAGAGGCGTGCCCCTTTTGCACGATAATGCACCTGTCCATACTGCTGGTGTTGCACAAGCTGCCATTTTTGAGTGTGGGTTGCAACAGATAGATCATCCTCCCTATAGTCCAAATATGGCCCCCAGCGACTATTACTTGTTTGGATATTTGAAAAAGGACTTATGTGGACGGCGGTTTAACGACGAAGTTGAGTTGAGTTTTAGCTTATTTTGCAGACAAACCAAAAAAATTTTGTTTTTTTTTTTAAAGGGATTGAGTTGTTTATAAAGAGATGTAATAAGCGTATTGAAGTTAAGGGGGATTATATTTAAAAATAATACAAAATTGTTACTCTACTTTGTTTCTTTCATATTCAGGCCGGGAAATTTTGGAGCTGCCCTCGTATTTCACGATTCAGATATAGTTTCTTAAGCAATCCACTAGAGTAGTATTGACAACCGTAGCCACAGATTTTTGTTTCAGTGTTAAACCCCGAATCAGCCTTATTCATTGTTAATTTTAGATGATTTTTGATATGGTCTGTCTGGTTTTGTGGTCCAAATAATATAACCACTGAATTATTGGAATTAAGCTTTGGATTATGAGCTGAAGTTATAAAGAATCGAATAAAATGTCACTGTCAAGGAAAATCCGAGCTTGCTTATATTTTGGTTGAGGGGAGAGGAGCTAAAGGAGGGACATGGACATTGCTTCGGATGACTGATTCCATTTTGCTTATAGATTTCTATAGATTCTCGGATTTTTCGTTGGTGGAAGAATTTTAGTTTTATCGAATAAAACTTTATATCCAGTTTCGTGATTGTGGAGAATTAATTTTTCGGGATAATTATCATGCCCCTCCGTTAGCTCCGCCCCCTTCAAATCGCATATAAGCAGGTACAGAGTGGAGTCAGTTGCAGTTAAGCTCTGAACAAGCCAACAGGATAATTGACGAAAAGTCAGTAAGTTCAATTTAACATTTTTTAACAACAATCCTGAAGTTTTGTAAATAGTATTACAGTATTCATTTCCATCAGTCTGACAAAGCAAATCATTAGCTATTTTAGTAAGCGCAGTGACAGTTCCAAAAGATTTACGAAAACCAGACTGTGTATCGAGGATAATCAGTGACTTAATTATGAAAACATATTTTTTTCTAGAAGCTTGGCTAGATTCGGTAAAATATTTATCGGTCTTAACTGTGATGTCAGGAGGTTCATAATTTTTGTGAGTGGTATTATTGTGTTGGCAATTTTACAAGAATCAGGAAATATCGAATATACCTAATTGGTCGATTATCTGAAGCACGAACAGTAGTTTTCATAGAAGAGAAGGGATCTAACTTCCTTATACCTCTATAACCTCCATATATGTTAGGTATAATCGGATACATATGGAAGTATTGTCAGACATACGGAGTAGTTCAAATGTTCCTGACTGATCCGAGCGACGCAACGTTTCTTCTGCCGACATCAAATTTTGGTCGTCAGCAAACAAAAGAAAGTACAAAATTGCCTATCCTTTTAATGCACGCTCCTAGTGTGTTTTGACAAGTAAAGGAGCTACCCGGCAGTTGTTTAGCGACCGGAAATTCTTCCGATTGTGTATAATTGCCTATTTTCATGATGTAACCTCTTATGGAGACATACAATTGTGAGCTGCTACCCTGTATAGGACGTCTTCGTTCGAGTACCTCGGGATCGTGATCGACACTTTGTAAGGCCAAAAATCCGGTGCCCTGGGGCGTGATGGGTCCCCAAAAGTGAGCGTTACACGCCAAATGTTCCGGAGTATACTTGAGGTATCTGTACTTCAAGTCGTCCTCCAATTTAGAGTAGAGGGGAATGGTTTGGAACCGCCTCCAGCCGAGAGAAAGGATCAGAGGGTCGTTGGTTTTCAAAATTTTCTTGTACCATCTGTGCTTTTTTATTTTCACGTTTACGAAACCGACATTCTCTTCGCCCATGTTTAAAGAACCGACTATCAGTGGATAGGTGGGGTCGAAATTGGTTACAAATTCGGATGCGACGTTTTCAAATTCGATTCTCACGTACATGCCTGGTCTGAAAATGTTTTTAGAAAATGCATAGTTGGTACATTACAATGAATCACAAATGGAAAATCTAAGTCAGTACCAAAGAACTTTGGAATAAACTAAACTTGGACTAGACTAATGCCATATCCTATGGGATGTTTATTGTTCTTTTAGATAGTCTGGGGGATCCAAATATACCAATACAAGAAACACTTTTGCTAGAACTTGGTTCAAAGAGGATTTTTTTTTCATGGGTAGATAGTCCAGACTATGAACAGTGTGGTGGTAAAAAAAATTATTGGTGACTATCATATTCATTACCAAATTGTTTTCAGTTACATAGATGCCTTTACTTTTACTACTTTTACCTGAAGCAAGTAGATCGATGGACTGGGATGCGAGGTTTGTAATGGACGGGGAGACCGACCATTTGTGGAGTAATCTTTCCAGTCCATACTTAACTAGTGGATATTTAAAAATATTTTAAATAATGTGTAATTTATTAATATTTATCTATTGTCTTATGAGGTCATCAAATTTAGACCGCGTATTCATGGAGCAAACATATGATATGATATGATATTGGGAAGCTTGACCAGTGACCAATTTTCTTTAGGTTTATTCCATAACTCCACAAAGGTGCGAAAGTATCTGTGACGAACCATCGAGGTACATTATTACAAAAAGAAAGTCGTTATTGACGCATAATTCATGAGAAGATTATGGTGATTACATTTTTTTTTTAATAAGTATTTGATACAAATGAAGGTGCGCGTAACGCCTTGCAGCATACGCTGAGAAACATAGATGAGGGAACAATTAGAACAAGAGGGGGCTCCGATAAGAGCGTATGCAGACTGTATATTACTAATTACAAAAAGAAGGGAAATAATGAACATGTTAAAGGAAATTTTGAGGAAAGGAGAGAAAATGGGGCTGCAACCGGATGAAGAGGAAATGAAAATAATGTTCTGTGGTGCAAGAACTGATAATAGTGTGAAGAAGGGGAAGATCCAGATCAAGATGGTTGGAAGAAGTTAAGGAGGACTTGAGAAGAGCAGGAGTCGTGAATTGGCAAGAGAATGAATAGAAAAGACTGGAGAAACATCAGCAAAAAAGTATGAACCAGAAGAAATGGGGGTTGATCCACCTCGTCAATAGGAACATTGCAGACTTAAAAAGTATTGCCCCTAAATATTTTTGGCATAATATTAACGTCGTAATAAATAATTAAAACTTAAACTGGACCACATCCCGTAAAAAATGTGGACATGTCAACTGCTGCTGACGTAACGAGGTACGTTTTTGTGTTGACAGTTGTCGCCTTCACATTTCTCGTGAGTTTTCAGTTATTTTTGAGTTGAAAATGGTTTATTGTTTATCATGCCCGGTTGTAAAACTATAAGCATTTCTGTCCTAGGAACAACATTTATTAAATTACCTATTCAAGAAAAACAACAAAAAATATGGCTAAAAGACATTTGACGCGAGCCTAACTTCATTAAAAAGTCACGTCACTCTAATTAAGTTTCCAAGTGTGAAATCCTTGGTTTATAGTTCCTCAGAATCATCAGTCTCAGACTTTAAACCACATACAGCTTCTGAGACTAGTACTATGCAAAAATAGAAAAAATAACTTGTGTATTTATTTTGGTGACAACTTAAATGTTTTCATAGCGCGATTATTATATAACAATAACAAACCTTTTCGCTTCAACTTCACGTTGCTGAACAGACATAAAGAATTCGTGACCATCAAGGAGTCCACCAAAGGCAGATTATCACATTGTGCTTTAATAAATCATTCTGACATATCAAACCAACTACCTTTGTTATCTGTGGTCGCATTGGAAATATGTAAATATTACAAATAGGAATCACACAAAGTCACGAATCAAATTCAAACTCAGAAGAATCAAATCAAACTAAAAAGTACGGCGACAATGCGTTGCTGGTCTCCACGTACCTCGTGACGTCACAACCAATGGAGCAGCGTTTTTGTATTATTTCAAAATTAAAGGGCGCTGACAAGCTTTCTAGGATGGATTAGAGTAAATATATTTTTAATTTAAGGAAAAATAATCTGGAGTGTAACTTATTCTATTTTAGAAGTTAATTAATAAGTTTTCATGAAAGGCTAAAAATATGTCCAACAGGGCGACTGGGTCTAGGAAGCTTTCAGCCACTATCTATCCATATATTATTATGTATTTTTCAGAATAGGTGTTTTGTGCGACGTTGCCGTCTCATATTTTAATTTGGTCGGTCAATAAAAAATATCTTATGCACCACCCAATGGCCCAAACTACGTCTAATTTACCTGAATCCTTCCACTTCGACCCGAATCTCGTCCGGCATGTTCTCGAACACCGTTTTGTTGAGTTGGGCTTGTTTTTCCGCAGTCATTTTCATTTCCTCGTAAAATGTCGCCTTTTCCGGATTGTCGTATTCCGAATCGAATTTCTCTTTGAGTTTCCTCTTTTTCTCGGCCAACTTCGCCCTCTCCGCGTCGTTATCGAGTTCCGTATCCTGCCTTACCCGTTTTTGCCCTTGATTCGCCGACTCCTTGGTGCCGGTCTCCAAGTCTTCGAAATCGCCGTATGTGTCACTCAAATCGTCCGCATCATCTAATTTTAGCAATTCGCTCGCGTCTTCCGATTCTTTCCACTTGCCGGTGACGAAACAGTTCGCGATTTGAGTCTTGTTCTGCAAATAAACCATCTGGTTGTACTAGGTATACAGGGTGTTACTGAAATGACGTCACATAGTTTAATCAGTGAATGTTGATCCGCGTCCCGATGTCGAAACGATAAGTTGTTCGGTAAAAATCGGACAAAAAAAGTAACCTTATCCTTTTTTTTCGAAAAAATGACGAGTATAGTCGCAACCAGATGACGTTTCGTTCGTAATTCATTGAATTCAATTAATCAATAACGAAAAGCAAAAAGTTAGGTTAGGTTAGGTCGAACAGTAAACATTCAGTGCGTAGACAAAGTTCTTTTTCGTACTGAGTTAAGTTGACTTTACCTTTAAATAATATCATTAATTCAATAACATTTTAATGTTCGTATATTACACTGTACAGTTTTAAGTGTAATGATAGTGTATTATCAATATTATCCATTACATTAAAGACTTAATAGTTATTCCATTGACTAAGCTGACAAACAGGTGTATATCCGATGGTATTTTTCCTAACTCCTTGAAGTTGTCCAGAGTGATTCCAGTTTTCAAGAAGGGCGATATAAATGATATAAATAATTATCGTCCAACAATCGGTAAAATTTTTGAAAAGATTCAGCTTTTGAAGGCAGAGAGTTCTCCGGCACAGTCCTATGCGATCTTATTTATGTTATGTTAAGTTATTTTTCCAACAGGAGGCAGATTGTGGTCCTGAATAGAGAATCATCACAAATTAGAGTTTTTGAGCATGGAGTACTCCAAGGATTCATTATGGGCCCTCTTCTATTCTTGATCTATAGAAACGATCTCCCTGAGCATGTTGCTGACATAGTTTGTACATTTTTCACTGATGATACTACCTTTTCTTTCTGAGAACGACAGTCCGGGGCTAACAAATTATATTTTCTTTATATTTTCTTTACGCGCTCAACTTTCAGCAACCCATTACATGTGAACTGTCTTGGGGTTCTGATTGATCCGAAATTGACGTTCGAGCAGCATATTATTGGTATTTGTGAGAAGCTCTCCACGGTGGTGTACTTGTTGCGCGGTTTGGTCGGCAAGGTCTCTCAAAGTATAGTCAGAATGGTATATTTTTCACTCTTTCAGGGATTATTTAGCTACGCAATTTTAGTTTAGCTAGACGAGCCATCGTGGCGATGACGCAGTTGAATTATCGGGATGACGTAACAGCAAAGTTTAAAGATCTCCAAATATTAACTGTTCCATGTTATTATATCTAATCGGCATTAAAATATACTAAAAGCAACCAGTATCAATAACCCCTTAATATTAATGTTTGTCACCATCTCACCAGAAACAGAAATTATATGTTGATGAACTACTCAAGAATTGCAAAGACTAGAAATTATAAGAACTATTATGGACCTAAATTCTTCAATCTATTGCCTCTGAGCGTCAGAGGGCTGCCGGAGAGACAATTTTCTATTAAGGTCAAATCACTCCTGCTGGATGGGGCCTATTACTCATTCGATGACTTTTTTACCAATTTTAATAATGTTTAGCGTTTTCTGTGTTATGTCGCGGTGCCTTTGTAATTATACATATATGTAGATTTTTCTCAATGTTTTTTGCTGACTTGTGTAAAACCGTAGGGTTGTTAACATCAATAAATGATTATTGCTATTATTATTATTTTTATTTTTCTGCACCGATTTATATTTTTATCGTAGTAGAAGTTGTTTGTGTTTTGTTAAGGGCTGCAACAGTACCTGCATAGATGTGTTGTTTGATTTCATTTATTAATTTTTTTACACTTTTTAGTTAGTTTATTCAATAATAAGAAAACTACTATTTACGAATCCTCTGGTTGGTTACTCTGTACCTGCTTACATACGGTTTGAAGGGGGCGGAGTTAAAAGAGGGACATGAACATCGTCTCGGATGACTGGTTGTTGTGGTTGTTTAGTCTTTGAAATATGATTGATGGCAAAGCTGAAAATCTACGTTTATATTCTTGTCCAGAAGCACATACAACAATTTGAAAAACTAACCCCAACACAAGTGAAACACTGTGCTAAATGCTAAGTGCTTTCTGCGACTGAAAAATTACAAAAGGCTCTAACTGCCCTGTATTTTTCTCTTTATAAAACCCTATACAGGTAAAACATAGTTTTTTTTTAACGATATTATTGGTTAGTTTCGAGGTAGAGTTCCTATTTACTAAAGTCTCTATTCCTGAAACTCTCAACATTATTTCAGACATATTAAAATCCGAGAATCTGGAATCGCTTCTTCTCATCTTAATTGAAAAATAATATTCTGGAACATATTTTTCTCGCAACAACAAATATCAGGAACAGCTATGGGTCATCCAGTATTACCAGTTATCGCAAATATGTAAGCTTTTGAGAAACTACGTTAATGGATGATACTTTTGCTATTTGGCCTCGTGGTCAAGAATCCCTGAGAGATTTTTTAGCCATTTAAACTCTATACACTACTGAATTAGAAACTCATAATAATCTCCCATTCTTAGATATTCTTATCAATAGAAAATCACACCTAACATTGGGTCATCCTGTTTACAGAAAACCTACACACACAGACCGACCGATGAAGTTGTTTAATTTAGGTTTTGTTTTTGTTTTGCGTCTACTGCGATTTTTATTGGAATCTCTATAGATCATTGAAACCTATAATAGTACATACTGAACGGAAGATAAAAGTCTAAATATGAAATACTAGATACCGCACAGGAAAAAATCTAAGTGGTAAAATGTTCAAGAGCAACTGTAGAACCCCTCCTATGACAGCGCCCATTTGTTCATCGCAAGTCTAGTAATCCCAAATGAAAGTTTCGCCCTCCAAATACATTATTATAAAAACTGCCAATGGACAAATCGTTTAAAAAACTGTCTGTATTGAAAAGTCAATATACAATTTGTTTATAAAAACTGCGTTTCAATAGGTAACTTAAATTAGCAATAAATGTGAGAGAATTGCATAGAAATTAGTGTCATACAATACACAAATTAATATAATTATATAATAATTAATATAATTATACTTCGCGCATTCGGAGCATAGAGAGCATGCTCGGAGTGTTCGAAATTGACCTATCCAAATGTAGTAAAGCAACAAAAGATATGAAAGGGACTTAAGACTACGACAAGTGAACTCATCGACATGAAAGGCTACATCAAATCTCATTTGACCAAACTAAAATTCTTTCATTTGATCAATCAATCAAGACTCCATTGACAATGTTCATGCCCCTACTTTAGCTCAGCCTCCCTTAAACAGTATGTAAGCAGGTACAGAGTAGAATGCAAACCAGTTTCAGTTATGCTCTGAAGAAGTCAACATGATGATTTGCGAAACGTCATCAATAACCGACGCAGCAGAAATCCGGAAGTAATGAAAGGAGCCGTGAGTACATCAAATTTATCAATATAGATTCCTAGTTCAAAAAGGTCTACAAAAATTTTAAAGATTTTTGCAGACTTAAATAGACAAATTTAGTTTTTTATATCCTTCAATGTAAGAAGGATAGTTGCATTTGTAATATTTCTATAGTTGTTTGTTTTAAAAGTTTGAAAAAAGAAATCTATTTGTTTTCCCATTGCATAGTATGTAGAAATCTATTGATAACAACTTATTTGGGATAAAGAACGCAAATACTTTTAAGAAAAGAGTTACTTCAGTTCAATAACTTAATGCAGTTAGGTTATGATATGATTCTGCCTGGAAAAAGTGTGAGGCGTTACATTTTTAATTTCGTTTCGAAGAATGGTTTATTTTATTGCATATGTAAATATAAAATATTGTAATCTTCCATTAGAACTTTGTTATTTTGGTTACTTAATAAATACATAAATATAGACTTCATCTATGAAGATAAACAATATTAAATATCTTTTATTCAATGGGGCCAAAAGTGCGGGTTAGGTTGTGAAATTTAGCTCATAGCTTCAGATAAGAATGTATTAGATTAGCCAAGATCTTACCTTTGTATCGGTCCAATCTTTGGTGGCTGCATTCCAAGGAAGCATGAGCGGCGATTCTAGCAGATTGATCGTATCTTTCTCGGTTTTTATTTTTTGTTGGTCCCTGGAGACTTTTTTTAAAAATCCGCCGACTTCCTCCATTTCCTCATCTAAATCAGCTTCTTCCGACGCCTCTTTTAAATGTTTCGAATCGAACACTCCTAAAACGAAACATTTTCAACCGCTCAAAAATCTAGAGCCAATAATTTGAAATAAAAGAAACCTATCCCAATAAATTGAAATTCCAATCGAACTCCTAAACATTTTCAATTCTTGTTTCTGTGGTTTTTAATATTTAAATTCAAACTAACCAAAATTTCCAACTATAATGAAAACAGCAATTTTAATTACCAGCAGTTCATTTTATATATATAAAAAAAAACTATTAGTATTAGGATTATTATTATTGGTATTATTAGCACCTACAGTTAAAAAAAAAAACTAAAACTTTTTTGAGAATCGTTGAATAAAAGTATTAATATAATTCGAAAGCGAGCAAATAACTTTTTATCTAACAAAAAAGTAAAACTTTTTTTGAAAAATTCTGTAACCATATCAGAATAAAATTGCCGGCTTCTAACACTTCTGTACAGATAATGGAAAAAAATTAGAATCTGCAGAGTTTCAAGTAGATTTTTTAAACTTTCCATATATACAGGGTGTTTCGTTTATTTGGGGTAAGTACCAGCTTTCTTATTTTAAACAGAATGCTACAGTGTATATTATGTATAATGTCCCGATGTTTAACTGCTTCTAAGAAAACTTGAATTTTATGTGAAAAATGAGATTGTGGAAGGGGACCTATTATTATATACCGAGTTGATATTTTGGATGTATATTAATACGGGGTGAGCAAAAATAAAAAATAAAGTACAAAAAATAATTAATAAAAAACGTAAAGTCAACTTTTTCAAATGGAATATAATTTTAACCGCTTTGGCATTAAAAATTAAGGAGGCTTAAATTGTTGATTTCGGCAATTTATAGCTTCCTTAATGATTAACAATATAACATTTTCTTATTGTAATGAAAATAAAAAAATGAAAAATTGTCTTTTTACATTTTTTATAATTTAAGTTTTGTATTTAATTTTTGCTCACTCTGTAATAATTTACCTCTAAAATATCAACTCAATACCTGACAATAGGACTCGGGTATTGGACATTATACGTAAAATATATGTTGAATTTGCAATGCAATGCAATAATATACAGGATGTTCTGTTTAAAATAAAAAAAATCTAGATGAAACTATACAACTTTTCTCAGGTAAGGCAAGGTTATTTACATGGCGAGGCCCCACTGCAACTTTCAAGATTTTTATAAGAAAGCAAATCACAAAAATATATTAAAAAACGCAATTTTTAACGTACCGTAAACGAGTTTCATTGGATTTTGAGAGGCACCTGCCCTATCCAAAAACGCGTCTTGCGCCCTTTTGGCCAGATTTTCCTTCCATTTCAGGCCCGTGTCTTCGTCATTTTCACTACCTTCATCGGGATATTCCGAACCGCTTTCCTCGCTACCTTCAACCTCTTCGGCATCCTCCAAATCATTGGAATCGGTTTGACCTTTCTTCTTTTCTAATCCCTTTAGAACGTCCAAGATCTTCAAATGCACGTCACCCGATGAACTAACCTTTTTCTTTACAACTTTATCTGCCGTTTCACCGTCACTATCACTATTACCGCCGCTAGGGTCACTATCTTCATCTTCTTCTTCCAAACTTTCCACCAATTCATCATCACCAGTTTCGAAAACCACCTTCCTTCTAATTCGTCCCGAATCGACGACTCGTTCTTCTTTTCGATTTTCGTTCCTCAACAACATTAACTCTTCGTCTAATTCGTGGGAACGCTGTTTCTCTGGGAAACTGCGTTTAAAGGGCGCAATATCTTCTCCAACGTCTTCGGGTTCTTCGAAATCTTCGGCGGTCAGTTTGGTACCTCCGGTGAATATCTGCATTTCCGAATGTCGCATCTTAACGTCCAACGTTTCCTTGGTATCGATCAGATTCGCCACTATATTGGTCGACTCGTCGACCCTCTGGTGGTGACTGTGGGACCCTCCCAATTCGACATACACGGCGTCCTTGTCGTACACGATGCCCCCCATGCCGGAAAATGGAGCGTAAATCAGTTTCTCCTTCTCCACCAGCGCTCTTTTTTTTAGTTCTTCGGGCAAGGGGCAGGGGTCGGGAAGATAAGAGATTTCGCGAATTTTCAAATCACCTAGCCCTGCGCAGCAAAAGAGAAAAAAAAGTATAGAAAAACACTTATGACTTTGAGTCCCAGCTGAAGTGCAGATTAAATGGTATTTCCATTATAACGGGTGTTGAATTTTAGATTCTTTATTCCCAACTATACAGGGTGTCCCGCGACATGACTGCCATAGATTGGGAATGCGATGCTGGGATGATTTTAAATGTGACATCTTGTATATTTAAAGCTACTTTATCTATCTATCTAAATCTCATAGAATTGGTACTGGGGCAAGTAAAAGGGTTTGTAGCAAACCATAATACCTCTTTTAAAGTGAGGGAGTTGAAACCTTCTTGCAAGAGGAAATGAAGTCGGCGGATTTTTAAAAATGCAGTGAGTGTGATAGAAATAGATGAATGTGGGAAGCTGTCATTGGCCAAACTCGGTTTTCCATCGTATGAACATTACAAACGATTTAAGGTGTGTAGGAATGAGTGCTGTCATTGCAAAAATTACCTTTTATCAATCTATCGCACTATAATTGTTCAGATTTTCTTGAAGGAGGTAGACAATGATTCAGTAGTAATACTAAAAGATTGTCGAACTTCCGTTGTCTTATATTTTGTTTTAATTCTAAGGCTACGAAGCCTATACAGGGTGTTACATTGCATGTTGAAGACAAAAGTCATAGACGGGACTAAAAGAATCAATTTAAAATTATTTTCAAGTGATGTGGCAAACCATACTTATGCGTTTTAAATGGCATATTATGACATTATTAGACACCCCGCTTTTAGACTCAATCGCCCAATGTAGGGTTCATTAAAGTTCTTTTTATTTCTCCAATATATGACTCACCATATTCACAGGGTATTTAGTAGATACACTCTTTCTCTAGAGTCGTTGTTTCTGGCTTTGTTTGTTAACTTTCTATTGTTTTGCAATTCGACTGATTTTTTCTGAAATTATTTCCACGTTTGGGATCATATTGTTTGGTAATGTTTTGTCAATATATTAGAGCTTGTACCAAAGGGAGAGGAAGTTGATTAAATTTCAAAAACAACGGCCTCAAACAACACACAACAACAAGGAGATGAAATATATAATAATAAATCTATTCTTGAGGAACATTTCCAATATCAGACAACAAATATTGAGCAAAGAATCTAACTTCTCCCTTGTCCTTGCCGATATTAAATATTATCAGCTCCATTGAGACCTTACAACTGGAAGGACTGGATATAGATGAACTGCGATGGAAGGTTAGAACTGTTTTAGAGTAGAGAAGAATGAGGATAAAGAATACAATCAGAGATGAGCAAGTAGTCTTCAAAGACTTACAAAAGGATGTGAGCATCAAGATTCTCCCAGCGGCAACGCCACAGTCATCATGGTTGTGCAGCAATATGACCATATACATCTGCTGTTGTTTAAACAAAGGATAAACAATCGGTTCGACAATCTCTTAGTATTTCTAATTGCTCAAATTGTGTTGAAAGTTTCTTCATTCAATTAAATTCAGATCTGATGTAAATTTGCTTCGTTGATTATTATTATTTTCTCTTATCCAAATTGATATTAAATACATTTTTTCTGTGGTATAATTAAAAACATTAGAAAAATCCGGCATATTTACACTAAATGTTAAAATAGCTCACAACTAATTGTTAAAGAGTTAAAGATATCTCGAGTAAAAAATTTATCCGAATTATATTATAAAAAAACAGTCAACAATTTAAACAATAAAATAAAACTTGGGCCCTTCTACTTTTTCGTGTTGTTGGATTGAATATTATTATTTCTTTTTATTGTTGGGCACATTTTTACAAACCAGATTAGTAAAAAGTATCAGAACGCTTAAATATCTCCAAAACTGCCAAAGCTGGAACGGCAAAATTCAATACCTGGAGGTTTTTGAGATTTACTACTGTAAATAAAAAAATCTTAACATCTCAGAATTTATTCGGTTTTTGAACATGGGGAACTTTAGAAGTGGAAGGTTACTAGAATTATAAATATCATCGCAAAATCTCACATTGTTCCAGCTTTGGCAGTTTTGGAGATATTTAAGCGTTCAGGTACTTTTTACTAACCCAATATATTTGAAATTTGATAATATGACCAGAACTTGTTTGTTACCTTTTATAGCAAGGACTAACTATAGATTTGCTACAAGGTTAGGTCTGAAGCTTTACAACAGTCTGCCAATTAGGTTAGGAAACCTCCCTAACATAAAAAAATTTACCAAAAACTTTTCTTTTCTTGATTCAACATAATTCCCTATAATCTGTGGTTCATGCCTTTCATGCTAGTTTCATCTTTTCTATTTTATTATTGTTTTCTTTTTCTTAATACTTGTAGATTGTAAGAATAATATATTCATTTTCAATTTACCAGCTAAGTTTTTGCACATACAGACTGTCTGTGACCTAGGTGGTGGATTCTGGTACTTAGGAAACTTTTGTATAGACTTTTTTTGTGTACAAATAAAGAAATTCAATAACAATTTAAAAAATTTACTGTACAGAAAAATAAGTATAATTTTTCTTTGAGGATTGATGAAAAACATATTTTATACTTTTTAATCATTGCTAAAATTGTCTTTAAAGATTTTTTCTTAGCTTTTTATAAAAATAAACCACAATTTAGTAATTGTGTTAGAAACATCTTAGTCTCGCTTTGACATTTAAAATCGTCACCACAGATAATTTTATCTTCGCTATGAGGTGAGTTAAAAAAAAAGATTTAAAAATAAAATTAAAAAAAATCTTCAATTTTTCTAAAGGAAATTTCACAAAAGGTATCTTTTATTTATATAAGTTTAAATAATTTTCGACGTCTTTAAAGTTATTTATTTTAATAAACATCTGAAAACAGAGGCAGTTTTCGAAATTATTTATTATTAGTTATTATTTCACATTTCCACTTTTATAAATACAGACATAGAAATTATTGAAACTTATATAGAATATAAAAAAAATCTTTAAAGATATTATTCCTGTCCATATCTTATAGGTTCCAAAAATTTTTGACTGCACCTCGCATAAAAAGTAAAAGGCTTATTGAATATTTACTACACATATTTAAGACAAAATCATGATTACTTTATGTGATTTAGCTTAAAAGAATGCTTTTTTTTTCCAAAATTCATTGGCCAATATCTCAAAAACTAGACAACATAAAAACAGAATTTTTACAAAAAATAACTAATAATTTTCAAAAGATTAGCTGAAAAAGTACCTGCAATATGTACGGAATTGTCTTTCAACAAAGGAACTCCTCTTACATATCCATATATTGATATTGTTCTATCGCATTTTGGATTTTGCCTCACGTGTTCTTGATTAGTCAAATCTTCGTACCTGTCCCCTAATAAGTAGCTGTGACTTTGCCTCCATATTAAAGGCCGAAACTTCATCACTGATATAAATCTTCCCAAGTTCTGAATCTCTTTTCTCAAGTACTCGCCATACAGGATGCCGGATAAGTAAAACAATTTTGCCCCTGGATACACTTCGGTCCAAAATCGGTGCTTCAATGTTTTTTTGACGTTTTTTAACGTCTTGCTGTTCTTGATTATGTCGAGGTGTGTTAGTACACCCATAATTCTAGGCATTCCATGAACTTGGCAAACATTCAAAAACTCGAATATTTCCATTTCGAACCCAAAACTTGCGTCGCACAAAAGAAGCGCTAGGTCCGCCACTTTCGCTAAATCAATCATGGAATTTATGTCATTATTGCATTCGATCAATGTTATCCTTCGTTTTTTTCCAATTACAATCGTTACTGGCCCCTTGATATCGGAAAGAGGCGATCTGGTAAACAATTTAATGAGGTTGTTGATTAAAGTTGTTTTTCCCACCTTGGGCGGACCGACTACAGCTATCAAAATAGGTGGAGGTTCGATAGGAGTTCTGTCAACAAAAGGAACATGTTGTTTTTTTGTGTCAATATCTTGCTTGCGACGAAATTTGCGTTCAGCTCGTATAGCAGAGTTGAACGCGAATGCTTTCGGATTCCGTTGCTTGTCCGTAAGTTCTTCGTTCTGCTTTGGTTGTTTATTCTTTTTCTTTTCCGTTTTGCGGCCTAAAAAGAGGATTTGAACCCAGGCTTTCATATTTCGAGAATTGTTATTACCAGCATTTCGTTTTCTATGCGCTTTCTTTTTTTCACCGCTCCCGTCTTCCATCGTTATTCAGTTTTGCAAGTTCATTCGACGTACGAAGGCCTAAAAAGTACCATGTTATAAAGTTGTAAAGAAATAACGGTGGTTATAGCTCCGGTTTCTTCTTCTTTTTGCTTCTTTTGGTAACAAAGATAGTTGGTCTTTAGAAAAAATGAAATATATATTAAATATTTGCCGGATTCACTTTCGAACTATAATAAGGTTTATGATAAAGGTCCCTTATTGTAAACTAGGAATCCTATGAACTATGAATAGCATACAAGGAATGCAGCAATACACAATGTTGAACTAGTAAACCCCATTGTCGACATGTCCTTAATTTTTAATTTTGGGCACACACTCTAGGCACAGCTGACCACAAACTCCTTTGCACACACAATAACTCATTCCCGGTAAATACAATCCAATATTTCTGCATCTATTTTTATTAGATAAAAATTGCTGTTAAAAATGAATTCATTTTTGGCAGGTAATTTTTTGATGATAGCATTGCAATTGCAAATTGTGCAATATTTCTAGGACAAATTGGACTTGATTATTTTAGTGGAAAAAAATAGTCTGTAATTTTATCTGCCAATTTTCTTGCAATTTAGTGGTAGACACGTTACAATATTTATAATGAAACAGAAAATTATGTAATTTACTGCTAACTGCATCTTATATTATTTTATATTACCTGTTTCTGATATATTTGTGCTTTTACTCTTACCTCTTAAATAAATAAATTATGACTATAACGAAAGTTTGTGCGTACGAAATTACTTTTCTTGCCAATCTATTAAATTCTACATATCTTCTTTACTTCTATTAGCCATTTAACAAGGATCATTCGACCAGGGTTTGAGTTTGTGAGGATGTTAATAAATTTGTTTTTCCTTTTAACTGATGCTAACCTGTTTCATTTGTGGTGGTTTAGATTACAAGCAGTTTTTATTAGTTGCATTATTCTAGCTCCGTTAAACGTTTATAAAATAGACGCCATGCAGGGAAACGACTGGATGAATACTGCTCTTAGCACTGGGGTGAGAAAATCGCTTTTCATTAATTTTATTACTTAGGATGACTGTTTCTAGACTTCTATTATGGCAGCAGAATTTCAGGGAGGTGTAGTTATCGGTGCTGATTCTCGAACCACCACTGGGCAAGTGCTTTTATAATTACCGTTTTTATAATGACCATTTTACTTTTCAGAGCCTATATTGCTAATCGAGTAACGGACAAATTAACTCGGGTTACGGATCGTATTTATTGTTGTCGGTCGGGCTCCGCCGCCGACACACAGGCGATTGCCGATATTGTATCGTATCATTTAGGTTTTCACGGGTATGATAATTACTTATCGAATGTTTGGTTATATCAAAAGCTCTCGTTTTAGAATGGAACTAGGTGAAGATCCGTTGGTGGAAGTCGGGGCGGCTGTATTTAAAGAGCTTTGCTACAACTACAGGGATTCGTTGATGGCCGGAATTTTGGTCGCTGGTTGGGACAAGAAGAAAGGGGGTCAAATTTATTCCATCCCCATTGGTGGAATGTGCGTGAGACAACCAGTCTCTATCGGGGGATCCGGGTCCAGTTACGTTTATGGCTACGTCGACGCCAACTTTAAGCCGAATATGACCAAAGAAGAGTGCATCAAATTTGTCACTAACAGTAAGCAAATTTTCAAGGGTACTGCAATTTTATATCTCTATCTCAACACTACAACTGGATAACTCTCAACCTGTAGTTTTGAGATTTTTTTTTTGAAAGTCCATCAAGCGTGAAATATAAGAGATTAATTAGATATTTTTTTATAGGCTATTGATGCAATAATGTTCATTTTTATTCATTTATTATTTTGAGTTATAGAGGGTAAAGAAAAAAAAGTTGTACAATATTGTACTCATGTGACGGTTTTTGCGATTTCTCTCCATTTATCTCTGTCTAGAGTGTTTCTCCTGTTTTCTTGGAGTGAGTTTGATTCATGCACTACTCGTACCTTCGATTTTTCTCCGTAACAATAGATTTTCTAGATTAGCGTCTTTCCACATGCTCGCGTGTCCAAAAAAAGTTGAGAATCCACTACCTTATTGTGGCTGATAATCTTACATTAATTTTTAGCTTAATGTAGCAATATCGGTGACCTCCAAAATTCTTAGAACGCTATAGCTTCGACAACTTTTGTTTAATTTTTTCATAATAGTTTTGGCCACTTAAAATCAGTAATGACAATTTTTTCGACTATAAAATTCGGCAATGAGGCTTTTTGGACAATAAACATCAGTAATAAGATTTTTTTGACCGATGTTTTTTTATTATAATTTTTTTTTTTACTATAAAATTCAGGGATGACGATTATTTTGACTATTCAACCAGCAGTGACGAATCTTTTTCACTCTAATGAACAACAATAATGATTTTTTATTAATAAAAATCAGCAATGAAGCTTTTTTGATTGTAAAAATAAGCAATGACAATTTTTTTTTATTACAAAAATCAGTAATGACGATTTTTTTACTGTTCAGTTTTTGGTATTCAATCATTTGTTCTTGGCTGTTTATACTACCAGTTCTCCTAAGCATCATCATTCCAAGTCTTTTATCAGTCATCCACTGCTTGTTTATGATATTTTATTGAGTTACTTATTCCTTGGTAGCGATCATAGTATTTTTAAGAGTTTGCCGTATTGGCTCAGATTTTTCGTAATGCGGTATTTTTTTCATTTTTCCTTCTAACTTCTATAAATAGCATCAGAAACTGTTCTTTCACCTACCTCTGCACACCATTTGCACCATAACAAATACATAATTGTGATGTTTAGTGATGAGCAAAGATACTGTCGAACTCATGGAAAAGCTTTCTATGTGCCAAATATTTACAAACCTTCTCGTCGTTGATGAGCAGGAAATATATCACCGACGCAGTTCTTTTGAGTTTTCATCTCTGATTTTAGCGCGACTATTTTCCTTACTCGCTTTACTCTGTATAAAAGGCGTTTTCTAATTGAATGTCAATAATTAAGGGTGCTATTTTTGGGTCCATTTTAAAAAGAAAACTTCATATGAACATATGTCCTAAACGTCTTAACTTTTGAGATACAGGGTGATAAAGTTTCCAAAAATAAAATATCTTTTTTTAATATCTGTAAAACTACTTTAGATATTTTAATGAAACTTGGCACACCACTTTTTTTTTTTAATACATCAGTGACGGGCGCACGGAATTTCCCATGTCTTTTGTAGCAGACACTGATGGTACGCCACTGATTTCTCTTAAAATAAAAATTATTCCTAGAACCATTTCCAAACAAATTTAATTTCATGATTGATAGTCAACAATTAGTTTTTATTTTAAAGTGAAAACCGTGCGACTGATTAAAAAAAAAAGAGATCAAATCTGCTCATAAATGAATGCAAATGTCATTATTATTTTAAGGGAATCAGTATTTTGGTTAACTAGGTCGCCATTGTACTGATTAAATCGAAAACTTTTTTTAGTTACCAACTAGTGTCCTTCAGAAAAAAAAAATATTAGAAGACTTTTTAGTTTTACAGTTTTAAAGAAATAACATAACATCCTAACAACAGATAAATAATACACGATTCTTATTTAAATTTATTTTATTTATTTAAATTTAGGTATTTCATATTCGTACTTGACTAAGAAATGATAATAATAATAAGTCTCTGCATGCTGTCATATTAACGATATTGTTATGAGCGAACAGAAAAAAGGTTTTTAAAGCGAAAAAATAAAGACATTGAATTTCTTTCAAAATCATTGGAGATTGTCAGAATAATTTTTATTTTAGGAGAAATCAGTGGCGTACCATCAATGTTCGAAAAAATGGACATGTGAAATTCCGTGCGCCCGCCACTGGTGCCAAATTTCATTTAAATCTCTAAAGTGGTATTACAGATATTTAAAAAATCTATTTTTTCTACTCCCGTCTGTAAAATACCTAATTACCCATCGATCTAGCGTGCGGGAAGCGTCACTTTACCACGTCAGTTTCGTTTCCCACGAATCTGAGGCACTTCGGATATTTCCAGGATTTTACCGCACGGATTTGGGAGCAATCGGATGTTTTCGGAGATATTTCACTTGTTGCATAATATACTATTATTATCTCAAAAGTTAAGACGTTTAGGACATGTTCATATGAAGGTTTCGTTTTAAAATGGACCCAAAAATCGTCCCCTTATATATTACACCCTGTACATCGCATCGCATGCTGATGCCTTGAGTCATACAACAACTAGATGACTTATCTTCTTTTTGCATCTTACTGAAGCAGTGTTTCAAAGGCTTTCAAACACTTTTAATAATTATAACGAGTTATGAGCCCCTTGCACGTCAAGGTAATACAATATTTAGATTTATCTAAAAAATGTAATTTTTAGAGTTGGCACTATTAATTATTTTTCAGCTCTCGCACTGGCAATGTCTAGGGACGGTTCCTCTGGGGGCGTGGTGCGATTAGGAATCATTACAGAAAAGGGCATCGAAAGGAAAGTCATCTTGGGCACCGACTTACCTAAATTTAATGAAGATTAATTTTTCCGCAACTAGATAGGCTACTCGTTTCAGTGTAACGGCGTTTTTATTTGTGGAAATAAAAAATAATTATTCAAACTTATGTATTTTTTATTTACTTACGCTAATATAAGTAACATTGTAAAATGAAAAAGGTTATAATAAAAAGCGTAAAGTAATACTCCCCAACATTTAGATCCAAAAATGAATCCCCAAAAACGGGCACGCCTTTAAGTTGCCTTAAAATGACAAGTCGAATAATATCAAGTTTGGGTCTAAAGGAACTAAGAAGAGGAAACGTTTTAATGATTTACGTCGAAATCGAACGCAAACAGCTAAAGTTAGTCTTATTGCTTTGAAGAAGTCTTGGCGATTACACGGTAATCATTTAGCGGAAGAATGACATCGATTATTTTAGCCGCCATCGTAACAAGTGGTTTTTTTTACTACAAAAATCGGCAATGACGATTTTTTGGACTACAAAAATCTGCGATGACCATTTTTTTGACTATAAAAATCAGCAGTTTCGATTTTTTTTGCTAAAAATCAGCAGTGACGATTTTTTTTACTTTAAAAAGCAGCTACGATGATTTTTTGGATTATAAAAATTAGCCACGAAAATCTTTTTTACTATAAAAATCAGCATTGATAATTTTCTTGTATCCGAAACAGTAATGGTTCTTTTTAACATAAAAATGAGCCATGGTGATTTTTTTATCGGAAAGTTTTTGACTATAAAATCAACCATGACGATTTTTTTAGTACAAAAATCAGGGATGATGATTTCTTTCGTTTATAAAAATTAGCAATTTTTTTTACTATAAAAATCAGCAGTGACGATTTTTTTGCATCTGAAAAGAATAATGATGATTCTTTTTGATATAAAAATTAGCCGCGGTGATTTTTTTTGAAATCTAAAAATGAGCAGTGAGAATGTTTTTGAGTATAAAATCAACCATGGCGATTTTTTTACTATAAAAATCAGGGATGACGTTTTTTGCGTTTATAAAAATCAGCAATGACGAATTTTTTGAACATAAATATCAGTAATGCAGAATTTATTGACTATAAAAATCAGCAGTGACTAATTGTTTACTCTAAAAACAGGCAAAGACTATAAATATCCGCGATGACGATTTTTTTTTTAAAGCAGCAACGATGATTTCTTGGGTTATAAAAATGAGCAACGGAGATTTTTTTCTATAAACGCAATTACGACTTTTTTTACTATAAAAATTAGTATAGAATTTTTTTACTTTAAAAAGCAGCAATGACTATCAATATCCGCGGTGACGATTTTTTTTTTTCTAAAAATCAGCAAAGACGATTTTTTTACTCTAAAAATCAGCAATGACGATTTTTTTTTACTATAGAAATCACGCATGAAAGATATTTTTACTATAAAAATCAGCATCGATAATTTTTTTAAGAACAATGTCGATTTTTTTTCATAATAAAAACGAACTGTGGCGATTATTTTGACTCTAAAAATCAGCAACGATGATTTTTTTCAATATACATATCAGCAATGACAACTTATAAAAATAAAAATCATGCATGAAGATTTTTTTCCTATAAAAATCAACATTGACGATTTTTTGACCAATGAGGACTTTTTCACAATTAAAATGGGCCATGACTGACTCTATAAATCAACAATGACGAAGTTTCCGGTTATAAAAATCAGCGATCAACGATTTTTTTTTATTTCTAACAATGACGATTTTTTCGAGTATAAAAATCAGCAATGACACTCCTCCCAAAACGAACAACCTACGAGGGGGGAAGATACGAAAATTAAGTACTAGAAAACAAATATTCGTAAGCAGTCCTCTGTTAAACGTAAAAACTATTACCTACGTTAGGAAAAATTAAGTAGTTGCTACTTTTTGGACCTTAACCTAAAATTATTCGGGCTCCCGGAACAGGTGTTTCAAGTCGTGCTCGTAAAGGGCGATCAAAGTCATTATGCCGAATCCGGACAGGAGGCCGCCTAAGTGGAGCACGCACTGGAGCAGGTTGTCTTCGTCTTCGTGAGCCGAACTCAATTCGGGGATCATGTCCACCAACGCGATGTAGATAAAAGTGCCTGCGGCGGCAGCGAACAGCCACGAATTGGCCGATTCCGTATTGCCTGGAATTTTCATCGGAAATCGCTCAAACACGTGATAAGCGAAGCAAATTTTTCGACGTCTCAAAATATCATCAGTTTAACCAACTTCCGGTACTTAGAGGTTAAGTTTTACGGGTTTTCTTGTTTTGGCACGGCATTTATTTGTAATAATCCAAATGTTTAAGCACCAGTAAGTAGAAACAAGATTGCTTTCGAAAAATCATCACTGGGCGGGGCAACTTCGTAGCGCGAAGCAGTTTTTTATTACAAAAGGAAAGAACTTCGCGATTTTGTGTGGTAAACGGACGCGTTATTTTTCTATCGTGCTCCTGCGGACCACTATGGAACTTTCGCAAAATCGATGTTATTTAATTGTGCATGAACCCTGTATAAAGTGCCCTTCACATCTCGTTGAACTTCAAAGTTACAGCAAACATCGGTAAATATCAAAATTTGCACAAATAATAGCGTTGTCGAATGATATTTCTTCAAATATCTCGCGCCCTGTACAATTGACGAACCTGAAACTCTCACGACACGGTTTACGATACTGTTCAAATAAAATTATCCCATCTTTGACGGTTTTTCATTTATCGCCAATAATTTAGCCACAAAAACGGAAATTTTTAGGTTACTTTAGATTAGACACAACCTGTATATGATACAATCATTCTTCGAAGTAGAGGTTATAGCCCTGGATTTTCCACTCGTCCTGGTTTAAGAATTTTTTGAAAATAGTAAATGGTTTTCGAGAAAATAAGTGACGTCATGGAGTCTTGACAGTCCCCGAAATAGCGATTTCAATATGGATTTTTTCAAATATCCCGAGAAGCGTATGTGATAGACGAAAACCGCAAATACAACAATTGTAGCTCTTGATCCGGCCTATGACACCGTTTGAACCAATTAGCCATATTTTTTACGATTTTTAATTCGCGGCTAATAATTTACTCTGTGTTTTAGATTTTTGCCTATAATTTGAAAACCCTGTATCTTCTGCGTCTGCCGGTTAAAGAATTTTGCCAATCGGATGAACGATTATGGAGGGAAACAAATCAATATATTTAAAAAATACTTGATAATTTAATTGGGGGTGTATGGGTGACGCTGTAGGAGTAGCACCTTTGCTGCGAAATGGCCACACCCAAGCATCTGCGAGGGTGGTTTCAATGCACTGGTCTCCACAGGGTCTCCAGCTCTCACTTGTTGGCTCCAAGCGCCACACCCTGGCAAACTGCGTTGGCCCGCAGGCTAAACCAAGTGAGGGTAGCCAGATATGGCGATAAGCTATTGTTGGGCAGCAGCAGCAATAGTACCATGTGGCGGTGCCGAAGATGTACTTCACACACAGCGTTACAATGGATGTGGGAGGCGCGACTGTGGGAGTCTCAACGGCTTCCACACTGCGGTGCAGAAGGGAAACGGAAGTCCCACTACACTATATTTCCATATATTCAACATGGCTAAAATAGGTATAAACGCGGCCCTCAGTCCGGGGCACCCCTTAAGTGGGGAGAGGGTGCGAAGAATCCCCCCGTCCTTAGAAACTAGCAAAATGCAAATACATAGAAATAAAATAAAAATTGCTACATGGAACGTACGTAGCCTATACATGGCAGGAAAACTCGCCAATATAGATGCAGAAATGCATAGACTCCAGATTAAGATCTTGGGGCTAAGCGAGGTGCGATGGCCAGGTACTGGGACTCACAGGACTAAAAATGGTGTCCTCTACTATTCTGGTGGCGACGATCCTGAACACCAGTATGGCGTAGCTGTGTTCATCTCCTCTGAACTGGAGAAATCCGTAATCGATTTTATTCCACTCGGGGAACGAGTGATGCTTCTGAGACTGCTCACTACTCATAGAGTTATGAATGTGATTCAAGCGAATGCTCCAACAGGGGACAAGTCTGATGAGGTGGTTGAGGATTTCTACTCTACTTTAGAAGAAGCCATGAAAATAACAAAACAAGGGGAGTTAACAATTGTTCTTGGCGACTTCAATGCAAAAATCGGGAAGGGTGCTGATGGCGAGGTTTGCGGTGACCAAGGCCTTGGAACACGCAATACTAGAGGTGACCGCCTGGTACAATTCTGTACAGGACACGTCTCTCTGCTGCCAACACTTTTTTCAAACAGCATCCTCGACGTCTGTATACGTGGAAGTCCCCAGTCGATCGTGATGGCCATATAGTGAGAAATCAAATAGATTTCGTCCTCATCAAGAGTCATCTAATGAAGTTTGTTAAATCAGCAACAACATACCCTGGTGCAGACGTAAACAGTGACCATAACCCCGTGGTGATAAATCTACAGCTTCGTTACTTCACTAGAGTCCAACGTCCAAATAAACCTAAGCGAATCGATGTCAAAAAACTCGTCGATCCCGATATACGAGCTAAAGCAACCGAGAGTCTCGAAGCGCGTTTACAAACAATAAACAATTATAATGACGAAGACGTGGAGCCCCGGTGGACTGTTCTAAAAAAGGCTCTTTTAGACACCCAGGAGATCGACATCGGGTATGTACAAGCCTCTAAAAAGCAACAGTGGATGACGGACAAGATCCTTAAACTCATGGATGAGAGAAGAAAATACAAAACCACAGACGTTAACCGATACAGGGAGCTGAATAGGGCGGTCAGATCGGGATGCCGGAAAGCAAAGGAGGGTTGGCTAGCTGAAAAGTGCAGTGAAATGGAGGCACTACAAAATAAGCACGACTCGTTTAATCTCCACAAAAAGATCAAGGAATTCACCAACACACAACGCAAACAGATCCGCGGTATTCTGAAGGACACTAACAACAAGATTTTAGTGAGCGTTGAGGAAAAGATAAAAAGATGGAAGGAATATGTTGAGACTCTCTTCAATGACGCACGACCCTATCAACCACCTCTAGACCATGATCTCAACGAACCCAGTCCTGTTATCACGATAGAGGAAGTGAGACGTGCTATAAAAATTCAAAAAAATGACAAGGCTGTGGGACCAGACCAGATTCACGCGGAAACCTTGAAATTGATCGTCGATGCAGATGATACAGGCGTGAAACTTCTTACATCTTTATTCAACTCAATATACGAAGCTGGGAAATTACCAACGGACTGGTTGAGATCAACGTTCATCACCTTACCAAAAAAACCTAACGCTTCCCAATGCGACGACCACCGAATGATAAGCCTGATGTCTCACGTTCTCAAGGTCTTTCTCCGTATCGTCCACACTCGTATATACGCCAAGTGCGAGAGGCAGGTTGGCGGAACGCAATTTGGATTTAGGAACGGTGTGGGCACACGTGAGGCTCTCTTCTCTCTCAACGTGCTCACACAGCGATGCAGGGACATGAATGTCGATGTGTATGCCTGCTTTATTGACTATCGAAAAGCTTTCGACTGTGTCTCGCATCAGAAGCTCATCGAGATTCTCAAACACACCGGTATTGATGCCGAAGATCTGAAGATCATTACGCAGCTGTACTGGAATCAAACTGCAGAGATTAGGGTAGAGGGTGCAACATCCGAAGAAGTGGAAATTAGAAAGGGTGTTAGACAGGGGTGTGTCCTGTCCCCCCTCCTCTTTAATATATACTCGGAGGCAGTGTTCCGAGAAGCACTGGTGGACGTGAAGGAAGGCATTAAGATCAACGGCATCCTCATTAATAACATACGTTTCGCCGACGATACGGTCGTGCTCGCCGGCAGCCTACCACATCTCCAGAACATGATGGATCTCATCGTGGAACACAGCACACACTATGGTCTACATATGAACGTTGCCAAGACCAAGGTGGTTGTGTTCTCCGAGACACCAAAACAGGCGGTCCTCCGGATTAACAACCAGGTCGTGGAACAAGTGTCGTCCGTTAAATATCTTGGAGCCCTTGTCAACGAGACCAGTGACTCCAAAATGGAAATCAGATCAAGGATAGAACAGGCCAGAAGGACTTTCATCTCAATGAGGACCCTCTTCAGCAGTCGAGATTTGAACCTACAGCTCCGCATGCGCATACTGCGTTGCCGCATCTTCCCAGCGCTACTCTATGGCGCCGAGAGCTGGACATTCAGCCAATCAATGGAGAGTCGCATTGACGCCTTCGAAATGTATTTGTATCGCCGTATGCTGCGCATACCCTGGGTAGACAGGATAACCAACGAGGAAGTACTGAGGAGAATGGGTAAAGGTAGAGAACTGCTGGCAACCATCAAAGAACGGAAGCTTCAATACATCGGACACGTTGTGAGGGGAGAACGTTATGACATCTTTCGACTCGTCATCGAGTGAAAAATCGACGGTAAACGATCTGTGGGTAGACGACAGAACTCGTGGCTAAAGGATCTGCGTCGATGGTTTGGAAGGACATCTATAGAGATTTTCCGAGGTGCAGTTTCACGCACCATTATAGCCAGTTGGATCGCCAACCTCCGAAGGGAGACGGCGTCCTAAGAAGAAGAAGAATTTCTACAGTTTAAATGTGGACATGGACTTTTATTTCTCTGCTAAATTTGAAGTTGATATCTGCGAAATTAGGACACTTAACATATTTCTCATATAGCAAACGTGAAAACCTTAAATACAAAAGTTTTTGCTATCTACGCGGGCTAAATCGCAATATAAAAGAAAGTGAGATCTGAATCATAGTCTTTCAATAATAGGGGGACCCATTTTTCAATTTTTTTGAATTTGCGGCGCACCCTGAATATTTTTAAAAAATTGTTACGAATAAAAGTTTATCTTTTGCTCCTTCTGGTTCAAGAATTTTTTTGGTCTCGTAAATAGTTTTTGAAAAATGATGTTTTTTGTAGACCCTTGCACGCGCGATTTTTTATTTTTTTAGAATACTTCCCGACCCCCAGCCCCCCTATTTTTCATAGGTTCCGTCACGGGGCAAAGCTTCATATATGTGCGAAATATGAAGTCCATTGCTTCAAATTTCGGAAACTTATGGAAGATGGATACCAGCGCCGGATCAGGGCCATTTCTTACAAGCTTATGTGCTTCGTGGAGGGTTATTCAGGAAAAACCAAAAGACGAGAACGGAGAACTGAGAACGAACACACAGACAACAAAATTTTTTTTTTCGACGGTGATCATTTCTGTACCAACGGCGATCCCACAGGACCTACAGTTACCGAAATATAAAATTTTTATACGAGCGCAGTAACAAGTGTTTCTAATTGGTAACTTTTTGTTTGCATAATGGCTGTGCAATTTTAACGTTAAAACGGAGAACAAAATTATTTTAGTTTACAATACAACCGCTTGTCGCTAGCGCTTTTTTGTAATGTTATTACTGTGCTGGGCTAGGCGAAAGATTTTCCCATCGATGTTTATTTAAAAAAGGCACAATTTACTATTTTATTATATAGATAGAATCGGACTAATCTGTACTAAGAACCCAATATAAATTGAAAAAGGAAAGGTATATGGCACGGCACTTCTTGAAAACAGTGACAATTTTATACACTGTATTTTAATCAGTCGGTATTTCTTTGTAAAATACGTCCAATATGTACTCAATTTACTCAAATTACATGTGACCAATTGCAAACAATTGCAAAGAAGTTTTTGTAATTACTTACAAATGCCGAGTTCTACCATAAAGTGTTACCTGTGTTTAATATTCTTCGGTTTGGTATACTACTTAGTTTAAGTTTATTAGTAATCATTCTTATTTCGTGTGTAATACAGCGTGTAGACTCTCATTGAACTTGGTGCCAGCAAGCAAGCTTTAGAAGAAACGGCCACATTGACGAAAATTCGAACATCAACTGTATGGAAAATTGTGAATAATCTCATTTCAGCGAGGAAAAAAAGAAGCGACACTTTCCCGAGTGTAGATGAAAGTGATATTATGCGATACTGTGATAATTATGCAAAAAATCTAGGGCATACAGTTTTAAGGCTTTCCACTTTACTACTGTATATTTAATCGCATTGAACATGTTTGGCACCAACTGCCATTCGCCGTAACAATGTTTTTCCCCGTGTTAACTCCAATGCCCTCAAACACATAAAAACCGAAGTTTTTAACATCCCTCCACAAAGTTGGGCAAATTCTGTTAAACATATAGAAAAAGCAGAACAATCGTATATTCATATTGCAAATAATGTGATAATATATTATGTGAATAATTTTAAGTAATTTAAGTAGGTAATAAAAATAATTTGTAATTTTATTTTAGATTTAAACATAAATACATACATAAATAAATAAATATTGTTTAGTATTTTTCCTAACAAAACCTCAAATAATTAAATTCTAAACAAAGTACGGACCTGTTCGGCCATATTTCATTCTTACAACTTGCCCGGGTCTTTCCTTAATTCGTATCAGTTAGTCACTTTCTTATATCTATGAACAGGCTTTACCTTTGAATTTCATGTTAAAGCAATTCAACAAACAAAAGTAAATCCATTGTATTCAGATTTATCGCAAAAACATTCTATTTAGGTTACGTTTATTGCTTGAAAATCGTTTCAAGTTTCTTACCGCGCTAGTTTTTTTTCTGTAAGTTAGAATTAGTGACATTTTTTCAGCCGTGACTTGGATTTATTTCAATTGTTTTCCTTAGTGCATACCAATTATTGAAATTTACAAGGTCACTTGGCATATTTCAATTTCTTGATATGTCTTGTTCCAATTATCGCTTTGGTGTTCCTACATACCAAATTTTAAGGTATATTGAAATTTCTGTCAAATGGTGCATCTACGTCATAATTTCAACATTGACACCAAGGCAAAGTACTTACTGTATAGGGCTGAAGGTCACTTAAATTTTTTAATTTCTTAAAATGTCTGATTTCAATTATCCCTATAGAGTGTCTTTTCCTGTATACCAAATCTTAAAGTTTATTGCAATTTCTGTCAAATTACGCTTTTACGTCATAATTTCAAAATTGCAATCAAGTCAAAATACTTACATACATAAGTAAGTACTCACCAAGCAGCAGTCCGAAAATATTGCCCAAAAAACACAAGAGACTAGAGAGCATGTTATAGAACAGCGCCTGCTTAATGCTCATGCCGGCTTTGAGCAACATGGCGAAGTCGCCGAGCTCGTGGGGCAGTTCGTGGCAGAAGACCGCTACGGTGGTGGAAAATCCTCCGGCGATGCCGCTGGAAAATGCGGCCCCGATGGCCATGCCGTCGGTGAAGTTGTGCAGGCCGTCGCCCATGATCACCATCCACGCGACCGATGAATAATTCTTAAAAAAAAAAAAAAAACAATAAGGACCGTCTATTAGGAAACACTAATTAAAAACTTGGAGCTTTGCTTTTGTATAGTGCTTTCACAGATTTTCGGATCGTTGAATGCACTTAATATAGAAGGAATGTGCAACTTTTGACATCTTGTGGGCCAAACTTTAATGTTCATAATTATTAAAGATATATATCAGTCACGAAATAATACGACATTGTTATTATAATACAATTAACCAAAGCAACAGAATGAAATCAAAAAGTACGTCCAACTTTATAATTATAATATAATAAATACATTTATTGTTTTGCCAGCTATACATATTATTACACTACAAAATATTAGATGATACCAACTTTAAGGCCTAATAAAACGCAGATATCCAGCAAAGCCAGACACTGTTCAAGCCTCAATTTAATGTAAACCAAATTACCCTAAGAATAAAAAAAAAGAATCAAATAAACAAAATTAAAGATGTTACGCCGAGTTTAGAATACATTAACCATTAAATATAGTTTTCAATAAAGAGAGAAGTCGCGGGACAAAGGAGAAAGGAGTAAGGGTAAGGGTAAAAAGCAGAGTGGTTTTCCGATACAAAAATTGTTGACCTCCAAGAAGATTTTTCACACCGGTTTTTAAAAGTTTTGGTTAGATTAAATTATTTACTGTATGTGCAATGCCATAAGAAAATGATCTCTTAAACATTTCTTTTTGATGTTGTGGTATTCTCAATATAAAATTTTTTCTTAGATTCGAGTCATGAACCTCTGTATGAAACGTGATTTTCTTAAAACGGTGTAACCTAAACCTATTGCACATGCTAAGCCAACCCGAAACGGCCAAGTATGGAGAAATATGATCCTGTTGGCGAACTCCCCAAACAAGCCGCAAACACAAATTTTGTGCCTTCTTGATACAATATTGGTCAGCAGCAATGATTGAACTGTGACAAAACGATGTATTCGCAAAGCAGTTTCTTTGTTAACAATTGGAAGCAAACATTTATGACTGTATAACTAACTTTAAATTCCGATATACCATTCTCAATTTGTTTGTAATGTGACACTTGAACCGTAGCCTAGAGTCCAAGGTCAATCCTAAACTTTTCAATGTGTCCCAATATGGTATAGGAGTGTCATTATGATCATTTTGTTTTTGACATTATGTACTTGGGAGTCATTTCCAAAAACCAACACCGACGATTTGGTTGGATTTAACTGCAGTAGATGATCGGATGCAATTTTATAAAAGTTCTTTAAGTCAGTGTTAATTTTAGTATCAGACTGCGTCATTTAATGATCTTGAAAAGAAAAGCAAATTTGAGTGTTGTCAGCATATAGGTGATAATTAGAATATTTTAAAGCCTTTACAAAGTTAAACGTATCGATTATATACAACAAGGGACCAATATGCTACCTTGTGGTACACCTAACTCAACGGAGAGTAGTTCGGAATTTACATTGTCGCAGAAAACCTGTTGAACTCGATCGGATAAAAACGAATTTGAAAACACGCGTGCACCTTCACCAAACCCAATGTAGTGTAAAATTGAAATAAGCAAATTTATGATTGATCTCAAAAGCCTTGCTAAAGTCTAACAAACTTGAGCTACAAAATATATGTTTTTTTTTTGGAAATTAGAGCGGTAACAAACCAAACATTTATTAAAATTTCATTGTTTATTTTTTTAAATACAATTAGTAATTAGTTCTCCAGTTTAGTTAGTAAAAGAAATAAGTAAAAATATTTTCCAGGCGGTAAGTATTTTTATATTCCTTTTTTCCCTATAAGCAACTTTTCTAAATAAAAAACTTTTTTTATTGAAATAGATGCCAATGAGTTGCTTATATAGGGTATTCGGAATTTGAGTTCGGAAACTTGGAGGAAAGATTGATTCAACGTGGTAAAATAATGGTAGTAAGTCATGTAACAAAAATTAGAAATTGTAATATTTCCGAGTTATAGCTTCTAAAAATTCCTTTTTCAAAATTTTATTTCTATTTTTTATTTTAATATAGTAAAAGTTATGGTTATAAAATAAAAGTGTTTCACAAATCTGTCATTAGAGGGCACTTTACCTAAAGCATTTTTTTTTATTTTTCTTGTATTTTATTTGTTTAGACGGATATTGCAAAATAGAACAGATTGCCTTAAGCAGAATCACAAATCCTCAAAAATTATTACTCTTCTTTTAAGTCGACAAGTGTTATCGTTTAGCCACAAATCGATATTTTATTCTTGGCGCGAATTTTTTCCTGTAAATGTGTTTTTATCTAACACGCCTTAATGAAATTTGAAAAAGTCATTGTCACAATCCGTTAAAAAATAGTTTCTATTAAAAGAGCTGCTACTGTGATAGTACATCAGGAATATTCAAATACTGAATATCGCGATATGCATTTTTGAAAATCGAAATGCAGATGAAGCACAAGGACTTTATATCGAGGCTTATCCCAATAGAAACGTTCCATCTACTAAGACAATCATCAACATACACAGAAGACTTGGTGAAAAACGACCATTCAAACCTCATACTAGGAATAAAGAGAGACTAAGGTATAAAAGAACCGCTACAAGAAAAGAAAGAATACGTCAACCCACCCATCAACGAGTATGAGAAAACTGCCTGCCCAGTTTGGTAAGTTTTGCATGAAAATGATTTTTGGCCCTTCCATGTTCAAATGGTTCAAGCACTGTATGACGGTGATGAGCAATTAAGAGTAATTTTATGCAATCAAATTTTAGGAATATATTCTAAATTACCCGCAATTCTTGAAAGTCATTTTGTTCACCGACGAGGCAAAAATTGAAGGAAAACATCAGCGCCGGTTTATAGGTTTATAGGGATTATAGGAGATAATCTTATAGGACCTCGTTTCTTTAACGGATCGCATAATCTATCTGCAATTTCTCCCAGGAGGGACTACCACCTTTGCTGGAAGAAGTACCCTTGCAGTGGAGACAAAACTTATTACAGAAGGTATTTAAATCAGGTATTGGGATATCGATGGATAGATCGGGGCCGAGCTCTAGCTTGACCGCTTCGGTCACCAGACCTTAATCCGATGGACTTTTTTTTTTTTGGCGCACTTAAAGTCTTTAGTGTACGAAACGGTTGAGAAATCATTGAAAATAGGCTAGACGTATTTTTTCGTGTTCGACGGCATTTTTTAAAAATAATATAAAATACATAATTTGTTATTTTCGAAAATGTTAAATTTTCGAATTTTTGTTAATTTTTGTTACATGACTTACTATCACTATTTTACTACGTTGAATCTTTTCTCCAAGTTTCCAAACCCAATCTCCGAACACACCGTATAGAGCATTCACCAGGTAATTTTTGATAATTGAAAAGAACTGGTCGCATTTATATGTACTGCTAAATGCACAAATCAATCTTCTTACGAATTTTTTAAGCTACAGAAAATCGTCTTCTTCTAGGCATTTTTTTGTAGAAATGTCACAACTCCACGTCTTTAAATTTAGATTTTATGAATGGGTTTTCTTGAATTTTCAACTCCTTTTGCAAGTGTATTGGAGCATTTTGTACATTTACTATTAGTTGCATTAAATCTCTTCGAAAACTGTTCCTATCGTATATCATATTGAGCATAAGCAATATTTTCATACGCAGAGGGCGTGGTGAAACGGTAACCGTTACCCGACAGCATCTGTGCCTCCCACAAGCCGATTTTGTTCTGAAACGCTTTCAAATGGCTGTAGAAATCGTTTACTAACTGTCCCAGTTTTTGAATTTCAAATTTGAATCACTGAAATAGCCAGAAATGCTAAGTCACATATCCATTTTGGGCCACTCATTTCAGTACTTTTTTTATTTGCACAAAATCCTCTCATTTCAAAGCTCGTAAAACCGTTTCAGTATTTTCTCTTTGCATGGCTATCTGACTTCACAATATGTGACGCCGTCATATTCGGCTGATATTTCATCCAAAAACGCGTTGAACCGACGATGGTGATCGAATAAAATTGATGGTTTTTACTACCCTATTCGTAACATTCTGTTCGACAACACAAGTTCTGTTGGAGGATAATGCAATGTATTATCAAATCATCTTTTTGCACATTTAATTCAGTTGCTTTTTGACTGGAAATTATAATGAAACCTTTACATAAGCCGACCATAGAAGGTGCACCATCTGTGCGTACTCCAACTAACTTTGACGATGGCAAGTCAAAACTTGTGAATACCTTTCGAATATCATTACAAATGTCCTTTCCTGTAGTGGTTTCCTTTTAACGGCTGTGAAGCAAGCAAAATTCTTTAGTAACTCTTTAGCAACACATACAATAAATATAGCCCACTGAGCTGTTTCGGATAAATAGGCGCTCTCGTCCAATGCTATGGTCACTCAATGCTGTTTTTATATCATTAGTCATCATTTTTAATATTGAATTCTTCCATCACTGAAATATTCATTCATTACAAATAGGCTTATCTTTGTGCAAATATTACTTATGCTCACATTGTATCTATCTACACTTACACACTATATATTTTTTGGCGGATTCGCCGGTCAATCGCGTCTAGAACTCTTTCCAAAAGGAACGATCGCAGTATGGAAAATAGATATCACAAAGCAAATGATGCAAACCACAGAAAAGAATAATATATTAACATCGAGTCAGTATGTATGGGTTTCAAGCGATATTTAAGTGCAAAAACACACTGTGACCATTTCAAGGTCTTCGATTGTGAAAGCCATCACATTCTTTCGCATAAGCTAAGACACTATGGGCACAAGCTATCAAGCTTGCTTGCATTTGCATTTTTATCTAATATATATATATATATATATATATATATATATATATATATATATATATATATATATATATAATATATCTATCGGATTTTCTGCACTATGTTTAATGTTTAATGGAACATTTTGCTGAAAAACATCCAGATCGACCCCTACGTTTTAAAAATATTAACAGAAAAATTTAAAAACTTTAGGACTATTATACAGAAGTATTATATATTACAAAAATTAAATATTTATCAAAAACCTCATTTTCAAAAAAAAATTTCTGAATGTTGCAAATTTATTATTTATATATTTATTTTTAAAATATAATAGACCACAGTAAATGCACTGCCATAAGCAAATCAACACCAAATATATAAAAAAGACTTTCAATCACAGAAATCGATAGATATCGATAGAACTGCAAACGTCACTGTTGACAAAAAATTGAAAATATGTCAGAAACCACTTTTGACTTGTTTTTCACATTTACTGGTTCTGAGAACAGCACATGGCAGTGTTAAAATTTGGAATGACGGTAAGGAAAAACAAAAATGTAAGGACGCATTTTTACCTACTTACTATTCTTTCAAACAATTGTTTTACCACTAGTAATGTATTTTTTTTACCACTTTTATTGCATTAAATCACAGCCATTTATTTATCTGTGAATGTACTATACCTGGGCGCGGTCATGGTCATACACATTTTTACAGGCTAACTTTTATAATTTCTCGATAAAGATTCATAATGTTAAAATCATTAAGTGCTTTTAAAAACATCTCAAAAAAGTGATTTCATCTGTCAGCCTCGAAGCAATAAATACCTTACTTAACAAATACAAATGCATAAAGATAAAAAAGCAAACGAATTATTAGAAAAAAATATATAAATAACAAAAAAAAGGCAAAAACAAAAACTCTAAGATTTACATGTAAGATTGGTTTGTTTTCAACGTCAAATTTAAAGCAATATTTGTGTGTTTCAATGTTCAAATATTTTTTCATATAACCTGATCAACTGTCAGCAGTGGATTCTTAGTTAAAAAAAAAAAAATTCCACATGCTACTGTAATATTAAACTGCCGATTGATGAGCAATAGAAGTTCCTGATGTGTCGCGAATTCTTGGCTTCTTCAGAGCTCAACTGAAAGTGTTCAGCAGTTAAGCTGAAAGTGAACAGTTTTAGTTAAGCTGCAACTGTTCAGCAATTGAGCTGAAACTGAACAGTTTCACTTAAGCTAGATTAAATCTTTAAATATTATATGCTTGGAGTTGATTTGTTTCTTCTTAATTACATTAAATTGAGGAAGTTTTCGTTATTTTGTGGTGTTCCGTGGACCCTCAATTTAATCGGTAATCACGAGATTTTGGTTAATTAAGTGGAATGTTTTCTCTTTCGTTTCTACTTTTGAAGGTAAGAATTTTTAAAGTTTCGGATTTTTCTAACATACAAAGATATCGATACCCGCATTATTAAAATTTCAATTTTTTCAATAGTTTTTTGTAGTAGTTGTAGTAAGTAACTAGAATTATTATTTTCGCACATATAAAGAGTTAATTTATTTGAACGCCGAAAAAACAAGCAGCTCTCAACGTTGTATATTATCATTATTAACTTAAAATTATGTTACCAATAAATGCTTACAGTAGATACAGACACATTAGTAAGGTTAAAGTGAAACAGCAACATTTTTTAAGTCGAAACTGTTCAGCCAAAGGTGTTCAGCAGTTAAAATGAATAAAAGTATAATATTATATAACATGAATGGCGTCATATGAGCATAACATAAAAATGTGAGAGTGAAAATTGCTATGGTAAGTTGTTAGAAAACAATAAGAACCACCCTTACACAACAACAAATTAAACGTGGAGGATTACAATATTTTACCTGTTCAGCAATTAAGTTGAAACTGAACAGCTTCAGTTAAGCTAAAACTGTACAGCAGTTAAGCTGAAACTGTGCAGAAGTCGAGCTGAAACTGGACAGTTTCAGATAAGCTGAAATTGTTCAGTTTCGGTTAAGCTCTGAAGAAGTCCACAGGAAAAATTCAGAAGAGATTTGTAAATAGTGTTTAATTTTCCTTTTAATATTCATGAATAAATTGTAGTTTAGTGCTTATTGAATAATAAAGGCAAGAATAACAATTGGTATACCTGGGGTGCAGCGTGGACGTGACCATGTTTGTGCGAATGGCCGTGGTGGTCGGTCGCATGTTCCCTAACTATGACGGTATAGTCCTCGTGATCGCGAGGCAACATTTTCGTCTCGATGCAAGGACTCGAGATCAACGTCGACTGACACTCGGGTAGGTTTCGGTTGGCCTCGCACTGCTCCAATGAGGACGGCTTCAATTTTTTCGTCAACGGTAGGTCGGAATTAGAAGCCAGCCTCGCGTCCGTCATGATGTCTTTATAGCAATAAGGAGACGGGTTGTACCTGTCCATGCATTGAGTTTCGCTCCTCTTGTCGCCCTGATCATCTAAGACTTTGACGTGGGCGTGCTAAAAGAGGACAACGCATGTTGAGACGTAATATTTTTGTGATATTGCATGGAAAAAGCGTTTTTATTAAAACGACATAAGGCGCAGGGATTTCAAGTTTTAAAAAATGGTACTAAATATTCAATAAACCGCTGTTAAGATCGGGAGACATTTATTTTGTACACGAGGCGCTGTGAAAAAATTATAATTTATATTAAGGCATCAAAGAAAAAAAAAAACAGAAAGAGAAATACAGAAAAACAGAAAGAGAGAAACAACCTCGTCTTCCTTTACATTAATTCAATGAAACAAGGGTTTCCTACTTGAAAAGTGTAAAATAAAAATTATAAAATATGGTTTTAACTTTGTTGTATCAATGTAATTTATTAAATTTAACATGTAAATGATGTAGAATAAGAATTGTGGTAAACATTTTTCCTGGATCTAATAAACATGTTTCTATTATAAAATAGTTCCTACATAAAAATATTGATATAATTAGAACACATTTCCCACTTAAAAAGTTTCCTTATTCAGTATAATTGTTTAAAAATAAAATAAAATAAATAAAAATAAATTAGAAAATTAATGTTTTTATTTAGTTGAGTTTTCTCAAATTTAAAATGATAATTTTATTATATAAATATTTATAGGATAGATCTAATGTAACAATTGTTGTAAGCATTTTCCTTTGGTCTAATAAACACCTTTCTTTTTCATAAAAGACTTCTTATTTAAAAAGTTTCCTTATATGGCATTTTAAAAAAATGAAATATGTTTTTAATTTTTTTATTTACTTAAGTATTCTCAGATATGAAATGCCTAACTTTATTATATAAGTGTAACTTATTTTAAGCATTTCGAGGACAGGCTTACTATAACAAATTATTGTAAACATTTTTTTTACTAATAAACATCTTTATTCTTCAATAAATACTTCCTAGCTAAAAAGTTTGCTTATTTGATATGATCATAAAATATTTCCCACTTAAAAAGTTTCCATTTTGAGTATAATTATAAAAGAATTAAATAAATAATATATATGGTTTCAATGTTTTTCTTCACTTAAGTTATTATCAAAGTGCAACTTATTCCAAATATTTCGAGAATAAGCCTAGTATAAGAATTGTTTTAAACATTTTTTTTTGTTGAAAAGTACCAACAACCAGAAAAGGGCGAGTCTCTCCGACATTAGGAAGTATCCAGAGTTAAAACAATATACCACAGATTACACCTAACGGAGCAAATGTACAAAATAAGTCGAAGAAACACTTAAGAAGCGATGAATAAAATTAATCTATTAACTTAATGCAGATGTTTATTGCCATGAATACCTACTAGAGATATAATGTGCATATATAAAGGGTTATTTACGGTGAGTGCCCTATTAGACGTTTATGGAGAATGATTTACGATAAAAACCTAAAATTACTTATGTAACCGAATTTGAGCTACTTATGTAAAATATTTTTGGCCGAGCGGTATATACTTGTAACATATAGCTATTTTAAGCATTTTCAGAGATAAAAAATACTTTTTAAGAGATTTGGCATCAAACCAGCCAATATAAAATAATTTTTTCGCAACCCGTACAGATAAACACTTGAATTTTTGGTTTCGGTTCCCTCATAAATTCATCTATGAACAGACTTTCATGGCAGTGTTAAAATTTGGAATGACGGAAAGGAAAAACAAAAATGTAAGGACGCATATTTAAATATTACTTATTTATATATTTGTGTGTTTTAAAATGTTCCAATTTTTTTTTCATATAAACTGATCCACAACTTAGCGGTAGGTTTTTAATTACAAAATAAAAGTTAAAAATTTATATTGCTGATATAGAGAAGGGTTTTGTATTATATTATATGTGTTTAGCTGTACAGGTCGCGAAAAAAAGTATTATTTTATATCGGTTTGTTTGTTGCCAAAGTTCGTATAAAGTATTGATTATTTCGAAAAATGTTTAGGATAGGTATGGAATGCGTTACATAAAAAGTTCCAGAATATTTCGCAAAATACATAAATGTAATAATATGCAAGGTGTTCCATTTAAAAAACGAAAGTTGATATACGTTACGAGTATATCTGGCAACACCGCATGGCTAAAAATATTTTACATAGGCAGCTCATATTCCCTTTCATAAGTAATTAACATTTCAGGTTTTTACTGTAAATTATTCTGCATAAACGTCTAATAGGACATTCACCATGAACAACATTGTATATGTTTTTTCTTTTCTTCGGTGCTTGGTGCCAGATTTTTTTTTATTATGTTTAAGAGGAAAGAAAAAAAATTAAGATAAACGCCGGTAGGGTTTGGAATTTTCACTTAGTACAGTACTTACCGCGACAGCGTTGCTTTTCTGTTTCTGTTTCCTCCAGTTGCCCACCAAAAGGATGAGCCTCTCCATGATAAAGAAAAACGTCAGTCCCATCATGGCCACGAACCCTTTCCAAGTGTTCTCGTTGTGATCGTGATGCTCCTCGTGTGAGCTAGCACCCATGGCGTGGGGCAATAGATGAAGCAGCGCATCGCCCGCCAAAGTACCTAAAATTTATTAAAAAAAAAAAACGCTAGGATGTTCGAAATAAAGTGCGAAATTCGCGCTTACCGACAGCCAGCGCGACCAGAAACTGGATCAGAGGTTTGTAAAACCTTTTCTGCATTACCGGTATGATGACCAGTGCCAAAACTCCGCACACGCTTATCAGGATTACGGCCAAGATGGAATATATGTACACCATGCTTGTATTCCTGGGCGATTCTTTGTCGATCACTTCAAATTTCCCGTCCGTATCTAAACCGCATCGATTTTCCACGAGGCCGTACATTAAAATGGGACAAGCCTCGAGGAAAGTTGAACGGTTTAACAAGTTTTCACTAGAGGAATATTTTTCAACAAACTTAGTTGTAGGTTCCTCGTTTAAACACTGAAATTCAAAATATAAGGTTTTTGTTTTCATTGAAGATACGTTCTTCATTGTTGAAAGTCTCAGTGCATTTCGCAAGTATTCATATTCCACATTTCTACATATACCGCGTCGGAGACAACGAAATTACCAGCTACGCCATAAATATATAAAAAAAATGAACAGATTTGAAGTTTGCAGATGTTTTATATAAATAACGCATGGCTGCATTACTATTTACAAATCTTCTAAATTACTCCTATGTCAGTTGTTGATAAATCGAACTTGCCTACACTGCTCATGTTGCTTATATAGTTTGAAGGAGGTGGAGCTAAAGGAGCGTTAGGAACATTGTCTGTTGTCCATCCTTACATTCAAAACATCACTGACCACATATCAAAATTCTTGTCCAAAAATCTCTCAAAATCTTCGATCCATCATTATACATATCAGGAGATTACAGCACATGCGGCAAAGAACACATTGGAAAAACAGGACGAAAAATATGAACTACGCTAAAAGAACACGAACGAGCCTTAAGACTACGACAAATAAACTCAGTAAGGCACTGAAGAAGCCAACAGGATGATTGGCGAAACGTCAGTAAGTTCGATTTATCAACAGCTAACGCACAGGAGGAATCCAGATTTGTAAATAGTATTTCCCTATGGAAGTTTCGTTGAAAAAACAGGTATGGCTGCATTTCGGCATATAAAACAATTGAATAGCACTTCCGGTTTTACCGGAACTAAGACGGTTAAGTTTAAGTAAGAAATATATTTTCTTTTTTCAATAGCTTTGGTGATCAATGTCATATTTCATTTTTTATTCAAACAATTTAAATAAGAAAAAAAAAGGGTTTTAATCAAAAAATTGACAGGTAGAGTATTCTTTATAGAAAATCATTTGATGAAAGTGAAAAACAATCCTTTCAGTAAAGTACATAGAAAATTGGACTTTGCAGTAGTGTTCCGCAAAAACTTCCAATGGAACCTCCCTCAAAAATCCAATTTTTATCATTCTGTGTTCAACTTATAACAATAATTTTTATAATAAAGTTTTTATGTATCTCCAATACTTTTTGAGAAACTTAAGCAAGTTCGTTTCATTAGCAACCGACGCAGTAGGAATCGGAGGCCTTATTAATTTTATTTATAAGACCTGCTGATTTTTATTCCTACGTAAGAAAGTCTAGGTATCAAGTAAAGTCATCTGGCTCAGGTCATTACTATCTCTCTAGTTTTAGAATAATTTTAACTAAACTGACATCAAATCCTAATATATGTTACTAATCTGCGTGTTATATTACCGTTTTGTTATCCTCTGTGACTTCGCGCACCTCCATTTTGAAATCCGCTCCCTCCAAATATTCATCTTGGCGGTCCAAATTGGCCGAAAGCACTTGCAATAACCGCAACCGCTTTACAAACTTGCCGAACCCCTCCATCGTCATGACGTCGCCATCGCCGTACTTTAAAAATATCTTTTTTAAAAAGTCCTCGTCCGAACTACTATTGTCCTTGTCACCCGCATCTTGGACACTCCTCTCGATTATATCGTGAACGTTTCCAATTTCCTGTGCCGGTCCATCCTCAGTTTCGACATCCGGGATACTTTCTTCGTTAAATTTTTCTCTAAAAATTCGAGAATTAATAATAAAATAATAATAATATTCCAACGTTAATAATAATTGAACTTCAAAAAAAAAGAAGAAACAAAGTTGAGAAAAATGCTCGCACACGTCCATCATATTTTTTTTCTTGCGTCTTTTTTGGGCTAAACAGAAAATATACGGGGTGAATCAAAAAGAGCACGCATAGCTCATGTAACACACCATACACATAAGTTTAATTCTGAAATAAATACTTAGGTAGCTAGTATAAAACTGAGAGAATTGAAATTTCGATTTTTGTTTGATATGAACACAAAACGAGAACTCAAGATACACAGTGAGTAAATGTTATTAGAAGTTGAGGCTAATCTCGCATTGTGCAACTTCTTAAATAGCTTCAAATAATGATGTTAGCCAACGAACAGGTTAGCGTGTATTAAAAGAAAAAAAAATTGAGTTAATTTCTACTCTCATAGTTCCTTTTCCAAATTGAAACCAGCCTGATATGGCAGATAGACAGTAGAAGGGGATCAATAGAATGGAGACATTTAAAATCATAAGTGTATAGAGAAAAACCACAAAATTTATATGAGTTAAAATTTAGAATTACAAAATATTCCGAGAAATGTTTTGAAGGGGTTTTTAAACAAATTAGCATATTGTCAAGAAATTTATGGGGCGCAGTTTCAACACGAAATAAAATAACTTCTTTAATATGTCTTATTTCTATTAATTTACTCTCAATTTTGATCACCGCAGATCTTGTAATGGGTTGATATTTTGCGTTAAACAAATTAGAGGCTTCTTCTTGAGTTGTCGTATTGTCTCCACATCCGATAAAAATTAAAATTTCAATTATCTGGTTTTCATTTAGATGCCCCACATTCACTTTCTTTACTGACAGAAAGACATTACTGGTACTAGCTACTCACCTGTTCATTTCAAAATTAAATTTATATTTTTTATTCGTTTGCTCAGAATTGGGCATCTACTTTTTGACCCACCCTGTAATAATTATTATCATTTTCAGAACAGTATCCTATATGAAATCCGAGATTACTCTGTATAACTCTATAGCACAGAAACTGTTGAAAGCTTTGATTTATCCTCCCAGCTAAACAAGGAGTTAATAGCCTCTTCAAGAATATTTTTGGCCTCTGCCGATTTAATATAATAAAATTTAGTACCTTAAATTTAGTTGGTTCTTCTCATTCACCCACTGTATATTTGGATCCTTGTATCCATCGTGACGATTCAATTCCATATATCCTATAGAGGCATGGGAGGCGCACGGGGAGTGCGTCGCGCAGATAAAGCAAAAAATGCACACCGATATGAGCCGATGAGCCATTATAGTCTAAAAAGTTAATTTTGGCCAATCAAAGACATTGTTTTGATTGTCGAGTTTGTTAGAATAATATCATTGCCCACACTACTCTTAACTACCTAAAAAATAAAAGAGTATCAATGGTTTGCTGACGTTTCGCCAATCATCCTGTAGGCTTCCTCAGAGCTTATCAAAAACTGGCTCTATACTATACCCAGTTTGAGGTATTGAGCGCATAAGAGCTACAACAAAAAAACTGGAATATAGTGTTCCCTGAAAGGACACTGCACCAACCTTCCAACATCTTTCACCAATAGGACTGAAACAAAACGCAGTAAAGACACCCAGTTATTTTATGCACTGTAACCGAAGTAACCACTCCCTAATGTATGCCCTCCCTAATGGGGTTTAGTGATAAGGAATTTGATAAAAGACACAATTAGACCCTTACTAAAACTAACGAAAAGTGCAACGCTAAGGTATCCTAAAGCAAGGCATAATGCACATTACCCAGCAAACTAAGAAGAACACTAGACGCATCACTTGCTTAGTTGATATAAGACCAAAGCCCAATACTACGAAATGATCAGAATACTAGTGGTGATATGATCAGAGTTCCCACTAAGATCAACGCAAATCTCCACACTACATCTAACACAAGAATGCTGTAATGCGAAACTGAAGGTATATATTACAACTCCACCTGAAGAACTTCTATCTGGTTTACTGGTTTAGGAACAGTAGCAACTGAATTGTTCCCAAACCAGCTCTAGCAAGGGTGGGATGGAACACGAGCAGATGTAAGGTGTTTTAATTTTATATGGGATATGGTTGAGATAGTTTTATGACTCTGTAAACAAGAGAGTCGATAACTGTGCTTGTAGGTTTTCTATTAACTGAATGACCCAATGCTAGGCCAGATTTTCTATTAAGAATTCGAGATTATTATTAGTTTCTTAATTCAATGGTATAGGGTATGGTTAAGGACATAAAACTTAAATGGCTAAGAAAATTACATAAAGTTTCCATAGTTTTGGTATTAGATGAAAAGTGCTCAGCAGTTCCTTCTAAGGTGGAGAACTCAGAGCCGTGCCCGATATTTCAGAATTACAAGAAAAATATATTCCATAAAAGCGTTTAAGATAATAAGCCTGGGGAAGTGTCTCCACCCTACCCCAACTGAAATTAGCAGCCACAAAAATAACCTGGTTTTTTTACCTTAAAGATGCTGCACGACTTCAAGATCACACTTATTGGACCGCAATTGAATTTGGTTTATTGGGAAAACTCAGTGATGCATTGAAATGGAACGTTTTTATGAAATCGACCCTGGTAAACCGAAATTAATAAGCCGAGTCCAACCTTGAACTTATTTTTAAGTGAGAAAATGTGGAAAAACGATCGTTTTTGTAACAGGCACGATGACTATTATATTATTCTAAATGCGTAAATTCTAAAACGTAACCAACAATATGTAAGTAGATATATTTTTCTAAGTTTGGTAAAATCTGGAATCTCAATTGTTGTTCTTAATGTTACAGTTTAACCAATTAAATATACCCTCTTAGGAAATATCAAGCGAAATAATGCAAAGTGATAATGAAATAATAACATTATCAACGTTGCAAGCTTGAGAACTAACCTTACTTATAAACACTGTTTAGTTCACTCACTTATTAAAGCAGGTACATGTTTTGCTCTAGATATTAAGTTATTCTAAACTAAACTTATACTAAATGTTGCAGACACCTAGGGTTGTAAGCTTCACAAAATCAATTTAGAATAACCCTTCAATGGTTAACAACACAGTAAATTCTGGGGTCAAGAGATTTTTTTCTGATACCCCAAATTCCTTAACCAATGTTCCTAATACGTACACTATTACTAATTCCTTGGCTAATTCTAGTAATACCTCGGCTAATACCACTAATTCCTTTATTATTACCACTAATTCGCAAATTTCTCCGCAGTTTCCCTTTCTTACAAATACTAATAAAACATCAAAATAATTACATCGCTTGTAATGCACTAAATATTCGCCCAAAGATGCTACGCACGAAGCATTTAAAACTTGTTTTATAATCCGATAGCGATTAGGGATTAAAATGCCAGTCGTAATTTGCGTCGTTATAGGGTCAACATAAAAACAAATCAAAGTACTACGAAAATATTTAAAACTACTATTTTAACACTCAAAATTCGGCAACTTAAATTTTAGAAAACAAAAGTTAAACATAATCCGTAATTATTTCGGCACAAAAACTCACCTTATTTGTTCCAATTGCAGATTTCTTCGACGATCGTCAGTGAATCTTGAATATATAATTCCAACGAAATCCTTTGCGAGTCCGTGTTAGGACATAGGCAGCTTCGATTAATCTTCTGAACTGCACCAACTCGATCCAATCAGAACGATTAATAAGTTAAATTCCATATATTTTCGGACAATTAATTTTTTTATTCGGCGATTTAGGTTACCCACTGCTGCTGTGCCAAATTGCCGGGTAATTAATAATAGGTTACCACAGAGTGGGAGAAAGGCCTATCGGAGAGGAATACCATAATGGGATGCGATTAAGAAACGAGTTATTATGACTCGAATATGTTATACAAAATAGGTTTACTAATTACATAAAAAAAAATGAAAATTTGGCAATGTTGGTGACTCTGACCGGTGACGTAGTGTTCGTTTCGTACACGTAAAAAAAAACGTAAAATATTTATTGCCAAATTTTTTTGAGTTTGAGTATCGAATTAAAAATGGTGCATAAGGATTATAAAAGTTAATTTGATAAGTTTAATTATAGTTCTCCCACATTCCTATCCCGTACCATTGAACATTTGTAGTATTCTGTGGTCCTAGATGATGCACGAAACGAGGCGAGGGTTGTCGGCAATGGGCGAGTGATTACAATATCTTTGCCCGACGTCATGTATTATAAAAGCATTTCTCATTAAAAATGAAAAGAATCGCGTATATAATTCGGATATAATAATCGAGGATCGTTTTAAGTAGCGCTTTTGATTGACGGGCAATTTTTGTAATTGCCGAGATTTTTTTGTCATTCACGTGGCAGGCAAGCGTTTGTACAGGGTGCTTGTATATGTAGAACTGAGGACAATGAAAATTATTTTCCAGGCAACGTGTTAGAGAGTTGTTTAACAGCATGGACGGGTATTGCAAAAAATGAATCGTTTTTCAAAATATAAAGTGCTTATTATTTCCGCTGCAAATTGTTAATAGATTAGATAATAGCTAAGCTAAGCTAAGGACACTCGCCCATTATATTGTAAAGTTGGTTGTATATAAACAGGGGCAGCGTTATAGCAAAGATAACAACACAAATTTTTGAATGTTTCAATTTTAAATTTCTTATACAATTACAGGGATTATTTAGCCAAAATTTCTATGGTATGATGTGAATATAAGTATATATCTCATTTAAAGTAAAAAAAATGTATAATAGAGAAATCAATTAAATATTTTTCAGATTTTCGTTGTAGAGATACATTTTTATTTACTCTCTGTATCTGCGCGTACGGTGGTGGATGTTCATTTATTAATTATTAATATGAAAATCGTTTTTGCGGTTGAGCTCCGTATCAAATGTTCTCGTATAGGTAAAAAGATTCCAGTCAATTATATTTCTTTCTTCCTTATAATAGACGAGACAAAACAAGGAAGCATGGCTAACTTGAAAAACGCTCTTGTTTTCAACTTTTGCGTTTTCTGCCTGAGTAGCGTAGTCGCTTTCGTCGATGCCAACTTGATTTCCAGCTTTTTACGCTTCAAGCATTTGGATCGCAACATCGTATTAACTTGTTTTACGAAAACAGGTGAGAAATAAAGCTACCGAAATAATGCGAGCGTATTGTATTTGATATAATTTAAGATCGCGCAGATTTAAGACGAAAATTGAATAACAGCACAGATGTCATGGTTTCTGTTTTAGACTTACGGGAATTTAACTTTATCAATTCCGTAGTCGTAAAATATAAATTGGGCGTCGTTTTAGACGGCGATTGTCGATCATCGAGAAGTCTTCTTCTTAAGGTAAAGCGGCATCACAAGGTAACAAAAATCCTGTACCTGTGGCCTAGTTCGTTCAAGATTAGTCAAAGCTAATCAAAGTTTAGCGAAAAGAACTTATACCATTTCGGGATAGCAGTTACTATAGGTTACAAATTTCCATATGACTGTATAACCGCAGATAAAGATTTCAATGAAATATTGCAAATTTTGAGTATTTATTGGGTATAATGATTCAAGCCCTATGACTTTAAACTTATTTTTTATTCTCATCCAAATACTTGCCTTTCCTGTTCCTTTTCCAGTTTACGGAAATATTTCCTTACGATATTCAATCAATATTTCATATTTTATATCCCAAAACAATTTTTTGTCATTGTAAAAAGAAGGAAGTCATGGAAATGCTAATATTTTAAAGGACTTATACCCACACAACAAAAATATTACGGAATCAATTCCAGGAAAATTAAAAAACTGCATCGCAACAATCTTCGTTAGATGTTAGACGCCGTTAGTTTGTTGCCAACTGTAGATAACTTCAAGTGGACGGAATTCTGGCAAACCGGAGTTTGACAACTGACATCGATTTAACCTTTGACACAAATTTGACATTTGAAAAAAGGAACAATTTTATTCGCCAAAGAGATAGTAAGACTTTATTCACTCACAATTTCTTTGGAAATCAAAATTTCGTAGTCTTGAAATGAGGGAAAATACACTGAAAGGATTGTATGTTACCACCCATGCTTACTACTAGTGTCGTGTTCCAAGGCAAGAAGACATAAGTACAAAACACATGACAGAAAAACAGAATTTATGATTGAATGAAATATATATGATAATAGAAAAAATCATCCAGAAACCCGCCCCCTTGTTTCTATTTACTAACAACATTTCTATTAATTTTTATCATTTTCGTTTTATACGACTCTAGGATCGATTTTCACGTATTTATTCACGGATGGAAAAATGTGATGACACTATATTTCGGGATATCATCCGTTCGCTTATTGAACTCCGATTGGAATCCTGCAGACGTTTCGCCAAAATCTCACGTGGCATCTTCAATGCTCGCAATCCGAAAACACATCGAACACTTACACAGGATTCCAGTCGGGTGCAGGATTGCAGTCAACAAGCGAACGGATGATATCCCGGAATATAGTGTCATCATATATATATATATATATATATATATATATATATATATATATATATATATATATATATATATATATATATATATATATATATATATATATATATATATATATATATAAAAGGGAAAACTGTTTAAGTTCTAGCGTAAACAAAAGAAACAGACACACTTATTATATTTCGTGTGTTAATACCAGAGAGGAATCAAAAAAGAAAATTTGCAATGACAGGGGCTATAAAACAGGGCGGATAACTTAGTGTTGGAGCATTTAAATATTTTTCTGGTCCGTGTTATCCTGTAGTCCATGGTTTATGGACTACGATACCAGTGTGAAATGTGCGAAGCGTCAGTTTCTAGTTGATTTTGTCATTTTATAATTCAGTTTAGTTGAAAAGTTAACACAAAGGTTATACCGTATGGTTAAGATAAATTGCTATGAGATAGTAATTAGATAATAGATAACTTGTAATAATGTTGGATGCTCCTTTTTTCTACATTTATCATGTAAATAACTAAGTCATAGATATCAATTATAGTGTAAGAGATACAAGTGCTTCGATTCCACACATTATTGGTTCATTCTGCGCACGTCCAACAACTATGCCGATCTTCTAAGAAATGTTTACTTGAACATCGATTGCGACGTGAAGGTCGCTTACCCGAAGGAGTCAAACAATTTTCCGCGAGGTTATGTTATCGATGACGTTTACAATCCCGCGTCGGATAGAGGGGGAGAGTTGAAAACTCGCGCGGTCGGCAGCTTCGATACGTCACACGGATATCACGTGACGGAACTCGGCAACAAGTACTTTGTCAGAAGGAATTTGACTGGGGTCACTTTTAAAACTGTCATCGTGGTACGTAGAGATTCACGTACATGATGGCCACTTAAGAAGGCTATTCGGCGTTATCTCGAAAATAAATTGTCGCAGAGACTCGGAGTGAAAACATTTATGAATAAAGCGGCCTAGAATGACGAATAATCGTATATTACACTGGGCTAAAATGGACGTCGTTTTAAACTTGAGATAAATTCGAGTCTTTTTCGTTAAATTGTTTTTGTTCTATTTCTCAGGGGAAGTGGTGGGTGGTGTTCCACCATTTTCAGAACTAAATGTTTTTGACTTTAGAACCTAACCTATAATATCAATAAAAGTAATACAAATTCGCCATCTTTCGCCACATAACACAAATGTAGTGTTAACAGGCCAAAATTATATTTAAAATGTCAATTATAATTAATACTGAATCAATCAATCAAGAATATTTAAAAACTTCTGTAGAGGTACGCAAAAAAAATTCTAAAGCCTATCTGACACGATTGCATTTTTTGCAAATAATTTTCGCATCTTTTTGACATCAAACCTCTTATTATTTCTAAGTAGTTTCTTAATATTTTTATCTTTTTCTCTCTCTTTTGGGGATTTATTACTTCTCCCTCTATATTATTTTTAATTTTCAATTAATAAATCCCGGAAAAGGCCTTCCCTTGGAAAACAATGAAAATTTCTGAAACGTGTACAGTTCCATACAGTGTCCCGTTTTGGGTCGCGTTTTCGCTAACCCTTAGTACTTTTTTGTGAAACGAAAGATGACGTTAATGAGATTTTCATGACTTCTTTAGTTTTTAAAATTCAAGGTGATTTTGGAAATTTGACGTTTTGGGACACCCCTCGTATCTCGGAAAGATGAAAAGCGCATTCGATCTACCTTTTTACTTGGAATTCAGTAGCGTAGTCAGTTTTTTCTAAATGGTTTCATAACGGCACAAGTCTCGAATCCCTGCTCCATATTGTCACTCGCTGACTGAACAAACGGTACCAGATTAGTTAAGATTGATTTTTTACGAAAAAATCCGTGCTGATTCGGGTCAATATGCCCCTCAACAATAAAGAATAAGTGCTCCAAAACAAGTGACTCAAACAATTCGCCGAAGTGGCGTAAGAGAGAGATTGCTCTTATCAGCGGATTTCAAAATGGACACGACTTGGGCCATTTTCCAAAGTCCAGGATATTTAATAGTTAAGATGGATTGATTGTATAGCAAAAAGAGGGGCTCACAAAGATCGAGGCATGATTTTAAAAATATCGAAGTAAAACCAACTGGGCCAGTTCCCTTTTGGGGATTAACAGAGCAAAAAGATTTCTTCATATTTTCCTTCGATATATGATCTACATTAAAACATTCTTGTGATGGAATTGGTTTTATTAGAGAAGGGGTGTCAGATGATTCAAAGAAGCTTGAGGAAAGTTCACAGATACCAAGGTTGTTCGAAGCATATGGGGTATTTAGGATCATTCTTTGTGGTAAAATTAAAAAAAAAGGTAAAAGGAAAAAAAATTCATATCGTGCTTAATAATTTGTTCTGTTGCAGCAATGTACGCTTTGTGATCTTTACTAACATTAATTTTAACGAAAATACTGTGGTAAAAATACCGCATGTAAACATCGACGATCTGTCAGCGGCCATGTTGTTTGTTGAAAGCTGTCTTATGGGTCCTTCATCAGAATTCGTTATTAGAGCTGTCATTGGTTAAAAATGAAATTTTAAATCTCGCACGTTGAATGGACCGTCTTTTTTTTACATAGTTGCTTTATGAGTTCCTGTACTGTCATCATAGCCAGGGCGTCTATAGTTCTAGTAGCTATATGGATATGGCAAATTAGTCCGTACATTATCGGAAACTATATTGTTTCAATGGACTCTCATTTATTATTAATTTTTGGCATTAATTTTTTTGACAAAATACATTTTATTTTTGCCATTTCGTAAAGCGTCCTCTAGCGGTGATAGAAGCAAGCCGCCCGGGCCACCGTGATTACCTAAGAAAGAGCCCTCTAACGATTTCAAGTGACAAAATTCGATAGACCTTATCAATTTATTTCCGAAAATTTTCTATACCTCCCCACCACATTCCCTTAAGAGACAGAGTAAAAACTAATTATTGAAAAACAGGGTGCTATATATAATATAAGATTATTTCGCAAAAACCGAGGTTTAAATTTCAAGAATGCGATTGCGCGCCCCTGGCGGCCTTCTCTAGAAATTAACGAATAGCTTCCAGCCGCTTTAGCCATAAATTTTTTCATCCCAAGGCAATTACTTTTCGACATAGGGTTTTTTGTCAGCCGGTACTACCCTGTTTTTGAAAATGAAGTCTTTTTACTTGCCCACAGCTACCGGAAGCATTTAAAGGTACGCTGGAGGATTACCTGTTGAGCGACAGAGACATCCAAATAAACACATTCAACAGGTTCCACTCGCGACTCCTGCATTACTGCAGTGACTATCACAACTTTAGGTACGTGGGATACAAAATTCTATTGGTTTGTTTGTTGAAACCTACGGACCGTACTATTTTATATAATTGAAATTGCTATTCGAAAACTCATTAATATACAGGCTGTCGCATTTAAGAAAATTGAGAAATGTGGCAAAATCGCGAATTTTAAGAAAATATTTTAAATTTGATGATTGCCTAAAGAAAAGCATTATTTTCCTAAAAAGAGTAGATAGAAAAAAGTTTAAAGAAGTTAATAAGTAACCCAACATTTATGGTTTAAACATAACCTGAATTCTGAACATGATGACGAAAATTTTACGAGCTTGGGAACAAAATAAGTGGCATTTTCCCTTTTAGGGGCGGTTCTGTATCGTATTTGGGCGCATTAAACCGTTTCAGAATTAATTAAAAAAAAAACAGCTTTTTGTTCTCAGTTTTACCTTTAGAAATAGGCGCTTTTCAAACTAAAGTTATTTTTTACTATTCCATTTACACCCCCGACTTATAAAAATCGTCTTAACAGTATGGATATTGTGGTGGACAAATCGTGGGGCTATCTTCAGTCGGATGGGACGATGGACGGTTTAGTAGGAGACTTGGAAAGGCGCAAAATCGACTTCGGACTTTCCCCGCTTTTCGTGAAGGTGGACAGAGCCAAATACGTATTCTACGGGCGGAAAACTTGGAACTTAAGGTCAATGCGATTCATTAATATTTCATAAAATTAATTAATAACTTTTAACTGCATGAAAAGTCATGCTTGTTGAGTAAATATAATTAAATAAATAAAATAATAAATTTGCCAGGGTGGTGTGAAAAGTTTTCGGCGTGACCAAGAGATGGCGCCAGTAGTCAATTATTTTTGTTTTAAAGGTTTTACTTTATTTATTTATTTAATTTATTCTATTTAAAAGCATAATATAAAACGTGGTGTAAATAAAGTTCTCTGCTAATAATAAAAGTTTTCTTGAAAGACACCTGTTAATTATAATAACAAAACAAAATTTTTCAAAAAACATATTCCTTTACTAATCACTGCTGAAACAGCTAAAAATCTATCATAACACTTACTAATATGAAATCATATATTTTAATAAAAGAAATGTAGATACGAAAATATGCTTTAATCTATATAAGAGTTTAACAATGAAATAATACATATAAAAATATTTTTGCTTACATGACTACATCAGATAACTAATATATATATATATATATATATATATATATATATATATATATATATTATATTTATATATATATATATATATATATATATATATATATATATATATATATATATATATATATATATATATATATATATATATATATATATATATATATATATAAATATATATTATATTTATATATATATATATATATATATATATATATATATATATATATATATATATATGTATATGTATATGTATATATATATATATATATATATATATATATATATATATATATATATAATATATAATATATATATATATATATATATATATATATATATATATATATATATATATATATATATATGTATATATTTTGCTCAATCTTTTCCTTAATTTGTTTTTTATTGGTCCTCACTTTGGTTTGATTTTTTTAATGGTACTTCATCCCCTATTTCTTCTCTTTGGTCGTCACTTTGCTTTGGTCTTTTCATTGGTATTTCTTCAGTAGTTGATTTTGCGAATTTAGACAATTTCCTGTTGTTTATATTATATTATCAAATATAATTAACAAACATTTGACAATTGAACTGAGGTGGTTTTTGCTTAATGGAAATCCATTTATTAAAATAAATAAGAACTAAAAGTTCAGATTTTCTCGAAATTATATATTTTTACATAATAGTTGTTTCGACAACACCGTGTCATTATCAAATGTAATATTTACAAACTACTTGCTACTATATATACCGAAAAATGACCATAAAACCTTAATTAATGTTGTTGTGAGAATTTAGGTTCAATCAAGGAGATGTATTTAAATCTAATTGATCGTTAATGAATACATTTGAATGTTTCATTTTGTTAATCTCCATGGCTTCCAATAAATTTAATGTTCTACTTTTTGTGGCTGTATGTAAAATATCAAAATTGTCGTCAAAAATGTATTTTTCTGTGTTTAAGTGTGTAGCATAATTAGAATCTAGACTATTGTTTTTAAACGCTCTTTTTTGTTCGTTAATGCGTTTCTTGAAGGATCTTCCTGTTTGTCCAATATAAGTTTTAGGACGAGATCCGCATTTCAACCTGTAGACACCTGATTTTTGAGTTTTTGGACATTTCGTCTTACTGTTTTTTAAAAATTTTCCTATTGTGTTGTTAGTTCTGAAAGCTATTTTTAAACCACATTTTGACAAATGGTTTAATGGTTAATATCAAAAAGTTTAATCCATTTCGTGCCGAAAGTTACCTGAAGTGACCGGAGTCGATAGCAAGAAAGCACATCTCTATTAATGTGCAAAATTTTGATGAAATGTGCTTTGCCTGGGCCGTGGTCTCTGCTTTGTTTCCCGTCGGATCAAACTGTGGAAAGACTTCGTCTTATATAATGTGGCGGTGAATGTCTACACGCTGCGGAAAAAATTGTCAAGTCGATTTCAAATTGTTCCTGCTTATCTGATCTGAGGGTTGGAGGAGGGGGTGAGGGTTGGTCGGTTGTTGCTAAAAGCTGGGGTGGACCGAATGACCTTGAGTGAACCAATTTTCGCTAATATGAACCTTAAATTTTCTAATAGGAATTTACATGTAAAAATGTGAAAATTTATTCTTGAACTGTTATAGCCTATCTACCTATCTACTGCGTAAGCCTATCACTGGTTAATACTACGCAGAGTTATTGCAACATTTGAAGCACGAGGTACAAATTAAACAACCTCATTTCACGATGTAAAAAATTTGGTTGCATCACAATCAGCGCATTCGTCGATTGTTGCCATGTCCAAAATTCACGAATTGAAATTTGAGTTGGTGCCGCAGCCTCCCTACTCTCCAGACTTAGCCTTCAGCGACTGTTCCCTGTTTCCTAAAAAAAGTTATCGAAGCCGTAATTTAGTATTTTGAGCAGCTTGACGAATCTATATTTAAAACTGGTATAACTAAATTAGAACATGAGAATGGTATCAGCGTTGATGGAGATTATGTTGAAAAATAAAGCAAACAAAAAAATAATTTCAAAACATCGTTTTTCTTGGTCATGCCGTACACTTTTCACACCACCCTCGTGTAATATTTTGAAGTAGTTTTAGCACCCCCACTAGGGCATATTGAAAAATGAATTTATTAGACATTGCCTAACATGTACAGGGTTAGTAAAAAGTACCGGACACTTAAATGACTCGAAAAATGCCAAAGCTGGAGAGATTAAATTCATTACATGAGGGTTAGCTAAAAAATAAATAGAAAGAAAAAAAAATTATAAGACTACTAAATTTTTGCTAACTATAACGGTTAAATGGAAATTTATATCTATCTTAATATTACTTTTTCTTCAAATCGCGATTGAAAGAGTACCCTCCAGTGCTAATTTTTGCATGCATTTGAAATATTGTGTTACGCCCCCTGGCGAACATTTTGAAAATTTAAAAATAAAGTGCACCATTTTCTTTCCATCACTTTTGTAATAATTTTCGTTTTGTTCTAGTTTTGGAGATATAACCAACCTATTTTAATAATTTTACACCCGGTACTTTTTGAAGCCACCCTATATGTCGAACATAGAAATATTCTTGTGCACATTTTAGGAACAAATTTCAAATTTTCCAAAGTCAGAGTCATTGTGCATTGACGTCATAACATGACTTCTTTATCTAGTTCATTACTGGACATCGTAATCTGACCAGGAATTTTGTTTGTCAGTCCTGAAATTGTTATTTATGATTATAGCTAAGACATACGGTTCATTTTTGATTACGTCACTAAATGTGGTGTAAGTGCACAACTTTTCTGACTGGAGCAAAATCTCCGCAAAAACCACAAAAAATAACGCAACAAGCTGCTAGTAAATATTTTTCCCTCCCACAAATGTTGAATAGAATAAAATAGATGTTTATTTTTGGAAAAAAAACAAGATACAATAAAAAAAAGTGGAAAAAGTGGGGAAATGTTTTCTGGTATTTCTACTGACAGCCGGTCACGTTGTCTTAATCAATTGTCATGTAAAAATATATAATTTCGTGAAAATCAGAACTTTTGGTTCTTATTTATTTTGAGCATTTTTAACGCTCTTGGCATGTGGTGTTTATGAATTATTTTTAGTGTAAGCGCTTTAATTGAATGAATTGTTGCTTGGCATTCATGATTGGCGGTCCAGAATGTAAGTTGCTTGAATGTGTGTAATGTGTCCAGTGCATAGTCTTGAAAATCCATTTCTGTATATCATTAAAGCCTTTTAGATAAGAGTTACAAGCCGTTCCCATGTTACAATTATATAAGTCAGTTAATAATTGACAAACGTCGATATACCGTTGCTAGAATCCGGCCAGAAAGTCGCTGGTGATAGAATTTAAAAAATATTTTTGAAACTTGCTTAGGTATTTTTCTGTGGTTTGCCAAAATGTTAGAGTTTATTCGCGGTTTCCTGGACACAAATATCAAATTCTGTTTCCAGGGCAGCGTTCATTTTCCGGAACCCCAGGTCGAGGAAATCTTATCAGATTTTCATTAAACCGTTAACGTATCAAGTCTGGGCCGGCATAATCGTTTGCTCTATTTTGTCGGTGGCCACCCAAAAATTAAGCTACAAATTCGACCGACACAATCGTTGTGTCGAATATTCTTGGAGTTTTCCAATTTTATGCGCGTTTGGAGCGTTTTGCCAACAAGGTATTTCCTTTTAACCATCCATCTACAGGATGAGTCAACGATAGAGCAAAGTTCATTATCTCAAATTATTTTAAAGTACCAACCAAAATAGCGCGGTCAATTTTTTTAAATAGAAGACCCTATTTTTAATTTATTTTACAAACTTTACTCCAATGTTGACTCACCCTTTTGGATCGGACATAGGACATTAATTTGAAGTGGACAGTAATGAATATTAATATAATACGCAATAATAATTAAAATAACAAAGTTAATATAAAGGTGCAATCTCGGACAAAGCAAACTAAAAGGGCTTATCTAAAAATATGTTAATATTCTAAACAAAAAAATAAACTATTTGGCTTAATTTATTAAAATGTCAAATATATTAACTATTCAAGTTCTATTTATTAATACTTTTAGCGAATTATGGTATACTCTTAAAAGAGGATTTTAGGTTAACAAAAGAAGAAGAAGTTGAAAAAGTATATTAATATTCTAAGCAAAAATTTTATTAAGCTTAATTTGTTAAAAAGTCAACGTATCAAATATGCAATAATTATTTGCTAATAATTTCTGTAAATTAGTTTACTATAAAATAAGAAGTTAAAATATATTAATTTTCTCTACAAAAAAAAACATTTAACCATCGTTTGTAGAAGGAAAGGAGAAGAAAATAATAAAAAGATATATTAATATCTCGTACAAAATTAAACAAAAATATTATTTGACAATTTGTTAAAAGATAAATACAAAAAAAAATCAATTTTATATTTCTAAAAAAATTCTGCAATTTAGTTAATCTTTGCAAAAATTATATAAGATTTAAGTTAAGTTAAGCAGGAGAGAAGAAGAGGAAATTTAAGAAACATTAGAGCACTTCTCTACAAGAAAAAAACTATTATTTGGCTCAATTCATTAAAATATAGATGCATAAAATATTCAACCATCGTTTGTAGATGCAAAGGAGCAGAAAAAGTTAACAACATATATTAATATCTTGTACAAAACAAAACAAAAATATTATTTGACTTAATTTATTAAAAGATAAATACAAAAAATATTCAATTACTATTTCTTAATAAATTTTGCAAATTAGTTAATCTTTGTAAAAATCGTTTAAGATTTAAGTTAAGTTAAGCAGAAGAAGAGAAGAAGAAGAGAAATTTTCAAAAACATAACAGCATTTCTTTACAAAAGAACTATTATTTGGCTCAATTCATTAAAATATAAATGCATAAAATATTCAACCATTGTTTGTAGAAGGAAAGGAGAAGAAAATATTAAAAATATATGTTAATATCTCGTACAAAAGAAAACAAAAATATTATTTGACAATTTGTTAAAAGATAAATACAAAAAAAATTCAATTATTATTTCTAAATAAATTCTGCAATTTAGTTAATCTTTGCAAAAATTATATAAGATTTAAGTTAAGTTAAGCAGGAGAGAAGAAGAGGAAATTTAAGAAACATTAGAGCACTTCTCTACAAGAAAAAAATTATTATTTGCCTCAATTCATTAAAATATAGATGCATAAAATATTCTACCATCGTTTGTAGAAGCAAAGGAGAAGAAAAAGTTAAAAACATATATTAATATCTTGTACAAAACAAAACAAAATATTATTTGACTTAATTTATTAAAAGATAAATACAAAAAATATTCAATTACTATTTCTTAATAAATTTTGCAAATTAGTTAATCTTTGTAAAAATCGTTTAAGATTTACGTTAAGTTAAGCAGAAGGAGAGAAGAAGAAGAGAAAATTTCAAAAACATAACAGCATTTATTTACAAAAGAACTATTATTTGGCTCAATTAATTAAAATATAAATGCATAAAATATTCAACCTATAGTTTGTAGAAGGAACGAAGAAGAAAATGTTAAAAAAATATACTAATATCTTGTACAAAACAAAACAAAAATATTATTTGACCTAATTTGTTAAAAGATAAATACAAAAAACATCAATTATTATTTCTAAATAAATTCTGCAATATTGCTGCGTAAAATATTCAACCACTATTTGTTAACAAGTTCTGCAAATGAGTTAAAAAGGATGGTAAATTTTGGTTAAGTTAAGAAGAAGAAAAACTTTCTGGTTCGAAAAAAGGAGTCCATCGGAAATTTTGTGCTGTACGGAAGAGTTTCATATTGAAAATATGCTCAAAGATTTTTGCTGTACTTGTAATTATCATTTTGGTTTATACAAAGTTCCTTTTCAGGAACTCAGTCAAATCCGAATCGCTTTTGCGGAAGGATTGTCATAATTTTCACTCTAACGCTTGGTTACATGGTGTACCAGTTTTACTCTGCCAGTTTGGTGTCTTTTCTTTTAAACGTACCGACAACCTTAATAACGACCTTGGAAGGATTGATGGAGCATAATTTCAAGTTGGGATGCGACGATGTCCTTTATAACAAGGACTATTTAAAGGTGGACGTCATGCAGGAGAATATAACATTTTGGTCTCGTGACATTTTTTTAGTATTCCACGGACAATTTAACCAGAGAAATTCACAGGAGGATTCTATTAAGACATGGCAACGGAACAGGATTTTTGAATCCCGAGGATGGTTTGGCTTTGGTAAAGCGTGGCCAGTACGCGTTCCATGTAGACGTGGTTTCTGGGTATCCGATTATCGAGCGTACCTACGACGAGACAACCATCTGCGAACTGAGGGAGGTCCAGATGTTCAGAGTTAAAGAAATGCACGCCAATTACCAGAAACATTCACCATTTAAGGACTTGATAGATACATGGTAATTACTGCTCCACAAACTAAAGCAGAAAACTCAAGTCACATCACAACCACAACCTTATCCTTTCGCCAAATCGTTTAAAAAGTTTAAAAATATCGATCTTGACGCGGATTTTGACAACTGACAAAAAATGAACTAGATAACGATGTCATGCTATGACGTAACTTCATAATTGCTCCGACGACTTTACCGATTTTTTATCTCAAACACACTGCTAGTTGTTCCTTCGGTGTGATTGCTTTTGCCCAACGAGTGTCCTGTTTCATTAGACACTCTTCTATTTTGTGAAGAATACATTGAAACAATTTTGAGACATTCTAAATTATAAAAAAAAAATCTCATCGCCCTAGTTCCTAGTTCTTCATCAGTGAACCAAGTCATGGGTATCATAAGTGAAGAACCAAGTTAATAATTGGCCTTCGTTGTTCTCTGTAAATCCTAATTTTTTCTAGATATTCCAGCTGCCGTTTCCGAATTCTAAAAGATTCCATTAAAACTTGCCTTTTGTCAATTTTTTTAAATCTAAAACCCATGTGTTGAATACACTTCGATAAGGTAGTTAAATGTGGCATAACAAGGGTTTCATCTTTTTCAAGCCTCCTAATTAAGATATCTAAAGTAGGCACGCTTTGTTCCTCGTATAACCGGTAACTTTTGCGCCGTATTATATCTTGATCACTTTCATCTACACTCGAGAAAATGTCAGCATCGCTTCTTTTTTTCCTTGCTGAAGTGGGATTATTCACAATTTTCCATACAGTTGATGTTGAAATTTTCGTCAATGTGGTCGTTTCTTCTAAAGATGCTTGCTTGCTGGCACCACATTCAATGAGAGTCAAATAAACATTGTTTATAACTTCCTTAGTCTCTCTACATTTGGGCGGGAGCATCTCTTGAGATACACTAGACTCGCACATATTTTGCATAATTGCATAATAAACTTAAACTAAGTAGTATACTAAACCAAAGACTATTAAAAACAGGTACGTATAAATTATTTTCTATTACGGACCACAATTTTACCTGAATTTAAATTCCGAAACTTTAGGTAATAATCTTGTTGCATTGACCACCCTTGGATAATCCCATTCAAAAGCAATTCGTCACTTTCTTATATCTATGAACCGACCATACCTGGTTGGTAAAAACAGAATTCAATGCTAACAGCAATGTTGTCAGCTTTACCACTTCTACCTTACACTCATAATTTTGTTATTTTAAGTGTAATTTAGTAGGGTCTCATAATTTCAAAATTTTGATTCTACTAATTACTGAGCTACGGCAACTCCGCTTTTTCAGTAAAAAGTGCAACACTGTTGTCAGATTTGCTACTGTAACATAGCAGCATTTTGCAGGTTTTTGGAAAAAGAAAAGTTTAGAAGTGTACCAGTGATAGGTTACCAGAATCATAAATATTGACATTGAAATTTGACAACATTGCTGTTTGCATTTTTGAATTCCGCATGTTCAAAAACCCCCCAGGTATTGAATTTTATCTTTCCAGCTTTGGCCCCGGTATACGCTTGGTGTGTTATTTATCAGGTGTGTAGTGTAATTTATTACATTATGACGATACATCCATTGTATTCCGCTCCGTGAATACATTGTTCCATTTTGGTTTGAACAGGGTATCTCATAGTACAGTATATCCGAAATTTGTTCTCGGTTACGAGTGAAACTAGAAGCTTGCGATTTGCGGATCATGGTGCTACTTTTTTGTGAAACGAAACATCCCATTGCGTTTCCAAGCTACAGGGTAATTTTGAAAAATTAGCGATTGTTTTTGAACAGACATTGGTGAAAACTGATAAAGATGTAGCCGGTGAATTTAATAAATATTTTGTGCAGAGCATTGAAGATATCATATCGGCAATAACTAGACCATCTGTCAATTTGATGTGTTTAGATCAAAACCAGGATACGGAAAATGTCAGCGTCACGGAGTGCGCGAGGTTTGAAAACATTTCATTGGTTCACTTAAAAAGGATTGTGCGTGGAATGAAAAATGGTGGTGGGGGTGAATCTGGCATTTCAAGAAGAGCTTTCAAGGATACTTTTGAGGTTGTCGGAAATAGAATACTGGACGTTATCAATTCGCCGACAGTTTGCAGAGGAATGGAAGTCATCTTTGGTGGTTCCGGTGCCGAAGGTTCCGGGTACTAAGCTGCATTCTAATTTTAGACCGATCAACACTGTGCCAGTGTACGAGAAATTATTGGAACCCGTTGCAAAGGAGCGGCTGCAGAGACATTGTGACGGAATCAATTTAATTGTCTGTAGTCAATCGAGATTTCGAACGGGTCATTCTTGCGGGACTGTGATGGTTAGTATCTGTGATGAATTTGTTGGGGCTGTCGATGACAATAGTTTTGTTTTGGCTGTGTTTTTCGACTTTAGAAGAGCTTTTGAAGGTGTTAATAGGGATATTTTAATAGCTAAGCTAGAAAATATGGGTATAAAGTACTTAGCCCTGGATTGGCTAAAATCTTATTTATCTGGCAGAACACAAAAAGTAAAGTATGAGTCATCGTATCTGAGTCTATCTTGGTGGATCATGGGGCACCAGAGGGCACTCTTTTGGGGCCGTTATTGTTTCTTCTGTATGTTAATGATCTAGCTCAAGTTGTGAAAAACAGCAAAATTGCATTATTTGCCGACGATACCATGATATGTGTCGTTGGTAAGAATATCGAACAAATGCAGCGAGATATCATCAATGATGACCTGTATCGAGTGTTTGTATGGCTGTGCAATAATAATTTTAGCATTAATGTCATTAAGTGATTGAGTGCTTTGGGTCTGGAGAGTGTTAATATTAATATTTAATATAAATGGCGTTAATTTGCAGTATGAGAAACATATAAAATATTTGGGAATTGTGTTAGATACTATTATTTATTTATAACAATATTACACAATAATTTTATATATTTTACAGTGAGTTAGTTTTAGTTCATTAATGTTAATTTACTATTTAGTACTAAATTACTATTTCAATTCAAAACGTTTGTTCAAGCAGTATTTTCATATATTTTCCTCTCGCAAAATTTATTTAAATTTGTATTAGTTTAAAAAATGTATTTCTTAGAAAAAAAATTATTTTAACGTATTGTGTTAAATGCAGTTTGGGGATAATTTTCTTGTTCTGCGTAACGGCCACTTTTGAATTCCCTTTCAGTGGTATTTCGCAGATTGTATGATGCTCATGCTCATACGAAGTTATCAAGTACTGATAAGTCGGAAGACCTGGGTGGATATCTTATAGGACAGCGTGTGCCAATTAGATGATGAAAAAAATCTAGCTACTGCATTGGTATCTGCTTAAAAAATTCCCTGTAGACCTATTTTTACTTTTTAGATAACTTAAATATAAACGGAGATACGACGAGTGCCGCAAATCGGCACATTTTCAAAATCACCCTGTAGCTCAGAAACGCAAACTGCATCTTTCATTTTACAGAAAATTAGGACAACGACCCGCAAAGCCTCTAGTTTAACCCATAACCGCACAGTGTTACCCGCGTGTGGTATTGTTATTTTCAGCTTGCACCGTCTTGCTGAGAACGGCGTCCTGAACAGGGAACTGATATTCTGGCACCCGCGAAAACCGCAGTGCCTCAGATCGAAATCTACCATCTATATAAATACGGGTTTGGAAGATTTCTACCCCGCTTTGTTTATATTGCTAATCGGGATGATAATGAGCCTGCAAGTGCTCGCGATAGAACTTTTATGGGGCCACAGAAACGCCGTGATTAACGTTGAATCGGTCCGCAGAGTTTTTCCGTACTTGGATTAACATTGACGACCCACAGCTTTTGTACAATACAATACAGTATAGTAGAGCTGTTGTTACTTGTGCGTTTTAAGACGTACTAAAATATACACTTTGCACAGATAATTCGCATTTTTAATCTCCCCGTTGAAACCAACCAAATATCTGATGTAGTTAATGGAATCCAGCATGAAATTAAAGCACTTCTCTTATAGAATTGCAAATAGAAGGCGCAGGCGTATTTTAGTCTCTAGATTACCCACTGACTACATACCACAGTATATCTTACTGATACACCACAGATTACAATTATATACTAGTATTTTACACCGTGGTGATACACAGAACAATAGAATAGTAATTATATCATAGGACAAAGTAAAGGTTACATACACTTTAAAAATACGTAATATGCGAAAACATGTTTATATGAAAAAATAGGCGACATATATTTGACTAGTCTTCTTTTTTTCGAATTTTCGGGCACTTTAGGCGTATCTTTCGCCGAACGGAAAGGGAGAGAGAGAGACGGGGGAAGGGAGAGGGAGAGACGGAAGGGGGACATGAAGAAAGGGAGGGGAGTGGAAGAGAGGGAGGGGTGAGGAAGAGAAGGAGGGGAGAGGGAGAGAGGGAAAGAGAGAGAGAGAGCACTCATCCATACCGTCCTAAACTAATTACTACAAAATATGTGTCTTAACTTGTTTTGTTTTCGACATACAGGATGTCAAAGTTATTAGAAAAAAATCGTCTTCTAATTAATTACTTTAAAACCTGTTCGATGATTGCGACAAAACTTGACGGGCTTATTTGTCATAAAAGTGGTCTTTTATGCAATAAAAATAAAATAATTTATTTCATTGATTGATTGATATTCAAAGGCGAAATCTTTTTACGCCACTGTTATTTTAAACATTAAAAATTTGTCCAGATCAAGAAATCAAAAACTTTTTTTAGGGATAAAACGAGTTTTTTTAATACATATAATAGCAATAGAATACAATAGAATAAATTTATTGACTATTTTTGTAATGGGTGAGTCAATCATCGAGTAAAGTTCATTATCGCATTGGTTTCAAAAGTTATGAGAAAATGTAAATAGAAAAGTTGTAAACATTGTTAGGATGCACAATTTAAAATTATTTTAAGTTTACAGGGTAATTCAAAAAAGCGTGAAGAATAAAATATACATTTTTTGAATGGAATTTTCAAATTTTGTTGTTGTTGTCACTCATGCAAAAAATTGCGATAAATTGGATATTTTTAAATAGAAAAATCTCGATTTATGATTTATGACATGACACAATTATGAGCAATCAGGGCTTCTGGTGTTGTAGTGGCATTTTCATAAGCACGATCTTTCACATATTGGGATGTATCATATAAGCTAGCTACTTGACGGCTACTGACCTGGAGATATTCAATTTGAAGTAGAATTTCCAATTTCATATTTGAATACCGTTCCACACTGAAGAGATTGTCCAGTTGTTATATGTCTACTTCGCTTTGTAAAGTGTGACCGATAACGAAGTATTTTTTCCTCCTCACTAAGTATATACACCATATCAATTAGTTCAGCTTTAGGAAAATCCATACTTTTTTTTTAATTTACTGACACCGCAATAAATTTTATGAACTTATTTTGTTACAGGCCAGATTTACCATAAATCAGAAAACAACTTTTATGTTACATTTAAGTTTATTCCACAATATTGATTAACATAATAACAGGTACGAAACAGGTCCTTACTTCCCGTCCTTCCGAGCACAAATGGTGCATGCGCCAGTAAAACATAAAAAAGAAGAAAGGATACTAAACTATTTTGAAATTTTTGCAGCGACTTACCTTATGTTCGTCCTAATAAATAATAATTGGCTGCCGAAGTTTCCAATCCAACTTGCTAAAATATTTAACATTAACTACTAGTTGCGTTACTTTGTCCCAGAATCACTAGCCGTACTTTGAAAATTGAAAAATTTAATTCAAACTTATCTCAGCTATATTGTAAACAAACGTAATTTGGGTTAGAACTTTCAATGTCAAAGCACTTTCGAGTAAAGTAAAACGAAGCAACTTACCTATTTTTTCATGCTGCATTGGATTGTTCCATTTGATTAGTTCTGGTTAGTTTTAGTTAGTTAGATTGAACCACTTGATCGCAAGTCATATGTCAATCAATAACGGTCAATTCGCCCGGAAGTGACCACAGTTGTAACCGCCTGTCATCACAAGGTATGTCAAATCGGTTAAATGCTTTTCCTTTTTTCCTTATCAGGCTATTTTTGATTTAAAACGATATTATAAGGTTGATTCAGTTGATATCACGTTTTGTGGATTTGAATATATTGGGTAAAGCGAATTTAAACAACTCCGGTAACTAGCGAGGAAGGCCACTAACAACCTGGCAAGCTCGTTATACCAATTATTAAAATTTCACCTTTTTTTTCCTATTACGTAGTTTCTTCACTTTATTTATTACTGGAAATGTCTCCCACTGACCTCGATACACGCTCTAACACTATCTTTAAACGATTGGACAGTATCATAATAATAATAATAACATTAGGGAAGTGACGGCCCCACGGATCCTAGTCACCTGGGCTACCAGGGGAAATGGTAGCGCACCGGGTAGTGGGTTAGCATCCCCCTAGGCGAGGTCTCTGAAGTGCTATAAACACAGGGCCTAAGAGATAACTACACCTCAGCCCACTATTTCGCAGGGCAGGCCAAGGCAAAGAACCATTTGGTCCGAAACCATGAACGAGCAGATGGTTGAATGCTACTTTCAGATAATCCGATTGCAACCACTCAAAGTCCTATTCAGAAAGGAACTCCACAGACTAATGTTACAAAAATTCCTTACACTCAGAAGCAAGTCAGTGCAAAATATTACAGACCAACGAAGATCCTATTTTCTCCAACGACCGCGTACCTGATAACACCATAAACCGCATCAGACGAGATGTATCTGTAGAGCTGGCGATAGCTATTGACGATCTATCCACAGAATACCCGGTAACATCAACGCCGTATAGGACAACCACACAGGCTGAGATAGAATTCCCGAAGGCGCATTTTGAATACGATGGTCTAAACCTTCTAGCCAGACCTAAACTACCAAGCCTAAGGTTTAAACCAAATACACCTCACATCATAAGGAAAATAAACGAGATTATCATAACGATCGCTCCAGACACCACTCTAACAGAATTGCACAGACTCTGGAGCCTGGGCGATACTCTATCTGCACGGCCAAGCTGCTTCCATGCAAAGCATACTATGAAGCAAACCCATTGCAAAAAAGACTGGACACAAAAACAGCTAAACTCAGAAAGGAGATAGTTAACGCAAGGATAAGTAGGAAGGTTGACATTGTCATTGTCATTAGACAACAAACTGAGGATAGTCCAGGAGTGCATGAAAAACTATCGACCCTCACAACAAGACTTAAGTGCTACAAGATAAGCAACCTACGACGGCAACAACATAACTTATTTAACTGGAGCCAAAGAGCATTTTACAAGACGCTCACTGTGAAAGAAAATGACAGCAGGGACTCAGCAGTGGCAATACCACCGCCTCTAAATGATATTAAATTGTTCTGGGATACCATCTGCCCTGGTTTTTTGAGGAAACAAGAGCCTTGGGCAACCTAAAAACTATTGGAATTGGAAATCACAGGGCCCAGACAGCAACTATTGGTGCAAGCAAATCATTTAGTGAGATGCTTTACTTACCTGTTAGCCAAACCGGATCTGACTCCTCCCTTCATGATCAATGGTATCACTTACCTTGTACTGAAGACCACAGGGATTCTTAATGGCACAATTAAGTACTGCCCAGTTACATTAAAAAGGCTGCCGTGTCAAAGGGGTGCAAAGAGCAGCTTATTATAGATGCCGTCATAACTTCGTGCGCGAAACGTACAAGAGGATTTCTGCACTTTGCCTATATGGATGAGCACGTAGCAGGTTTTCTTAGGTTTTCAATGTCTCACTGGAAAACCCAACTAAAACATAGTACGCCCAATGGTTGTTAGAGAGTAGGGGAGGTCGTCATTAGACAGGGACTATTCCAGGGGGCCGCACTGAGCCCCTTATGGTTACGTTTAGCGTTGCGCCCGATAACGCCTTGGCTAAATAGACAAATTAAAGGCTTCCGAATTCTGAAAAACCAATAAGTTACCTTTGGTATGTGGACGATCTGAATCTCCATGGAAAGACAGCAACCCAATTACAAAGCTTTTTCTCTGGCCGCTTTAGCACTGACAGACTTAACCAGATGAAAAGAGGACTGACAAAATCATATATGCAACTCCATACTATGGTCAAAACTTTCTTTCTGTCGGAAACTCAGCACGTGCCATCAACGCCCATTTAACACCGGGTGTTGCATACAGCTACGGGGTGGTCTCTTGGAATAGAGCTTAACGACATAAGCACCAAAACCAGAAAGGCGTCAGATGGAGCATGGGACTAACGAGCTCCATAGAGTGGTTTCAAGGGCAGACGGCAAGCCAGAATACTTGGATCATATACTCGGCGGATGGTCTATGGTGGCGCCGCGGCTGCATCTCGACAGGCATGACAGAGTCAGGAAGATCATTCATCAAAAAGTACGCCAACTCTAGAGTTTGCAGTACCGGTATCGTCAAAGATAGAGAAGACCTAGGCAGAGAAAATGGCAGAATACTTACCTTTGGTAAAAGAGATCCGACGTATGTGGGAAATGGAGACATTGGTTGTTGTCCCAATAGTAATAGAAATACCAAAACCCCTAAAAAGGAGTCTACAGCGGCTAGGACTGGAATGGAGCGTACAGAAGAATGAGATGCAAGCGCTATCAATGAGCGTACCATTTTTTCTCTTGGGACCCATTAATACGCGCGTATAACAATAATAATAACAATGCATTGCCAACTTATCAAACTCTTGACTGGAACCTTCGGCACTGTACTAACACACAATAACGCGTTTTACCACAAACCGAAACTCAATTCTACGTACTCGACTCCCGTTTCGCCAACCAAGTTGGCATTTTCATCTTCTTCTTTTCTGTAAAAAACTCGCAAGAGTTTATTGGTTAAATCAAAGACGTAAGGCTAAATGAACATGA